GCTGGAACTATTCTCGCTGTTTTTCCTTATCCAAACAAACAAAAGAAGCTGATTTACACGGTTCCTGTCTGTGATGATAGGTGAGATGGTGATGAAGAATGCGTGTGCATGCGTGCGCATTCGCCGGCTTCCCGTCAGAGCTGGTGGCGTTTGCAGGATGGTGGTCCGTAGATACGTGTATGCAAAGAGAAAATAGACATGCACCGGCCTCTTGCTGTGCCAGTCTTAGGACGCACGGCTATGTTATAGTTTTAAAACAGATTCAAAGCCCAACTGTGTGTGCGTACATATCATCGACGTGCCTGGAAGGGTGTGAAAATGAAGTCCTCGGATGGCCTCGAACGTATGTGATATGTAAGCCTCCTGGACCACGGCCGTGGTAAAGGCCAAGTAAGGATGAATCATAGACGTGGTTAAACTGTCGCGTTTATTGTCCGCAGCTCTTGTTCTCCTATAGCCAGTGTGAATGCTTCGTCAGTACTCACATACATGAAGAGTGCCGGATCGATCAGACGGAGGGGCGGATGGGACCAAATCTCGAGCAGCTCCATGGCAAGCCGACGACATGCACGCTTTTCTTGTTCCTCGTTGGGCGTTCTCTTGCAAATGTGTTCCAATGCCTTGGCTATCGACAACTGCCGTCGTTGCTTTTTACTTTCTACCTGGTTGGGCTCCAGCACCCCCACCCTCAATTGCCAAGTCCTACGTGACAAGAGACAATCCGGGTGGGAGGGCTTGGGTATCCATCACGCACCCATCATGGGACGTTGTTTGTTACACGAGCAGGATCACGTACGAGACAGGATGGTTATTGGACAGCGGATACAGCGGCTACGGGAAATGAGCAACGAAAAGAAAAGCGATGTTCGTTTTGATACAGATTGGGAAGTCTGTCCGTAAATTATACTCGCCAAAGCAACTGTCTGGTGTTGGTTTGAATGTTTTGAATGCAAGCATTTAAAATTCTATTTGTAAAATCTAATTTTTTTAAGAAGTTGGTGACAAATATAATCAAATAAATTATGTCGTACTCCCTTTATCTTGACTTTCGTCTTGTAGACAGGTTAAACGATTTATTCTGTGAAGTTGTGAAGTGAGACATGCATAAACCCGCGATTCTTTGCGTGGCCAACAAAACGTCACTTCTTGGAGGTCCGTCTACAGAACATACTGCTTAGCCGTGCATCCAGCTACACGTTAAAGCATGCCTCGATTTGGCGGCGCATGCACATTAAAAAATCTTGCGGTGCACAAGGAAGGAAAGAAGGCCAAGTTTGCTCCACATTCCCAACTGCGCTTTTTTGGTACAGGTCACTACTACATCTGTCGCCCTGCATGAACATAGTGTCCGGTAGGTACTGCTACAGGTAATGAACAAGGACAACCGCCAAGTGGGAAAGGTCGCTGTTGTACAAAATAATACGGAGTAAAGTGAGGCACCTGCTAGCTTAAAACCCCGCAGAGGCCAAGGGCGCCTTCTCCCCAGAGCCGTTCGGATGGAGCACTGATGATTCGCGTCTTTGTTTGTGCTTGGGAAAGAGCCAAGGGCGCGGGACAGAAGATGATCGTGTTAGAAAGGGAAGGAAGGGAAATAACAGGAAAGAGCAAAGGGCCAAGAGACGACGGAAAGAACGAGCAAAGCATGAAGAGGAAATGACGGCCATCGATGGTGTCAAAAGGGCAGGCGCATTCGACATTCCATGCTGCAGACCGCTTAGCGAGCCTTTTCAGCGAACCCGCTTTTCCTGTTTCCTCGTTGCTCCTGTCCCCTTCGCTGTGAAATCCTCAACAGGCTATGACTGTCCATTCATGTGAGGCTCAATTACGACTTTAAGAGCCGCGCAGGCTGACATGCGCCGGGCCTGGCAACGCACAATACGCCAATGACTGCAGTTTACCCACGCGACCTCCTGCAGCATTTCGAGCATTTCGAGCCTTTCGCCGGCTTCGTGCCTGTCGTTCCTTCCCTGGTGGTCTCGACGTTACGTCCTGCCTCCCTTGGAGGTTTTTATGCCGCGAGTGGTCATCGTGCTTTCCCAATCGTAGCCTTGTCCCTTTTCAGGACTTCAGCGAAGAGCTTAAATCGTAATTGCCTCGTAGTTGGAGCAGTTTTGGTTCCTTCCCCGCCAATTGTTCCACTCTTTCACAAATATGCCTCCACTAATTTTCGCGGTTGGTCGGTACCGCGAGGTACTTGCACGAGGCAATTGCGACCGACAGCGCTGCGCCATATCCATCTCAGTGGCCTCCGTCACTCTTTCTCTTCTTCGACCCTTTCTGTTTCTCCTTTTTGTCCTCTCTTCTTTTCTGTCTTTTCTGTCTTCTCTTGACGTTTTTCATTTTGATACTTTCTTGCATCGCGCATTTCCCCTCGTCGCACTCTCGCGAGGCTGTATGGTGCATTGGCGACATATGACTGTCGTTTCGAGCCCCACGTCCTTTCTGTAACGATTCACCAACTGGCCTCGGCATTGGCGATTGCCCATTGGCGTTTGCCTGCGACTTCTCGAACCTATTTTGCCCTACCATTTTGCGAACCGGAAAACGTGAATGGGGTACTTTTCCCTGTGAAAAGCCCAGGAGGCCGCTAGAGACCGCCTGTTGGCGAAGATCCGTCCCGGCTTTTTGCTTTTTGCAGCCTTCACTCTGGTTTCTTGCGTGCCAGCCTCTGGTAGCCGAGGATAGGCTCCGCACCTTGGCCAACCCACCCCCAGTCGCATTGGCACACAATTCTCGACGCCCCATTGGTCCGCCGGGCCTCACAAAGTTTTGCTGTGTCCGTTGACGACCTGCGAGAGACCACTTGCGAGGCAATCCCCCAGCCTCGAAAAAATACATAGCTGTCTGCGACTTTGCCTCGCCCCACCACGCGACCATTCGACAGACGACCAGCTTGTGTGGAAGAAGAAGATAAAGACGAAGACGAACGGCGACAACGACGACGACAAACATCCCCAAGGGAACAAGCTGTGGCTCCCAGGCTTCGGATCCTCCCAGAGAGCCTGCTCGACCTCGGCCATCTCCGCTCTACCGTTGCGACAACTTTGGCTTAACCTCAACAGCAGCTCTGTCAACGCCTCCCTTTTGACCCCGACCTCTTGCTTCTTTGTCTTTGCATCTCTGCATCTCTGCTTCTCTGCACCTCTTGCATCCTTCTACCCTTCGGGCACCTTCACTCGACGCCTCCCGTCACGTAGGTCGGCGACCTGTACACAGAGCACGTCCGCTTTGCGATACACGACAGCGACAGCAACGCACCAACGGTGGACCACAGGACAGGAGAACGGCCGCCTGCATCGTCTTTGTACGCCCACCTTCTCTGCCCTTCTCAGCCCTTCTCAGGTCACTTCTCGACGTCTTGTCTCCCTCAGTACCCGGGCGAACCTACATCAGCCTACGTCCTCTGCCCCCCCCCCCCCCCCCCCCCGCCCTGCTTGGACGTTTCCCAAGAGAGCTCATGTCTCTGACGCCAGGACACACGGTCCCCCCGCCGCCCACGGAATAACCGTCCTCTTCCATCTCCAGTCTCTTGTTGCACAAGAGACGCTGACGCCTTGTCCTGCTCCATCCTCCTCCACCATCGCATCCTTGCATTTTCATACAGACCCATGCCACTGCCATTAGTTGCACACTGGACGCCACGAACAACCAACAGCGAAGGGGGCTTGCTTCTTTTGGACACAATACGACATTTTGTGTAGCCCGCCCGTTCTCCTTATACGAGTCCAAATTGAACAAGGAGCACCAAAGAGAGTGAAGGAAACAACAGCTCTGTGTACCGTGCCGCTGCACACTCTCGGAACTTTTTCCTCCTCTCGTTTTCATTTCCTGGGTTTCTGGGGTTTCTGGGTTTCTGGGTTCCTGGTTGTAGCATCAGCCTACACTCACTATCTGTTCATCTGTTTCTCGCCTTTCCGCACCGCGGCTTGCGCCCCGCCTCGTTTTCATCACTGCCCGTCCAACTTGACAGCAGGCAGTACAGACAGCCCCCTTGTCCAATATTGGGATATTGCGCTTCTGCATGCCCGTATAGGACAGCCCAACGCCCAAACCAAGCTGAGCGGCTTCCATATCGCAATATCGCCTTTTGCATACCGCAACCCGCATACAATACACGTCCGTCGCGCCCACGGAGCTCCCTGGAGCTCTACCGTCCCTTTCACCGGCGTCCTCATTGCCGACTTGCCACCTCACCTCAGACGTTGGACTATACGTTGAATCCCGAGTGAGCCTCGTGGCAAGCCGAAGCCCACGCATCTGCACCCGTTCCTGTTTCCCGTCGAGCCACACATTCGTCTTCAGGAGTACGCTGGTGATTTGATTTTGATCCTCCAAGTTAGATTGGATAAACCACAGGCCTGCGCAGCTACGCAATAGACGGCAACGCGGAAGCCGAGCTGGTGCTGTTGTGTACCTCGACCCTGTGCTACCACTATAGGAGCTGGCATAGCTTCCGTCTTTTCTTTTGGTGTTGGCCTCTGCAGGCGCTTTGCAGTTGGTTTTCTTTTCGGTCCCTATCTTTTTATACACACGCCCCCTTCCATTCTTCGAGCTCTCCTGTGCTGGGCTTCTCATCACCCCACCCTCCTCGACGGGCTTTGGATAGGGCCTGTGCCAATCACATCGGGACGACGATCTTTGCTTTTCTTTCTGTTCAGAAGGAGCAAAAGTCACCCACACCACCTCTATTACCAAACAACACGGAAGGTTCTGAAGTTGACTTTGGATAACCTTTTATCTTGTTTTGGTGTTCTTGCCCCTGCGTGCGCATGTCGAATACTTCGTCCGCTCCCTCCTCGTCTAACACGCTTCTATCCGCCTTCCCCACACAATCATATTTATACACCCCTGTTCGTTTTAGGCCCTTGGTTGTATTGCCCACCCTCTCCCTCCGTTGTTCTCATTTGTGGCTTCCTTTTGTTCGCCTGTTCTCCTTGGGGGTCCCTCGCGGCCGCCCTACTATATAAAGACAAGACGGCGAGACATTTCGTGCTGAGAGAATGCTCGAAGACATGGACCTCAACGAAGGCGAAGTCTCAGATGGCGCGTCTGACAACGAATACGACGAGGTCAATCTGCAACTCCTTCGCGAAGTCGACAGCAACGACAACGACAACGAAAACAAAGCCAACAAGGACGAAGACGAAGATATGGATCCGAACAACGACAGCAAGACGGCCAAGACCGCGCCCGGTGCCGATGGCTCGGCGGCCGAACCCAAAAAGAAGTATGACCCCAAGGACCCACTCCGTCCTAGACGGAAGAAGGCTCGGCGGGCGTGCTTTGCCTGCCAGCGGGCGCATTTGACATGCGGTTAGTTTGCTTCCCTCTCTCTTTTTCCCTTGGTTCTTTTCCCGTGGCACGTTACTAATGACAACAGGCGATGAGCGGCCGTGCCAAAGATGCATTAAGAGAGGTCTTGCAGACGGCTGCCAAGATGGCGTGCGCAAGAAGGCAAAGTACCTGCACGACGCTCCGGCCGAGGCCCTTAGACCGGTCCTGGGCCCCAACTTCAATGCCGGCGCCGCGACGAGCACGCCGGCTCGGACAGCCAATGGTAATGGCCACCGGCACCCTTCGAGCGCCGGGTCCGACGTGTCTGCCTCCAATGTCCCGTCCTTCTTCACACAGTCGAGTGCACCCTCCTATCCCGTCTTTTCGACCTCGCAGACCGCGGCAGGTTCTCTTCCTGAGAACCTCACCTTCCCCAACCCCCAGTCCCCCGTCTCGCCGAGCTTTGCAACAACCGCTAGCGAGGCCAATGACCCGTTGAATCGCCTGAGCCTGTCATCTGCGTCAGCCGCCATGGCGAATTTCTCGCCAGCGCTCTTCGACCCCAGCAACCCGGCTCTGTTCAACTTCAACCTTGAAGGCATCAACTTTGGCAGCCAGTATGCTGCTATGGAGTTTGGTATGCTCGGACACATGTCGTCAGGTGCTGCAGATGACCCTAATGACCCATCGTCCATATCCCAGCAGGGTGGACGTGTTGGTTCCGGTGTGGGCAGCTTCAGCTCGGCGGCCGGTGTCTTTGGGAACGGCGGTGTCAACCAGACCCTCTTTGATGGCGGTGCAGCTTCCAGCAGTGCTGGAGGATTGATGAACGACTTTATGAACCTGGACAACTCGTCCAGCAACGGCTTTTACACACAGGGCAACCTGCAGCATGGCCTGCCACATGCCTACGCCATTGCTGCGGCGCCGGCCAGCCTGCAGAGCCCTAGTACGGACAACAACAGCCCGCAAGCCACAAATTACGGCTTTGAAGGGTCTCCGACCACGGCGGTGTACAGTCTGTCAAACCTGACCAACAACGGTACCGGCAGCAGCAGCAACGGCCAGGGTCGGTCGTCGATCTCCCAACAAGCGCAATCCACACCGCAACAGTCCCTACAGCAGCAGCAGCAGCAGCAGCAGCAGCAGCAGCAGCAAAAGGCCAAGAATGCCGTGTCCAAGGTGTTGCCGCAGTCCATCCTCGGAAAACGCCACCGGGACCCGTCCTCCATATACGAGCTCGTCAAGGAGCCGTACATGTATGTCAATGGCTTCCACCGGCTGATTGCCCTGCTCCAGCGGCGGTTTGCCGCTGGTAAGATTTTGCGCATCGCCAAGGCCCTGTCCAGCATTCGGCCCTCCTTTATCTCCTGTACGCGCACGCTCAACCGCCAAGATCTTGTCTTCATGGAGAAGTGCTTCCAGCGCACGCTCTTTGAGTACGAGGAGTTTATGAACCAGGTGTCGAGCCCGACCGTTGTCCTGCGACGGACCGGCGAGGTGGCGGCCGTGAACAAGGAGTTCACGGCGCTGACCGGCTGGACCAAGGACGTGCTCCTGGGCAAAGAAGCGAATCTCAACGTCAACACAGGGACGCCGGCGGGTGCGTCGAGCGGCTTGGGCGGCACTGGATCGGCCACCACTGGTCTTGCCCCTGGCAACGAGGAGAGCAACAACAGCGGGACCGGCAGTGCTGCCAACTCGGGGCGTGCGGGCCTGACGACGCCGCGGCTGCGGACGCTCAACGCTGAGATCGTCAAGGCCTCGGAGGGCAAGCCCCAGCCGCTGTTCCTGGCCGAGCTCATGGACGACGATAATGTCATTGAATTCTACGAGGACTTTGCGCACCTGGCCTTTGGCGACAGCCGTGGTTCCGTCAACCGCAAGTGCCGGTTGCTCAAGTACCGGACGCGCGACATGCTCGCCTCCTCCACCAGCGGCAGCGTGGCTGACGAGCCGCACGCGGGGGGCGGTCCCGCCCCGACGCCGTCGGGACCAGGGGCAGCGGCCACGGGCGCGGCCACGGGCACGGGCCCGACGACCACAAGCTCGGGCACCCTTCGGCCCGCCAGCAGCATTCTGAGCAGCCGGGTGGCACGCATTGACGGCGAGCATGGCATTGCAAAGATTGAAAAGGACGGCAAGCTGGAGTGTTCCTACTGCTGGCACATCCGGCGGGATACCTTTGACATACCCATGATGATTGTGATCAATGTGAGTCATTCCGTTACTCTGTCGGGACGTGAAACTTGAACAAAAAAAAAAAAAAAAAAAAAAAAAAAAAAAAAAACAAACAACCATACTGACTCTCACTTGTCCAGTTCCTTCCTTGCTACTATCCCAACCAAGAACCGCACCAGTTGGCTGTATAGTAGAATGCACCTGGCCGGCTTCCAGGGCTGGTGGGTGATGTGATGAAGAGGGGGGGATCTGTCTTCCTTGTCGCTGTATTGCATTTTTATATTTTGCTGCGAACCTACGGTTTTGTGCTTTGTGTTTTGTTCGTGGTCAGGCATCGGCGGAGTTTTCTTGGTTTCTTTTCGCTTTTTGGATCTTTTCGTCTATTCTTTTTCTCTTCTTTCGCTTCTTTATTCACCCATCTGCATTGTTTTGGGTGTTGATCTGTTTCTTGTACCGCCCTGTCATGCCTGACCGGCGGCGTCTTACTTACGACATTTTGATCGTTTTTGAGGAGGGCCTTTTCGGTTTTTTTACGTCCTGTAGAGTTTCTGGAAACTGCCATTATTATATACCTGCAATGCGCTGTTTTGTTTACAATACCAAAAATATCCTACCAAACCCCTTTGTCCGTGACGGCCGCCAATTTCTGTGCTTTACCTATTCTGAAGAGGTCGCACGCATGTCTCAATCGTAAGCTCCCCCTGCCAGACCTTTCATCACATACTGTATTTCGTACCTATTCCGCATAATGTACACCATCTAATGCATATTTGCGAATGTCTGTCGATATGCATGCAGGATGCCGTAATTATGGTGGTGAGTGAGAGTCACGTGCGCATCCCAGCCAAAGAACGTTCGTGAAATCTGGGCCAGGCAGGGAAGGCGCAAGCGGCGGGGGCAACATAACGGAATCGCGCCGGCGGATCCCGTGGCTGACTTCGAAACGGCGTGCCCTTGGACTCTTTTTACATTTGCCCTGTCCTCCCCCTTTTCTCTCATTCTCCCCCATTTCTCACCCCGCACAACAACAATGACATCTTCACGTCCGTCGATTGTCGGCCCTGATGCGGGGCCCGAGCTGCCCTTCCCCGTCAAGATGGAGGGTCCTGTGATCAGCGGTTTCGGACGGGGATCCAAGGAGGTGGGACGACGCCATGTTGTTTATTTCGATTGTTGCGCAGCCTTTTTTATATTTTTGTGCTTTTGTGCTCCCTACTGACACATTCCCCTAGCTTGGCATTCCCACGGCCAACCTACCCGTCGACGCCAAGGCCACGCCCTGGATCGCCGACTGCGTGTCCGGCGTCTACTTTGGCTGGGCCGTGCTCGAGGCCGCGCGCCCGGGCGAGGCTGCTGCCGCCGAGGCCAACGGCGTCATTGGCAATGGCGTGACGTCCAAGCTCCCCGACGAGAGTGCGCCCGACCACACGGACAAGACGGCCGCCGTGGCCGGCCTGTACCCCATGGTCATGTCGATTGGGTACAACCCGTTCTACCAGAACAAGACGCGCACGGCCGAGGTGCACATTCTGAGCCCCTTTGCGCACGACTTTTACGGCGCGCACCTGCGCCTGGCGATCCTGGGCTACATCCGGCCGGAGCAAAACTATGCGTCGCTGGACGCGCTGGTGGCGGACATCCAGTTTGACTGCGTCGTGGCGAAGACGTCGCTGGCACGGGCGGGGTGGACGCCTGCTGGACAGTCGACGGCGTTGGCGGGTGCAGAGAACGTGACAGAGGGCAAGGGCGCGACCGGCGGGACGCTGGTGATTCCATGGCTTCTCGGTTGAGTGGGCTCGACGAGGTGGCGACGAGCGAAACTAGACTTTTTCGTATTCTTATTTCGGCGTATCGATGACCGGACAACAACGATAGATAGACGACCGTGGGAAGTGGTCAGACAGACGATGAAACGAAATACGACACTGCATTTTATGACATAAAACGTCCATCTTGATTTGAGCTATTCATGCTGTGTGCTTTTATTGGAGCGTGCAACGAACCCCTCCGCCTGCATCTGTAACCTACCTACAACCGCACGAGGCTGACGTCCAGGATGCCCTCCGACTCACGCAGGTCATCAATGACGGCGGGCGTCACGGCAGGGCCGTCCACGCCCAAGATCATCAGCGCCTCGTTCTCCGTGCCCGTGGTCACGCTGCGGCGGCGCACGGCGCCACTGCGGTCGACGCTCGCCACGTGCATAAACGTAATGTTGATGCCGTGGCGGCCCAGTGCCATGCCGACGTGGCCAATCTTGCCCGGCTCGTCGTAGTTGTGGAGCACCAGAAGCGTGCCCTCGGGCACAAAGTTGGCCACAAAGCGGTCGACGCGGCTGATGTAGATGCTCTTGCCACTGACATAGCCTTCAATGATCTCGTCGGGGAGTGTCGTGGCAGCCGCGGGCGCGGCCACAGTGGCAAGGGCAGCGGGTGCGTCGTCGACCGGAGCAAGAGCCGGCCCGTCCTCTTCACCGCTGGGTGTGGCGCTTGTCGACGCCTCGGGCTCATCGTCGGCCTGCGCCCGCAGGCTCACACCACTGCCGCCCTCGCTGCGATCGTGCGTCTCACGAATGGCCAGGCCCTTCTCCTTGGCAATCAGCGTGGCGTTAACAATGTTGACGTCGCGGCCACCAGCATCGGTCACAGACGACACCAGGCCCTTGACCAATGCGGCAAACAGGGGCCGTGTGTTAGCAACGTCAGCGAGCTCGCCGCGGTAGACAAGCTCGAAGCGGCGGCGCGGGCGGCGGCTGCCGCTCAGCGAGCCCGGGCGGGAGGCACGGCTAAAGTGCTGTGTGTACAGGCTGCCCATGCGCTCCACAAGGCGCACGTACGGCTGCAGCTTGCGGTATTCCTCGGGCAAGATCAGCGGCGCGTTGACGGCCGCCGTAGGCAGGCCGCCGCGGAGGATGGTGCGCATCTGGGCGCACACGTCGAGCGAGACGTTTTCCTGGGCCTCGACGGTCGAGGCGCCCAGATGCGGGGTGGCGACCACCTTGGGATGGGCCGCCAGGCGGGCGGCCCAAGACTTGCCCTCGGGGTCCGGCTTGACCGGCTCGGACGTAAATACGTCAATGCCGGCGCCCGCAATCCAGCCGTTGTCGAGCGCGTTCACAAGCGCCTCCTCGTTGTAGACGCCGCCGCGCGCCACGTTGAGCACGCGCGCTGCCGGCTTCATCGCCTTGAACTGTGCCTCGTCCAGCAGGTTGAGCGTCGTGGCCAACAGCGGCGTGTGGATGGTCAAAAAGTCCACCTGCGGCAGCAGAGCATCAAGCCCGCTCTTCTCATTGCCGGGTGCACCAGCCGTATTGGCGACGAGCTCGACGCCCGCGCTGCGGGCCACCTCGGGGCTGGCATAGGGGTCGTAGGCAACGACACGCATTCCCAGGCCCTTGGCCATGCGGGCGACCTGCATGCCGACCTTGCCCAGGCCGACAATGCCCAGCACCTTGCCACCAACCTCGACACCCACGAGGCTGCTGCGAGCCCACTTGCCCTCCTTCATCGTGGTGTCAGCGCGGCCAATGTTGCGGGCCGTGGCCAGAAGCAGCGCCACAGTGTGCTCGGCGGCGGCACGAATGTTGCCCGCAGGCGAGTTGACGACAATGATGCCGTGCGTAGTGGCCGCATCCACGTCAATGTTGTCGACACCGACACCGGCGCGTGCCACAACACGCAGCTTGCGGCCAGCAGCAAGAACAGCAGCTGTGACCTTGGTCTCGGAACGGACAATGAGGCCGTTGTAGGAGGGGATGGTCTGCAGCAACTCCTCGGCGGAGAGGCCCAGGCGGATATCGACCTGGCAATGGTCCTGGAGCATGGCGAGGCCATCCGGAGAGACCTTTTCGGGAACGAGGATGCGCGGTCGGTTGTCTGTGGCCACAGCAGCCGGAGAAGTGGCCGCAGGGGCCGCAGCAGCAGCAACAGGCTCTTCGACAGCGGAGGGAGCCATGATGTTAGAGACAGAGGTGGGGGAGGGCGCGCGGGGGTACGATATAAAGAACAGGACAAGAGCAAGTCTGCTTAGAATCTGAAACTGGCCTCGACGTTCAACTTGGAAGAAAACACACGATGCCGAGAAAGAAAGAAGAGGAAGCGAAAGAGGGGGAGAGGGAATAGAAAGAAGGAGAAGAAAAAAAAAAAAAGAGCACAGACGAGATCATAAGTAAAACGAGGGGTCTGAAAAGGACGAGGCGAGAGAAAACGACACACACAAGAGGCTACTCCCACTGCGGCCTCGAAGGGTCCATCATCTCGTGGCGCCGAAGGGGCCATCTCTCGTTGGTGTGGACGCCGCACATCGGGGACGTGGGGTGTAGGGCGAGCCTTTGACAGGACAAGCAGACCAACCGAAGTCAGTATAAGCAGTCAGGAAGCGCCAATAGTGGCCGCGGCGCTTCGGGTGTTGGAGAGACCGGTCGGTCGGCTAAGGCGCAAAGATGCAGGAAAAAGTGTCACAAGAGGCCATGAGCACAACAGGGGCAATTCTCGCGAGAGAACCAAATGCCAAAAACAAGGAGGAGGAGGCACGAAGAGATCGAGGCAGAGGGCGTCAACTGCGACATCGCTGAGAGCAGAAAGACTGCATATTGGCTGGGGGTCGAGCAGGACCACTGGCCAGTCGTTTTGTCGAAAGGACAGCCAGCGCGCCCCGGACTTGTAATAAGATCGTCTAAGGCAGCCGAGCGTGTGGGGGAGGTGCATTGTTGGAGGGCGTGTTGGAGTGGGATGGCGTAGGACGAGGAGAGAGGAGACAGGAAGACAAGAGGATGACAGCGTCAAGTAAAAGGGGCAGACTGTGGGGTTGGCTATCCATGGACTCTGGGGAAAGCGCCCCAGCTTACACTAACAACTAACAGGCAAGTGCGAGCTGAACTACCGGCGGTCGACCCTTCCCCGATTTTGCTTCACTCTTGCTCTTTCCACTCTTTCCTTTCCCGCCTGTTGTTGTCTTTGTGTTTGCTATTGTCCCGTTCTGTTGTTCGCCCTTTCCTTTCACGTTCGGTTACTACCCCACACACTTTTACTGTCGAGGCTGGGCAACCTGTTTTGCCAAGCACATTACAGGTAGCCCTTTCCTTGCGGGGGCGGCACATGAGCGTGGGGAACGGCTGACATCTACGACGCACAATGGCCTGTGTCTATTTCTCGTATCACACCGACGTGCATCTCTCTTGGAAGCATCGAAAACAACTCAGAAACGTGCAAGGTAGACCATTCTCTATATACCTATCCAGACTCCGCACGTTCAACACCAAGCACACCTTCATCTTTTTGCAGACCAGCCCACAGAACAGCATCGCTTCCCAAGTTGCAATTTCATATACCTCGTAGCCTCGTTACACCGACATGCCGTCCTATCTGCATTTACTGGTCAAAGTTGGGCTTGCCCGCCAGACGCTCGTTCTGCACAATCTCGACCCAGTAGCCGTCCGGGTCCAGCACAAACGCCACGTTCTTCATGCGGCCATCCGTCAGCCGCTTCTTCCAGTTGACGTTGAGGTCCTCGAACCGCTGGCACGCCGCGTCGAGGTCGTCCACCGACACGCAGATGTGGCCGAAGCCCTGCGGCTCCTTGTTGCCGTCGTGGTAGCTGAACGCGGCGTCCGACTCGGTGCCGTGGTTCCACGTCAGTTCCAGCACGCCCTCCCGCAGGGCCTCCTTGGCCATGCCCTCGGGGACGTCGGTGGCGTTGCCGGCCGCGTAGCCCAGGAAGAAGTTGGTGAACTTGGCCGCCGGGTTGGGCGCCGTGCGCAGCAGCGACATGCCCATGACCTCCTGGTAGAACCGGAGCGCCTTCTCGCTGTCCTTGACGCGGATCATGGTGTGGTTCATGCGGTACGTGGTGACGTCCGTCGTGGTGACGTCGGCCGTGGCCTCGAGTGGCCGCTGGCCAATGATCTCGACCCAGTAGCCGTCCGGGTCCAGCACAAAGGCAATGTGGCGCATGCGGCCGTCCGTCAGCTTCTTCTGGAACGTGTAGCCGGCATCCTCGATGCGCTGGCAAGCCGCCTGGATGTTGTCGACGGAAATGCACGTGTGGCCAAAGCCGCGGTGCGGCTCCGTGTTGCCGTTGTTGATCTTGTAGTCGGGGTCGGTCTCCGTGCCGTAGTTGTGCGTCAGCTCAATGACGCCCTCGCGGTCAAAGACGCTGTGGCCCGCCGACACGGCCGACGGCGAGTCGTAGGCCAGAAAGTAGAGGTCGAACTTGGCTTCGGGGAACTGCAGCTTGCGAATCTGCTTGAGGCCGATGGTCTCGTAGAATTTGACTGCGGAAGAGGTTAGCTGCCAGGGCTCTCGTGCATTCCGCAGTCCGCATTTCGCATCCCGCATCCCGCATCCCACGCACCCCACACGCGCCTCCCCTGTTTCCTGCTGTCAAGAGCCGAAGGCGGGCCACCACACCAGCCCTCTCGCTCGTGTCCATATCCATTCCCACTCGTCTCCGTCCGCCTTTCTTCAGCCTTCTCTTGTCTCGGGTGCTACGTACGCGACTCCTTGGGGTCCTTGACCCGCAGCCTGATGTTTGTTAGTCTCTGCTCCAACATTGCACATTGCCCGGCCGTTGGCCTTTCCTCGTGAATCAGAAATACACGCACATGGTGTGGTTCAGCTTGTAGGTGCTGGGGTCTGTCGTCTTGGTGGCCGCCATGGTTGCAAAGAGGCGCGTCCTCGGCGAAGAGATGGGAGGGTAGAGCTGGTGGTGCACAGAAGCAAGGCGAAAGCGCGCGGCACGGAGCGTGTTCATGCGGGTGAGTATTGGATGGGTTGCGTGTCGATGGGATCAGAAGAACTCAAGAACAGGACGTGCTTGTAGAACGGTAAAGAAGAAAGTCTCGCCAGGACATTGTCAGAAAGAAACAATCGTTTTCTGGGTCTCGCTGGGTCCTCTGGCTTGTTAGGGCCGGTCTCGCACTCTGGTTGCTTGTTTGCTATGCCCCGCTCGGTGCTCGGCCACACATCACCGACAGACAGCACTAGCCGCAACGTTTTCCAATGGCAAAACGTTCCATTCACGACGCGGCAATTGGCGGCAATTGATCCATGACCTCGACGTCAATGGGAAACGGATTTAACCAGCGGAAAGACAACTCCAGCTGCTTACAAATTTGTGCAGTTGCGGGCTGCGTCGCAGGGGAAAGAGAGACCGAGTCTCAAAGCCCCAGAAGGGCAAGAGCCTATGATGCACGTCATAAAGCGGGGTTACAAGCTTCCGCCGGGCTTAAAGCTCGGAGCTCTGTTGCCACGTTATTCCCATAGCGCTCACATATCAAATCAATGGAGCAGCACCAGAAGAACATTCAATGTGGGCATGAACAACAATACAATATCAATCGTATATAACCTGCTGGCCCACGTCCTGGTATATACCAAAATGAAAGACATGCAAACGGTGAGTGCGACGGTGACTCGACCAAACCAAAACCAAACCATAAACGAAAGTGGACGCCGCCAGTCATCAAACGTTGGCAAAACGCACGAAGCAGACACCAGAGCACCCAAACGCCCTCCCACGAGCACTGCGTCATTGCTTGGCCTCCTCGCCGTCGCCCAGCTCCTTGACGAGCTCCTCCGTCACAAACTCCTCGTACTCCTCCAGGTTCTTCTGCACGTGCATCTTGAACTTGATCACGTCGTTGAGCATTCGCATGATCTCCGTGTGCAGCTCTTCGCGAAGAGCGCTCGCCCGCAGTGTCAATTGCTCGTACCTAGAGGATGAATGTCAGCAAGAAAGACGAAAGAAGAAATACGGATTTGTTCGTTTGCCATTGTGGGGCATGGACTCACTCAATGTTGGTGTTCATCTCGCGCTGTTCCATCAGCTGCACCGACTCCGAGAGACTGGCCCGCATTTTGGCCAGCTCCTTCTCCATCTTCTCAATCTGCGCGTCCGAGGCAAGCCGCTGCGCCGTCGTGACCTCCTTGGTCTTCTCGTGCTCCTGCTCGGCCGCCCGCACCCGGTGCTCCAGCGCCTCCACCTCGCTGCGCTTGTCCTCCATCGCCTCCTTGATGCTGTCCAGCAGGTCGTGGTCCTTCATCATCGTCTCGAGCGCCGTGCTGCGCCGCTCCGACACCTCCTTGCGCAGCGCCAGGAAGCTGTTCTTAACGTGCCCCCGTAGGTCTAGGTTGAGGATGTGTCCCGGCAGGTAGCCTGTCACCGGATCAGCGAGCAGACGCTCCGTCTCCATGTTCCCGGTGCCCATGTTCATGGACGCATCGGTCGACGATTCGCCAAAGCTCGGACCCTCATTCACCTTCACCCGTAGCTCGTAGTCGCGTCCCTTGGCGTTTGCTGCGGTCTCGGGGATCAGGGCAATTTGATAGGCCAGTGTGTTGTAGCGGTCGACCGTACGTTCAAGCTCCTCCAGCTTTCGGCTAGCGTCCACCTCGCGCTCTGCCACCTTCCTCTTGGCCTCTTCGAGCCGCTGTCCCGCAGCCTCGATGCCCTTTTGCAGTCGTTCGCGCTCCGAGTTCATGCGATCGATATCCGCCATGCTGATGCCCTGATCGTCAACGGCTTGTCGTAGGCTGCGCTGCTCGTTCTCGGCCTCTTCCACCTCCGCCATTAGCTTGTCGAGCTCTTCCTGGAAAAGCGGAATGCGTGTTTCATGCCGCTCGCAGCGCTGGAGAGCCAGGTCGTTGTACTCCTCAAACTTGATCTTGTCCTCCTCCATGACCTTGAAGTCTTCGTCTAGCGCGGCCAGGTCGGGCGTGGATTTCTCGAGGTCGCTGATGTCCTGGAGCAGCTTGGCGTGCTCGGCCTCCAGGATGGCCAGCTCCTCCTCGTGCTTCGCGTAAGCTTGGTCGAGTTGCCGCGTCATGTTGTCAATGTGTGGTGCCAGCATCTTGGCCAGCTGTTCGGCGTCGTCCGTGCCCTGGCCATCGTCGCCGTCGGCATCCACGTCCATTACTAGCCAGTCCTGGTATGCGTGGGCCAAAAACTCAAAGGTGATGTGATCAGCCACCACGTCGATGCCTGCCTCGGCACATGCGTCATCGTACCGGTTGCTTGCGTACCGCTCGAGCATGATGGCCAGTTCCATCATCCAGTGCAGCATTCCCAGGAACGTGCCCCAGTTCTGTCCTCCCACAGCCGCGATCTGGCTCTTGGTGATGCCCTTCTCGTACGGGTAGCGAATCTGCTTCATCAGCAAGGGCACCTCCTGGTCGATGCTCTTCTGAAAGCGGTAGCTTGGATCGATGCGCCGATACAGCCATTGGAACATGTAGACAAAGTCCTTTTGTGTTGGTGACTTGATCACGTTCTGTGACAGGGTGTGGCTCATCTCCAGCTCGAAGTTGTGCTGGGTCATGTACTCGATGACCTCCTGGCCAATGCGCGCGAGGTACGAGCGGTCTTTGAGAGGTCGTGGATCGCGCATCGCACCCGCTGGTGCTGGCGCTTGGGAGAAGAAGCTCTGGTGACTATTGCCGCCACCACCCATGGATGTGATGCCACTACCGAGTGCGCCGCCCATCCCACCCATAGTGCCCACTGTTGACTGGCGCCCACCACGGTAGACACTGCTTCTCCTATCGCTGCCACCGTCGGTTGAAGCGCGCCCCGCCATGCCTGGTGTGAATGGTTGCCGCACCGACGACCGCTTGACGGAAGCAAGGCCCATGTCGGCTAGTGTTGTCTGGTTGTTGCCGGACGACGAGGTGCGTTGGAAGAGTGGCTGGTTTGGTCGCGTGGGCGCGAGCGAGTGCCGCGAGCCGGACAGAGAACGCATGTGGCCGGATGTCGAAAAGGGCACGGGGCCGGCGTTGTTTGCCGGTCCTGCCGAGGAGTTGGAGCGCTTCAGTGCCGAAGGTGGTTGGGGGATCGCGGTCGAGTTGAGGGTCAGGCCGCCGAGAGTCTGTCACGTTAGACACGAGAATGTGAAGAAGAAGAAATTAAAACTAGGATATGTCGAAACGCACCTCTCTTGGGCGCCGAACACTCCAATGCCCAGTATCTTGGGCCATGCCGTCGTAGTATTTGTTGGCGGGGATGCGATTGCCGTTTCTCGGGTGGTGTCGTGTCGCTGTCGTGATGTTGTTGTTGTTGCACTTGTTGTTGTCGCGTTGATCCTGGATAACGTCGTCTAATACGAAGCGTAAAAGATCCGGTCGCGTGGAGTTCAAAAAGTCGCCAAATGCTACGAAGCGCAGTCGTCGCGAATGTCGGATGCGAAATTGCGAAGTGGGTGGAAGAAATTAAAGACAAAGTAATGCGACCGACGCATACCCAAGTAGTCGTTGCCCTGGAAGAAATGTAAACAAGGCGCATGGCGGGGTATGATTGGCTGAACTAAGCCGGCCCAAAATAAAGGAGCTTGCGACCGTGTCACGTGAGAAAACCGATGATATCCTTAATCAGCAAATGCACGTGACTGTGATTCCACGCCCCTGCTAAACGGACAAAGCGCAGCGTGCAGCCTCGGTCCAACCCGGCCACCTGAATTTACAGTGCACGCTCTCCGCAAAACGACGTGCGTGTGAAAGGCGCCAGCGCGAGTGGAGCATCCGTCTCGTGGAGAAGAAAGCCGAATTCGTCGAATGCTCTTTCGTCCTAGTACCCTTTTCCTCCTCTTGTTCTTCGTTTTCCATCTTTCCATCACCTACCCAATCTACCATCGGCATCGGACCTTTACTGCTCCTTTCGTCGTCGCTTTTCCGTCATCCGGTTGATACTGGTCTGCGAACAAGGACACTTCCCCGATCGGCGTAGAACCAACGCGACCAAGATGGCGATCCGCGAGGATCTGGTCGTATCGGCGGCCAAGTTCCTCCAGGATCCCTCGGTGGCCTCATCGCCGCCGGAAAACCGCGTGGCCTTCTTGAAGGCCAAGAACCTGACACCCGAGGAGATCACTGCCGCGCTTGCGCGGGCCGGTTTCGACAACGGCGGCAACGCCGGCCCGGTCAGCTATGGTATCTCGCCTCAGCCATCAGCTCCCCCTCAGCAGCAGACCTTCTACGGCAACCCATACGGCCAGCCACAACAGTACCCTCCTTACGGATGGCAACCGCCGCCGCCACCCGAGGCCCTCCCACGGCGCGATTGGCGCGACTGGTTCATCATGGCCACGATCGTCGGCGGCGTTGGTTATGGCCTGTACAGCATGACCAAGGTACGTAGTGCAAGACACTTGACAGCTTTACTGCGAGTCATCCATTTTGCACCCAGTTCGGACACAACTAACACATTGTTGCAGAGATACGTGTACCCCCTTGTTGCGCCCCCAACCCCGGATCGGCTGGAGCAGGACAAGAAGGCCATCGACGAGCAGTTCGAGCGTGCATTTGCCCTCGTCGACCAGCTGGCCAAGGACACGGACGAGCTGAAGGCGGCTGAGAAGGAACGCACAGAACGGCTGGACCAGGCCCTCACAAACCTCGAGACGGTCATCAATGAGCTGAAAACGGCCAGCAAGCGCCGTGAGGAGGATGCCGAGCGTCTGCGGGACGACGTGCGGGGACTCAAGGATGCGCTGCCGAAAGCGCTTGACACGCAGCGCGAGGTCACGGACGGCCGCCTGCGCGAGGTGAACACGGAGCTCAAGGGCCTCAAGACGCTGATCGGCCAGCGCATGGGTGGCGGCAGCACGGCCACTGGTAGCTCGCCCGTGAACGGTGGTCCCAGCTACCTGCGCGCTGCCAGCGTGGCGCCGAGCTCGACATCGGCGCCGTCCGTGGTGTCGGTTGAGAGCGAGGGCACGGAGACCGCGAACAAGGCGGCGGCGACGCCTTCCGCCAACCCTCTGGCGACGACGGTCGAGACGGTCAGCAACAACACTGGCAACAGCGGTTTCGTCAGCGGCTACTCGGCAGCCAACCTGACCAGCAACAGCAGCAGCCCGGCCCCGGCAGCGACGTCGCCGCCTTCGTCATTCAGCTCCTCGGGCAAGGCCTCGATCCCCGCGTGGCAGCGCGCCATGCAGAAGCCGGCCGCTTCCACCAACGGCACTGCCAGCAGCAGCAGCGCACAGCCCGAGGCGTCCGGTAGCGCTTAGATACTACGCGCACACAAGAAGCCTGGCAAACGGTATAAGGGTAGACTGAACAGTTGGAGCGGGAGCTTACTAAATTGGGTGTAACGCACGCAACCTGTATTATATGGCATTTTACTCTTTTTAATTTTGCACTTGTTTCTTATTCGTATTTACATGTATTTTTTTCACCTGCTGAGGTTTATCCTACGTGGACTGAAGGCTTTTATTGCTGCGCGTCTATTTCAACATTTGGCGAACTCTGGTCGGTCGTCGCTTCCTCATGCTTTGGCCTGTTCCTGACGAATTTAAAATCGACAAGAGCGACCCAGATTTATGGTCGCAGTTTCCGTCATGCAAAATAAGAAGTAAACATGCAGACAATACAAACAACTCATCACAGGACTCGCTGGACAACAGCGCCTTCCTAATGCTTTCCAATTCAGTCGCACCTGCGCTATGAATGCACTTTGTTAGAAGCACCTTCTAAGCAAGGCTGCCAAATGAGGAAAGAGCTAGTTTTCGCTTCCCTGTTTAGTAGCGGTTAAGCGTGTGAACGCTCTTGCCGGCGCCCTAGACGTAAGATTTCAATCGCACTTGCCTCGGCACGCCCATAGCTTCATGCGCTGTGCAGCCAGTCGCATTTGGAATGTTGACTCTGGCTCCATCACCGCCCCGCTTCCCCAAGTTGGCGACATTGTTTCTCCCCTTTACAGACAACATAGCCAAACAAGAGAAATTTACCCCTACATTATTGTATTTCAGTCCGTTTCTGTCCCAGCCCGGATCTGCAGTCCTTGGGTGCCAAGGAGACCCATGATTTTTAGGACCGTGGATTTATATACATCGAACGCCGTTTCGACCGGCTCTCGGAATCTATTCGTCACCAAACACAACCCTCCAGGCCTCATCCTACTCATTAACCGCCGCATCTCACGGCCAAGTTTTGGAGTCCGGCATCTCGATACGACGTACAGCCGCATTATCCACTGTGTAGGTATTTCCCCGTACGAGTCTCTCATTTGGCTGTGTTGAACTGACCATGCTTAGATCTCGAGTCCGCAGCTCCAGGCGCCGTTCTACAAGATTGGCTGTTTAGACGAGTCGGCAATCCAGCAGTAGCCTTGTCTTTTAGGCTGCCTTGCTTCTCAACCTCTCCTCTCTGTTTCCTTTTATTCTACCTTTCTTTTCTTTAGCTTCAAACCGCATACCTTTTGTTCCCTAGCACACATTCGCAATGGCACAAACCAATGCTGGCCAGGTGGCCGTTGACGCCCAGGTTAAGGACTCGGTGATGCCATCCGAGAAGACCACGCCAAAAGAGATTAGGCTCTCTCTCATTGACCGTGTCAATCTCGCCCTCATTGCCATGCCCGTCGCCGCTCGGACTGCTGCACGGCACATGTTGGGTTTGTCGGGGCCTTCCAAGTACCTCGACCTAAGATCTGAAGTCATCGTGGCCGTTGTCCGCGCCTTGGTTGTCCCACAGCGTCCTCCGTTGACATCGCTACCGTTCTTCACTTCGCCCGCAGACGGTGCTCACCGCTCTGGTGGACGCAGCATTACAGATACACAGCGCTTGCTCAACCGTGACCCGGGTGTCATGGGTCCTCTCTGGGTTAGCAAATACACTGCGCCTGGAGCTGCAAACGCCGACGAAAGTGCAAGCATTAGCGATGCTCTGGCCGACGTTGTCAAGCGTCTGCACGTTGAAGAAGGGGAGGGACGCAACGGCGCACCCTTTCCAGACATCAGCTGGCCCGATGTGGTGCCTGTAGAGGCTGAGTGGATTGGCCATCGTACAGGTGCGAGAGAGAGCGCCCTTCTTCCTGAATACATGGACGAGAAAGAGCGGTACGCGGCCCTCATGAACCACATCACAGCACCGCAGCCTACAACCGTGCTGTACCTGCACGGCGGCGCCATGTACCTGCTTGACCCGGCCACACATCGCCCCGCCGCTCTCGCCCTGTCAAAGAGGATCGGCGGCCGTTGCTATTCGGTGCGGTATAGACTGGCTCCCCAGTCTGCGTTCCCGACGCAGATCCTCGACGCTCTTGTGTCGTATCTGACGTTGTTGTACCCGCCGCCGGGCGCCTACCACGAAGCGGTTTCGCCAGCGCATATTGTCTTTTCTGGAGATAGGTATGTTGCGCCAGTTTTCACTTTGACCAGCCGCTCCGGTGCAAATGCTAACTTCATTGTCCATTTTTGGCAGTGCCGGTGGAAATCTTTGCTTGGCACTGACGCGTGTGCTGCTCGACTTCCAACGCAATGACACTCGAATCATGTGGCATGGATCTCGTCGCGAAGTTCCATTGCCTGCCGGTGTCGCGGTCAACTCTCCTTGGGTCGATGTCAGCAACAGCTCGCCATCGTGGCAGCCAACGGCGGAGTCTGGCCGTGCCGAGTTTGATTATCTCCCACCCATGATTCTGCCGGGCAGCGATGGCCTCAATCGCCCGCCGTGCGAGGCGTGGCCCTCAAACCCACCACGCCGCTTCATCTACATCGAGACAGATCTAGTCACCCATCCGCTCGCGTCGCTCTTCACCAGTGACCCCAAGGGCTGGAGCGGTGCACCGCCAATGTATGTTTGTGTTGGGTGGGAGCTGTTGGCGGACGAGGTAGCCTTTATGACAGCCTCGCGACTGTACAACAACGGCAATGGGGCATCCGCCGTGGTGTTCGAACAGTACGAAGCCATGCCACATTGTTTTGCACTGGTTCTATCTCGGCTGCCTGGAGCTAAACGCTGCCTTAACGGGTGGGCCGGTTTCATTCGACAGGCGGTCGAACGGCCGGAGACACTGCGGCAGGGGGCGACCGGTCCCGGATCTGGGTCGTCGTTCACGCACATCAAGGCCAAGACATTGGAGGAGACACCCATTGACCCTGCCACAATGAGCCCGTACACCGAGGAGCAGATCAGAGAGGCCATCCGTAAGAGGCTGGAAGGACCGTCGGTACGCCAGCCTGTGGTAGCTAAGACTAATGCCAAGCTGTGATTGCGGATCGTGCCCTAGACAATTGACGGTGTATTGGGCAGACTTATGGTTTCTGCTCCGTCCCTAGAAAACATAAACGGGTTGTTCGGCTCGATACCCTCTGTTACTTTGATAATAAGTAGTTTTAGAAAATACAATTAATGCACACTCTGACCATGCTTTCGGTGACTTTACAGAACAAAATTAAAATTAAAATTTAACCACTAACAGGCTGTATAAATTCAAATACGAGATCAAAGAAATGCATATCCCAATTTCTATTCCATTGATTTTGAAAAACAGAAACGCCTGCTTATCCCTACACTCGATCTTCCCGTAAAATATATCTTTTAAGTTATCCTGCTTGTCTATTGTCTCATTGTAAGCTGCACATGAAGGTGGCATGATCAATCGCGATATCTAGGAGACATTAAAATAAAAAGAGGGCCTTTGAGGCATCAATAGCCCTGGCAGAGGGGTGCCAAAACTACTTGCGTTCGTGAACCCGCTGGCCAAACTTCCACACCTCGTCAACATGCAGGCGCGTGGTGACGACACTGGCACCACCAGTGACCGCCGCCGTGGTCGGCGATGTGGGCAGCTCGAGCACCTCCTCCGCCGACAGAACCAATAGGTCGGCGTCGGCGCCAGCGTCGAGCGAACCCTTGACACCCTGCAGGCCCAGCATCGCGGCGGGCGTGGAGGTGACGGTGCGCAGCGCCTGCGGGATGGTGGCACCGGTCCAGTTGATAAAGTTCTCGACGCACTCGATCAGCGTAATAGTGCTGCCGGCAATTGTGTCGGAGTTTTCGAGCAGCAGGACCTTGCCGTTCTTGACGAGGCGCATGTGGCGGTCGCCGTTTGTCCAGTCGTACGGCCCATCCGGGCAGCCGACCATGTGCATGGCGTCGGTGACCAGAATGAAGCCGGCCGGGTAGGCGTTGTAGGCGATCTTGACGGTGGTGGGGTGCAGGTGGTTGCCGTCGGCAATGACACCAAAGTAGGGGCGCGGCGACGGGGCCACGGCACCCTCGAGGGACGACGTGGTGGTATCCACACGCACCAGGGGCGTCTCGCCCAGGACGCCAAAGATGCCCGGGTTGCGGTGGTGCAGGGGCCGCATGGCGTTGAAAAGATGCGTGATCATGGTCGCACCGTGGCTGATGGCCGCGGCCGCCTGCTCGTAGGTGGCCTCGGAGTGGCCAATGGCGCACACGATGCCGCGACGGCGGAGCTCGGGGAAGACAATGTCCGTCATGCGGCCGATCTCGGGAGCGGCGGTGATCATGCGCACGGCAGGCTTCCGCTTCTCGTCGGTGACGTCACCAGCCAGGTTCTTGGCGCCGTACATGGCCTCGACGTCGGCAACGGTCTGGGCTTCGCGGAACACCTCGGGGTTGTGCACGCCGTTCTTGGTCGGGCTCAAGAAGGGGCCCTCCACATGGGCGCCCAGAGACTCGGCGCCGTCCTTGGCCTCGCCACGCTTCGGAGCCAGGAACGGCAGCACCTTGTGATACAGCTCGCTCGTCTGGCTGGTGACGGTGGGTACGTAGGACGTGACGCCCGTCTTCACGAGGTTGCGGTTGAGCTCATGGAGGCGCTTGGCGTAGGTTGTCGGCTGGCCCTTGGCGGCATTGTCCTCGTCACCAAACAGGGTGGAAAAGTTGAAGCCGAAAGCGCCGTTGAGCTGGCACTCGATCATGCCGGGGGCCACAATGCGGCCGCCCAGGTCGACCGTCTCATCAGGCAGCACATGATGGTCGTAGAAAGCAGCCTGGCTGCGGACGATCTTGCCCGTATTGGAGCTGATCCAGAGGTCCTCCCAAACGAGGTCGTTCCCGCGGACAAGGCGGCAGTTTGTGAGTTTGGTGATGCCCCGGGTGCCCGGGGCAGTCGGGGAGGAGGGAGTGGTTGTGATAGGAGACGGAGGGACGGAGGACGTGATGATGGACGGCATCGTGTCGTCTGGGATGCCGATATGACGACACTGGTAAAACGAAGGTATAACTAGGGAACGAGAAAACAAAATAGGAAAGCAAGAAACGCAGTAGAACGCGACAGCGGCTGTGTCAAGCGATCCTGCCTGTGTGTCGTGAGTCTCGGTCTAAACTGCAGACGAGGCTGTCTTGCTGATGGTGGTTGATGCCGGCATCATACACACAACAGAAGAGAAATAATAGGAAGAGAGAAGCAAAACAGAGAGGACGAGGACTGTCCCCGGATTATAGCCTTTTGCTCTCGCCGGTAGGGTTGCTTGCTTGGTCGGTCACTCTTTCCCTCGTTCCCTCTTGTTCGGTTTTCATACGTCCGCTAGCACCTGCCGTTTCTTTGACCTTGGACGGCGCACGTTCTTTTACGTTTTTGTTTTGCCTTTTTTGCCTTTAGCGCATTTACAACGCAACATTACCTTTCCTCATCGCTCTGGGCAGCGCCCGTCACACACTCCGTTCCAATTCCACAGCTGCAACGGCTCTCCTGTCACTGCTCGGGCAATTCGCGTCGCCTCCACCGCGAGAGACAGACGTTGGGACCGACAGTCCATTTTGGACCCCGGTTCTGTGTCTCTCCTCAGTCGTTCTTGCCCCTCTCAACATCATGTTTGCCTCTTACTCCGAACGCATATCAGTCGCTCTTGCCGTTCGGCGGCGGTTGTGACTTGTCCCCACTTGCTCCATTCAAACCTTCAGACGCCGTCCCGTGTAAGAATACAGCTATGGCACCACAGTGCCGTGCACGGTGCCACGTAGTCTGGTCAGAGAACGGAGTTGGCAGCATAAAACGGACGCGCCCTTGTACACCGACAGGGCAAGCTGCACGCACACAGTGGATCCGAGGCACTTGTTCGCCAGGACGTCCTTCTACGAGCAGTTCTAGACGCGCCTTGCCGTGGCTTCTGCAAGGGACCAGGTGATGGAGAAATGGACGGATGAAAGGCCAAAAGGACCCAAAAGCAATGTTGGCTCTGGCTACGTGACGAACGGGGCTGTCCGAAAGGCATGTAGCACATCGAGCAAGGTGTTGTGAGATGGTGGCGTGGAGGGTGGGTGATATCGTCGAGATCCGTCGATACCGGCGAGAAGTGACAACCAGTTGCCTCCCTGTGGCGCACTGCACAATGATGTAACGTTGCCGGAAGTCGCTGTGCGATGTGTTTCGTCCACTAAAGCCAAGCGAGCCAAGGAGCTGATTTGGCGCGTCTTTGGTCTGGGCCTAGCGCACAGTTTGTGCACAGTGTCGCGCAACGGGCGCCACCATCCTTTAGCGCTCCGCTATCCGTTAATCTGTGTGGAGAAGTAGCCTACGAAGTTTTACACTGTGCAGCTCTCGCCGTCTCCAGTTCACAGAATACGTGAGAACATTACGGAGATGTCACGTGCATGCCATGTGACCTTGACAGTCTGAAAGACGACACCACCGTTTGAGCTCCGTTTCTGCTGTTTCCTCTTTCCGCATCCAGCGCAAGGGTCGCACCTGCCAGCCCCTCCAGCCAATCATCGTCGACGTTTCGACATTAACCACCTTCCCGCGCCTTACTCTCGTTGTGAACTGCGTCGGACCTACCTTCTTTGAGGACAATCTCACCAACCAGACATCTCGGTGTATCAAATCCCCTCACGCCGACTCCGAGTTCCCCATCTGCGCTGCCAGCCTTCCACCACATCCCCCTTCCCCCCCTTCCCCGGACCCCGTGCCTGGTGTTCGTTCCTGCAAGGCTCCGCTGCCGCCTCCAAGACCCACCGACTGCTTGTAGGCTGGCCCTGCGTCTTGCCTCGTCACACTAAGTCCTTTTCACCTTCTTCGCCGCATTCCGCATCCTCCCACCATACACGGGTCACGGCATATGGCTGCGGAGCTGTACACGTCTCGCAGATCTCGTCGCTGACTATCGGAGTCCTATTCAGTTCTCCTGAGTCGACGCCTGCCCCTCACACCTGTTCGCGCCGTGCCGCCCATCCGCCCTTTTCCCTGTGCACTTTTCGTCTTCTCTTTGCCACGTGCCTGTATCCGAGAACTCGGATCCTGTTGAGAGACAGCCTGCCCTTGCTGGTGGGCGTCCTGCACCTCTCCGCTGCCATACGGGCTCAGCTGCTATGACGTGACGGGTTCGCAAGCTTCCGCAGAGAGCTCCAGGACCTTGCCCTACCCTGAATCCACACACAACCCACCCCTACCCTCTCTCCCTGCGCGCCGCTCGTATTCCTGCATCCCCCTTTCTGACTCTTTTCGTTTCCCGCCTTTTTACTTACTCCGTCAACTGCTGTGTCTCGCTACGGGAGGCACACACGTCCCTTCTCGTCGCCATGTCTAAAAAGCTAGAAGGCGATCTGGATCCACTATGGGAAGATGTGGATTGGTACGTGGTATCCCCCCCCCTCTTTATGCGATTCAGTTTCGTGCTTTGGTGCTTTTATATTGTGTTTCTGTCGTCGGTGTTGGTCGCTGCTGGGGCACATGCGTCGCCATCCTACGCATCGCATCGGTGGCCACATGTAAGCATGGACACCACTAACATCCGCCAGGGCCATTGGCCAGATGCTCATCATGGGCTGGGATGGCACAGAGGTGACGCCCCAGATCCGGAACCTCATTGAGGAGCACCATCTTGGCAGCGTCCACATGACAGCGAAGAACTTGAAATGTGAGCTACCCATCGAGGCGACGCGCGCATATCCCATGACGTCTTCCGACATCATCTAACCCCTTCTCGTCTCTCCAGCTGCCCACGAGACGGCCAAGATCGTGCAAGAGCTGCAGACGATAGCTCGCAATGCCGGCCATCCCTACCCACTACTCATTGCCATCGACCAGGAGAACGGCGGCGTCAACAGCCTCTTCGACGAGGACTACATTTGTCAGTTCCCCAGCGCCATGGGTGTCGCCGCTGCTGGTAGCGCCGACCTCGCCTACTCCATTGCCAAGGCCACCGCCTCCGAGGTCTCGGCCTGCGGCGTCAACATGATGCTCGGCCCCGTCCTCGATGTCCTCACCAATGCCCGCTATCAGCCGCTTGGTGTCCGCGCCACGAGCGACGACCCCCAGGAAGTCTCGCAGTACGGCATCGCGGCCATGAAGGGCTACAAGGACGTGGGCCTGGCCACATGCGGCAAGCATTTCCCCTCCTACGGCAACCTCGACTTCCTGGGCTCCAGCCTCGACATTCCCATCATCACACAAACTCTCGAGGAGTTGAGCCTCAGCGCCCTCGTGCCCTTCCGCAACGCCATTGCCACCGGCCAACTCGACGCCATGTTTGTCGGCGGCTGCGGGATTGCCAACCCCTCTATGAACGTCGGCCACGCCTGTCTCTCGGACCAGGTGGTCGACGACTTGCTGCGCAACGAGCTCGGCTTTCGCGGCGTCGCCATTTCCGAGTGTCTGGAGATGGAAGCACTGAGCCACGAAATTGGTGTCAAGGGCGGCACCGTCATGGCCGTCGAGGCCGGCTGCGACATTGTCATGCTGTGCCGGGCGTACGACGTCCAGCTCGAGGCCATTGCGGGCCTCAAACTCGGCTATGCCAACGGCATCCTCACCCGTGACCGTATATTCACCTCACTCCGCCGCGTGCTCAACCTCAAGAAGAGCTGCACGTCCTGGGCAAAGGCCCTCAACCCCCCGGGCCTTTCGCTCCTGTCCAAGATTCACCCGTCCAACCTCGCCTTGTCGCGCAAGGCCTACGATGACTCCATCACCGTCATGCGCGACCGCGACCGCCTGCTTCCCCTCTCCCGCTCCATGCACCAGCACGAAGAGCTGTTGCTGCTCACCCCCCTTGTCAAGCCGCTGCCCGCCTCGTCCGCCACAAAAACGCTCGAGAACAAGAATTTCATCTCGTCTTCGGCGTCCTCGCAGTCCCTCCACGACAAGTGGGTGCATCGCGACCGCGGTGCCATTATGAGTGGCGAGGGCGTCTTCCGTGGCCTTGGCCGCTCGCTCGCCCGTGCTCGACACGGAAAGCTGCTCCACACGTCCTACACAGCCAACGGCGTGCGGCCGGTGCATGAAAACCTGATACACCGCGCCTCCACAATCATTATTGTGACAGCCGACGCCAACCGCAACCTCTACCAGGCTGGTTTCACCAAGCACGTCTCCATGATGTGCTCCATGATGCGCGCCAGCGGCCAGAACAAGAACTTGATTGTCGTCGCGGTCAGCTCCCCATACGACTTTGCCATCGACAAGACCATTGGCACCTACATCTGCACCTTTGACTTTACCGAGATGGCCATGAGCGCACTCGTGCGCGCCCTCTTCAACGAGTACAGCCCGAGCGGCACGCTACCGGGCACGCTGCGCAAGAGCAAAAAGGTGCTCAAGTCGCGCCGCAACTGGCTCGTCGAGACGTACAACCGCGACCGGGACGGCCGGGGACTGGACGAGCTGCTGCAGGCCATTGCGCGCGCCAGCGGGCCGCACCTGCAATATCTGCGGAGTGCGACCGCCTCGTCCTTTGAGCTCAGCAACCCCAACATCGAAGAGTCTCACCTTGTCGTCAGCAACAGCAGCACGCAAGCCCTGTACGGCTTCTGCGCTACGTACTTTATCAAAAACTCGGGCGTCGGCATTGTCGGTGGCCTGTTTGTCGACCCGGGCAAGCGAAATGTCTCCGTGGGCCGTTCTCTGCACCGCGCTGCCCTCCGACTCCTGTCCCAAAAGCCCGGGGTGGCGAAACTGCAGCTCGGTTCCTGTTTCCCGGGCGTGTTCCCCGGCATTCCCGTGGTCGACGACAGCGGCAGCAGCACGGCCGGAAGCACAGGCAACACGCCCGGCGGTGGTGCTTCGAACAATGCAGTCGCAGCGGCGGGCCCGGGCAGCTCTGGCTCGGCCGCCTCCAGCACAGCGAGCATCCGCTCGTGGTTCGCCCGTGGTGGCTGGGAGGTGGCTTTCCCCCGGCGTATCACCAACCTCGTCATCCCGGACCTGAACCGCTGGTCACCCCCCGAAGGCCTGACACGCCACCTCGCCAACGCCGGCATCAGTTTCGATCTCATCCAGGGCCCTGAGATTGCCGAGGGCGTGCTGAGCCACGTTGCCGCACTGGCTGGCCCGGAGGTGGTTGAGCTGTACCGGTACGCTCTGTCGCAGGGCAACAACAAGACCTGCGCCGTCGTCCGGGCCAAGGTGGCAGGCAGCAAGAAAGCCGGCAACGGCGCAGACGGCGGCGCCGACTTCACGGCCGAGGAACACAGCGGTGATGACGTCGCGGAGGATGCGCTTCTCGGTACCGTTATTGTGTGCAGCCCGGGCAGTACGATAGCCAATTTCCTGCCCCCCTTGCAGCCGCTACGGTCGGTGCACGGCCCAGCATCACATGGCGGGGGCAGCGCCGGCGGCGGCGGCGGTGGTGGCGGTGGTGGTGGTGGCGGCGGTGGCGGTGCCAGCGGCCGGTCTGCCAGTCTCAGCACAGAAGACAGCCTGTCGGCCGGTTTGGCACCGGGTCCGAGTAGCAACGCCTTTGACGAGAACACGGCAACGGGTGGCATCGTCGCTCCGGTCGTCGTGGCGGGCGCTGGCTCGGCCTCAACACTGCTGCTCCTACAGGGCCTCGCCATGATGGCCGTGCGGCAGAACAAGAACCACCGGGCGGTGCGCAGCGTGCTGAGCTGGGTGGCCGACGAGGCGTACGAGCCATTGTTGGCGATGCAGTTTGAGGTTCTGCAGACGTTTGACGAGCTGACAAACACGATTGAGAATGTGAGTGTTTTTTAGGTTGTTTCTTTCCGAGGGCTATTTCTTTTATTTTTGTCCTTCTACATCCTCTGTCTGCTTCAAGCCTCTTGCCCCTGTCGTCAATACATCTTCTGGTTCGAATACCCCATCTCCCTTTCTTGATATCTTCGTGGGCGATCTTGCTAACGATTAAACAGTGGTCGGATCTTGGTTCGACATGATGGGAAGCAGCTGTTTGATGCTGTCTACGGCCTGCTTTATTTACTTTGGGATATTTCGGCTTTCACGGATGACAGTGATTTATTGCGGTTCTATTTTCTGGTTTTTGTTGGATATCGTGATTTGGATCAGGTATATGTCCATAGTTTAGTTGCTTTTCTTCTTTCCACTTCCTTTCCACTTCCTTTTCTTTCCATTTTCTTTTTCTTTCTTTCCATTCTCTTTTCATTTCTCTTCTTTCATAACACCCAGTTTTGACCGTAGCCATGGTAAGATTAGTTTGACCAGTCAAGATACCTCTATATTTAGATATTCCCTTATGACACGCCTGCGTACACAAGTCTGATTGTCTTTGCTTCTCCGATTTGTGCCACAGCAATTTGTGTAGCACAAGCCACAACTTTTTCGCTCATCAGACTCCTACCTCCCCCAGCGTTTATTCGTTGCTTCTGCTAGGACCTTCCATCTGCCCGGCCAACCGGTGTAACTAACGTGCAGTGGTCTCCACCGGTGAGGATAATGGAAACCATCGCGACTGTTTCTGTCCTTGCTCCGTATGTCGTACGACGTACTGTGTGTTCCTTCCATGTCTTTCCAAGCGCCATTTTGGAGGCAGGCGCGGAAGAGGTCCACTGTAACCAGTCCGTCCCGCTCCCTGCTCCTGCCCACTTTCCCCAGAAAAGATTTCAACCCCTGCTTAGCGTACTTTGGTATTTGTGTTCGCTCTTTCTCTCCAGCAAAAACGGCCTCTGTGCTCCACCCTGTCTCGCCTGCCCCCTAATACAGCTGTAGCCAAAACCTAATTCTCACCCGATCGGCTCGCTCTTTCCTTATCTCGACCGGTGTTCAGGAGTCGCCGCCACCGAACCACAGCGTGCAACTGCCCCCTCCACTTTTCAATTCCCTCGCGCTCCCCTCTTTGTGAAGGCTCGCTCTGGCCCTCGTTCTTTCCCATTGGCCCTTGTTCTGTAACTGCCACACACACACACACACGCCGGACTTAGCCTGGCCAACCACACGTCTTCGTCTCCGCTTTCTCTTTCCTCTTTCTCCTTCCGTTTGGTCCTGCCCTCCCGTCGCCTTTGTGATAAACGAGGAAGGCGCAGAGAAGCATTCGACACATCGTCAAGCAGCCACCAACGGCCGTCTCCTCTGCTCTGTTGGGCTTCTCCTCCTCACCTCTCTTTCTTCTTTCTGCCGGCAATATCCTTCGAGGACATCTTCCCCCCCAACATCGAAGCATTTGTTCCCAGCCCGTACTCTCACTCAGCCTGTAGGCCCCCTCCTTTTTGGCTCACAGCTCACAGCTCACAGCTCTCGTGGCCCTTCACGTCATTTTCGCCCGCCAGTCTCCTCAGGAGCATCGCGACCAGACGGCAACAAAAGCCCAAGATCTTTGCGTTTCCTGTGCCTCGCATCCAAGCAAACGCCTCTCTTGCACCGGCGGTCTCCAAACAGGAAGGCGTGGGACAGCGACACCACGAAGCGGAACGAGGCTTGGAGCCCTTCCAGGCTTGGAGCCCTTCCACAGGCAGTCCGACGTTGGACAGATACGCCGCGCGGGTAAAAAAGATAACCAGACCGTCCAAAGGGACTGGGTTGCCTTCCCCTGCCGTCTCCCTGCCGCCTGTTCTCATCTTCTGGGTGCCCAGTGGCTTCGCTTTTCTTCTCTTGGCTATTGGCCGCCGTGTTTTCTGGCCCGTTCCACGACCTCTGGCAATCTCCCAATCTCACCCCCATTTTTGGCTCTTTCTCCCGCCTTTGCGCCGCGCCGGACTCTCTCCATCCGACTTGCGCCTGCGCCTGCGGAATCACGACAAAGCTCCTCCTGGCACACACGCGACCTCTCACAGACAACTCCTGGCGTTGTCCACCATGCGACAATGGCCGGCTACAACTCCATGCCCCCACTCTCCGTAACGGCTGGCTCCAACTCTGATGCCCTCGGCCTCGGCGTCAATGTCAATGTGAACCATCCGAATCCCGGCGGCGGCCTGAACATGGACGCTTTTGACCAGGACATTGCCTTTGACGAAGCTCTTCTGTAGGTTTGCGCGTCCTATGCCCTTTCCTTACTATCCCGTCTTCTTTCGCATTGCCTCTGACATGCTCCAGCGACAACGTCAATGGCCTGCCATTACCGTTCACGCCCTCTTACGACTTCGAGACCTTCTCCACCACTTTTGAAGACCCGTTCCCCTACTCTGTCGCGGCTAGCGGCCGGCCCTATGAGCTGGCGCCACACAATGGGGACGGCTTCTTGCAGTCCGCATCACCGCAAGATGAGGGCCTGGACAACAAACTGCTCAGCTTCGCCGCGCCGGTTGTCAAGGCGGCCGTCGTCGACGAGGGCGGCCAGTTTTCCGAGCCCGCCATGACCGCCGAGCTCTTTGGCATGTTTTTCTTGGCCGAGGATGTCTACTCGGCCGAAAACACTGGCCGCCCACTCGAACTCACCTGCTACCGCCGTAATCTCTGGTGGTGCTCAGGCCAGATCACGCTCCCACGACAAGTCACGCATATCGTCACAGACCAGGGCCAGCACGTTGCGGTGCACGAGCTTGCGGCGTCCATTTCGGCAATCGAGAGCATCGAGGGCAAGACGACTGAGATTATCTGCATCCCCTGGAAGAGCACGGCAGCCAACAGTGGCGCCAACAACGGCAGCAGCGCACCAAGCGACGACTCCAAAATCGCTGGTTCGCCACCAAACGTGCCCATCGACCTAGCCAACGGGCAGGAACTGGACAACGGTCTTGTGTCTGTCCCTGTGTCCTGGAAGCGCTTACAGTTCAAGCACGCTACCGCCAATAACGGTCGTCGCAAGGGCCAACAGCAGCATTACGTCGTGCAGATCAACCTGCTCGGCCGCATCCAAGCCGAAGTTGATACGAGCGGCACCGCTGGCAGCGACAAGGGCGAGGAGGGTGAGTGGGTCAAGATTGCCGAGATCCAGTCTGGACCCGTCATTGTCCGCGGCCGCAGTCCACGCAATTTTGTCAGTCGCCGCGACGTGCCCCTGACTGGCACCAGCACGGCGGTTGATAAGAAGCAACAAATGCAGCAACAGCAGCAACAGCAGCAACAGCAGCAGCAGCAGCAACAACAACAGTTGCAACAGCAGGTGCAACAGCAGCAGCAGCTCGATCGTCATTCAATATCCTCCACCAACACGCTAGAAGCTGCGATGCACCAGGGCCAGCATCGCAGCAACAGTAACGGCATCGACATGGCACAGAACTTCCAGGGATACAACCTGCTCGGAACCATGCCGGTATGTTCTTCTCAGGTCTTTCGTGTTCCCATTGCACCGTACTAACAGGTCCTCGCAGCAACCGAACGATTGGTCGCAGCAATACGGTCAAGTACAGGCCCAGGCTCAGGCCCAACTCCAAGCGCAACAGCAAAGCCCACATCCCGCCAAGAAGATGGCCCTCTCCCCGACCCAAACACGGCCACCCGTCCCTGCGTGGAACAGCGATTCGACGCCGTCAAGATCAACAAAAGCCCAACAGCAGCAGCAGCAACACCAACAACAACAGCAGCAGCAGCAACAACAACAACAACACAACCTGGTACAGCGCTCCAACAATGCCGCTGTTCCCCTCAACCTCTCCTTGTCTGAAGATGAGCGCAGCCCGTCTAACCGGGCCGGTGCCGATCGTCCTTCAAACAGCCCACCTTTTTCCAATGTGGTCGCCGGCAGTGGAAGAACCACCACGACAATCGCCCTTCCGGCGGTATCCACATCCGCATCCTCGGCCGCGACCGGAAACAATACAGCCGGCGCTGCGGCGGCTGCGGCTCAGAGCGATTCGTTTGAAAACGGCGAGCTTCTCTACGAATATTTCCCGCTCAGTCTGGATGATTGGTATGTCCGGGCCTACTCCCTACTCAAAAAGCACTGCAAAATACAAAATCTGCTAACATGCCTTGTGCAGGATGCCACCTGTCGACGCCATCTACCGGCCGCATGTTGTGCACCACACGGTCGTGCCCCCCGAAGTGAAAGCACAGCAAGTGCGTAGTAAGACGAAACGGTACTTTGCAGCAGAATAACATTCAAGAATGTATTTTTCACTTTTTTTCTATCTGTTTTTGTGAGGGATGCGATTCCTCTTGGCTTATTTGTGGTCTTCTTGGTCTCTAGGACTGGGTAACATGTTATCTTGATTTTCTTCATTCTCTTCTATTTTCGGATACCATGATTTTTTTTTGTGACAATCTATTTTGGACTTTGGGAGAGAAAACAGACTGTTTTGGATTATTTTGTTCTCTGGATACGGCCGAGGAGCGTCGCTATATACTTGGACCTTTATGTACTTTGTTTGCAGTGGTGAGGGATTTATCATGGGGATGTTTTTTTTCTTCTTTTTTCTTTTTTTTCGGATTGACACAGCAGTTTCAATTTCTCGCCTTTACTCTATGTATTTTCATGTCCACTTATGAATATTTTATTGATTCAATCGATATAATTCGCTGCTCCGGCTTTGTTTGCTTTTATGATATGTTGAAAACAAAAGGCCGTTAAACGTCCAAAAGAAATGCAAAGTAGAAAATGGCTGAATGTGAGCCAGCACCCGACAAAAGTTCTTTTTGAGTTCTTTCGTGATAAGTCTCCTTTCTCGCACGGAAAACCTTAAAACGCAATGCTGTGGGAAAGAACCAAGAAAAATAAGAAAATTAGGCTAATCCGCCAAAGGAACAGAACGTGTATTTATATATGTACTACTGGTCCAGAATGTGCAGAGAGGCAAAAAAGAAAAGAAAACAAAACGAAACAAAATGCCACCGAAAGACGCCATGAGGAGTTCGGATTCTATTTACGATGATGGATGAGGATGTGTGACATGGAATGACAAAGACTTTATAGGCAGGGTATAAAAATGCCTCAGAAAGACAACTCCAAGAGAGAGCGAGAGAGAGAGAATGGGAGAAAGGCAAAAGTCACTGTATTACTTTTCATGCTCCCAGGCAAGCCAGCGACACGGCAGCACCCAGCAGCGAGCTCTCCTCAGCAGGGACCAAGTCAATGGAAGCTGCGGAGGAAGCTGCTAGCGAGTTGATCACGGCCTGGCACTGCTCCAGGTAGTGCGGGTAGCGCTCGATGACGGAGCCGTTGAAGGCGACAACGGTGCGGGCGTGCATAATGGAGAGCTCGGCCTGTGCATTCTTGCTGTGCTGTGCCCGGACAGCTGTAGGCGATGCAGTGGACAGCGCATGGATGTACTCCTGCTCCGTCTCGGCCTTGAGGGCCCACAGCGCAGACACAGAGGCGCCAACGATGGCGGCAGACCGCTGGGCAATGAGAGAAGCGAGTGTGCACACGGCAAGGATGTCGGATTGCGCGGGCGGCATGCCCGAGGCCGTTGGGTGTTTCTGGTGGAAAGCAGCTGTGGCCATTTCCAACGTGGGAGATTTGTCACTATTCGCACATTAGTATCAACGAGCGTTTCCGGTGGAGTATTTCAAGGAGTTCGGGATATTTGCACGTACGTTCCCATCACGGACAGAGTCTCGGTATCGAGGGCATAGGGAGTCAGGAGTGACGGCGGTGCGACACCACCGAACAGACCTGCGGTGTTGACAGCCTCGAGAAGGGCGAAGCGGGTCACCTCGCCCAGGTAGTAGCCCGAGACCATGTGCTCGAGGGGCTGGAACTCGGGTTTAGGGTGATCGGCGTTGAGCAGGGCGTCCCAGCGGGTGACAGGCAAGATTCCGTGGCCAAACATCCCGAGCTCGGTGTTGATAATGACATGACTGGCCTCATCGAACCATGCGGCAGGACGGGCCCCGAATTTGGCACGACCGACAGTCGGGACGGGCAGGTGGACGGCGATGTTGACACCCGTGCCTAAAATAAGACCAAAGCGGGTGGCAGCATGGACGTATGCCTCGGACAGGAGACAGGCGGTGGAATCGTTGACAATAGTGGCCAGCTCGACATGCAGGCCACGGGCGAGACAGGCAGTCTGGATGATGTCGCCGAGGTCCTGGCCCAGCAGCGGGTCGGCAGCGCGGAAGCCCTTGCCCATGCCCTGCAGAAAGCCACCTCGAAGAGACGTTTGCTCGATGGGGAAACTCCAGGCGAGGCCCATAGGCAGCGGGTAGTCGGCAGTGTTGTTGTCACGGGTAGTGCTGGTCTCGGCCTTGTTGATGGTCTCAAGAATACGGACAGCCATCCAGTCAAAAAAGGCCATGCCCTCAAGCTTCTTCAGTTCTGGCGTAATCTTGAAGGATGCTTTGCTCAAGATGACCATGGTCTCGGCACCCTCGACCGCGTCGTCCTCCGACGCCTTGCCCCGGAGCTCGATCAGCGCCACACGCAGCGTCGAACCACCGACATCGAGCGACAGATAGCGTCCCTTTTCACGGCCATTGGGCAACTGGTGGTTGTACGACGGCAGCATGCAGGCGGCGTTGTTCAAAAGGCCATCACGGAACTGGGCCTGGAGGCCCGTAGCAAAATCCTTGAGGTTGCGGCCCTGGACGGGCTGCAGCAGCGTCCTCTCGGCATCTTGGAGAAATTGCTCTATTGATGTCTTGGTGCTGGTCGTACCCTCGCTCTTGTTAAGAGAGAGACGGGGTTGCTGATCAGGTGAGGAGGGCGGTGATATGGTAGCTTGTGAAGCGGGTGATGTGGGCAGCGAAGCCGGCGATGAGGATGGCGAAGAGTGAGAAGATGTTACGGTGACCGTGGCGGTTGTCTTTTTTGATAATGGCGCAACATCCTCTTGTGGCGCGTGTTCGTTGCTTTCTTGTTGTGGTACATTGGATGCGTGTGAAGACGACGCAGCTGCGGCGTTACTATGTGCGTTCCTACCCGGCTTTGACTCGTCGTTGGGGTTCACCCAGAAGGCAAGGATGGCCTGGATGAAGGACCTGCCCTTCAAAAGGGACTTGAGGGCGGCGATGAGGGCACTCCGTAGACTCGTCATGGCAGAAACGAGTGACTGCATGACAGACTAGCAGGCGGAGAAGAGAGAAAAGGGAAAAGAGAAGGAGGAAGAGAAAACGAAAAAAAGGGATCAACAAGAGACTGGGGGAGCATGACCTTTAAACAAAACAGCAACCCGATGAGATCGAGACGCAATGGCCAAATGTGGCAGAGAAGAATTGCTTGAGCCCCAAAGGGGGAGGAATATGAGTGGGTGAGAGAAAGAGAGAGAGAGAAAGGAAGCGGGAAGGAGAAATAACAACAAAATGGCACGGAATGGGGCAGTGGTGAGACGCAGAGAGTATGTAGAGTGCAGGATGCTGCGTGAAGGGCGTCTAACACGAAGAGAACGTTGTTTGTGGCTTCCTTTCTGGGGTTAAATCTGCGCCGTGGAGAGTGGCAGGCGGACTGGCTCCAGTAAAAGAAGGAAAAACCCGAAGAAGGTGACGGCCGACACCAAGAGGACTGCAGTCGTAACGATGCCCGAGAGTTTGAACACGCAAAGCAACCAATACGAGCGTTAAGGCGCCGGAACGTCGAGTCGTCTGGCCGCTGGCGAAACGTTATGAACGTGGTCAGGGCGTGGTATGTGGTAAGGAGGTTGAGGTACCGGTCTCAGAACCAGTGGGAGGCGAATCTGCATGCCACGAGAGGTCCTTCTGAACAAAGCAAGCGGAGTAACAAAAAAGGGAGGAGGGAGAAAAAGGTGGCCAGAGCATCGGGCAACGAGAACAAGTTGCTGATCGGCCGGGCCAAGTCTCTTGATTTTTCTCGTCTTCCGTGTTTGCAGGTAGTATTGCTCCCGGGAACGGGATGGGAAGCAAGGCCAGGGGGGAGAGAGACAGAGAGAGAGGAGGGAAAGGGAACAAGGTTACTATGAGAAGCAACAGCCTATGGGCAGAGGCACAATGTGGGTTTTGTGTGGGCGGCGAGGCGTTTTGGAGTCTCTCGCGTTCTCTCGTTTCCCTCGTCTGCAAGGGCTGTCTCTGCTTTGTTTTCTTTGGTTCTGAAGTAACAAGGCGGCGGGAGCGCGGCGGCGGACGGTCGACGTGGTATCAACCAGGTCCCAGCCGAGAGACGAGCGTGGGGAGGTGAGGTGCAAGGAGCAAGGTGGTGGTGGTGGTGGTAGTGGTACGGCTTTGTTCGTTCAAGTGGTATTAGTCGATTTTTTGGTGTTGTTTCTGTTGTTGTATTCGTATCCAAAAGCGAGACCCAAGACGTGGTAAGAAAAAAGGAGGGGCCCTAGGGATCCGATGGAAGAAAGGAGCAGAAGAAGCGGAGCCCCCTTTTGGTGCACACGACGAGCTGTTCGCTCTTTCCTGCTCTGGCCTGAACTTGGTACAAAGTATCTTCGTTGCTCACAGCTTTAGGAAAGCTCTAGCGCAGATCCTTGAGCAACGGGCAGGAACGAGGAGCGTTTGAGGCTCGATAGGGAAAGAGCCTTTCGTCAAGAAGCGAGAATGGGAAGGAAAGATGGGAGCCAGATGCACACACGCAGCCGGGGCAAGTACAGAGTGCTGTGTATTGGTGTATCGGGGAGGGAAAGAACGGTGGACAGGAGACAGGCTGGGGAAAGACAGAAACAGAAACGTGTTAAGCGGCTGAATGAGTGGTCCAAGGGTAGGGGTGGCTGGATCCGGGACGAAGCACAGCAGATGGTGATGGGCAGAGATGGCTCGGACAGGCCAGAGGCAACCACAACAAGTGCTACCACATACGAATCGCCACCGCTGCCAGTGTGCAATGCAAAAAAGGTACGGCGGCTCAATGGCGTTGTATGTTGTGGAGTTTGAGATGGAAAGGGTGGGGTGTGTAAAGAAGCGAAATGGGGGAAGGGGGTGAAGGGGGTGAAGGAAGAAGGCAAAGAAGGCGCAAAGACAAAATAAGGTTGCCGGAGGGCGATGTCTTGTTAGAGACACAACGTATAGAGGAAACAAAGGGTCAAGCTAAGATCATATCCAACGCTTGGCAACGTCCTGCTGGAAAAGGGAAACGTACGTCCCAGATTGGGGCCGTAGATATGTCCTCGGAAGAGGAGACGTCGCCGATAAACGACTACGACTGATCAAGGCACCAGATGCGGTCGTGTTTGAGGGAAGCCACGTCCCAGAAGCCCATGCCAACAAATAGGGTTTTGAAGTGAGGGACGCGTTGAAGGAAACGACACGAGAAAGGTGCACAAGAGACACGCTGTGCAGGGAAGACCCGAGTACTGGCGAGGTTGGGAGGTGTGTGTAACAACGGAAAGGGTCGAGAGAGGTCGGTGTCGAGAAAGGCGAGAAGGGAACCAGAAACAAGAGACAACACGAGACCGCGGCGAACAAGTGGGAAAAGAACTCCTTCAGCACACAAGCTCGAACAGGAAGAAAGCTCTACCCCCAAATGCCCGGACCCGATTTTATTTTTAGGTTTGCCGGTCCTTGGTTTGAATGGGCGTTACTCTGCTCCGAAAAGACGGTGCATTCTTGTTTGTTCATTGTCGTATCGAAGATCTTACGTGTGCATTGACAAGTCACGGGCCTTCTGGCCGCTGGCCTCGGTGGCAGATCAATGCTGCTTCTTTAGAATCAGTTCACAATGTAGTGAGACGACGCAATCTCGCGGAGAGGTACTTGACGGCTGCTCGGTTCTCTCCAGAGGTTTTGCTTTGGTCGAATTCTTGTGGCCGCCAGCGCCCAGCCAGATTCGTATTGCTGTGCTTCGTAATACCGGCCAAACGAAACAAGCCAGTTTGAGTGGAGAGCACCCACGCGTAAGGGCGGGGAGCATCACACTGGGATCAGGAAGATCATGGTGACAAGCAGCTTTGGACAAGAGTGAAAGGCAGTTGTCGATCCGCAGCTTCAGTGTGCCCAGGCCCCCAAGCCAAGAGAGGCAGTCGCGTGTCCACATTGGGGGGCAGTCGCGAGTGTCACTGCGGCTTACCAGCTACGAAGTAAAGACGACAATGAGGAAGGTACGGGGAGTACGGCCGCTAAGTCAGATAAAGTGCAGGCATCGCCTGCCTCGCTCGTTGTTGCAAAGCTCGCCAAATGCCCTGTCTTCCAAGACAACTCTACTCAAGTCGTTACAGCAAAACATAGCCAGGTTCTCACAAAAGGTGCCGCTGTGGTTGCTGATGGTGCTCAACATACCCCACACCCCTGTCGGCGGGTTTTTTGTTATTTTATATTTTTAAGGCTGTAACGTTGCCTTGGAGGGGAGAGAGGCTCGGGAAACGTGAGGGCCCACTTTTACCTTCTCCCCCAAAAGAGGCTGCCGCCGCCGCCGCCCGTCAGACCAGCCAACCACAGTGTTCGGAGACGACATGGTTTAGTTGCCAAAACGGGCAACGGCGCCTGTCTAATACCAACCAATGACGGCGCGCTTGCCAAGGAGTGCACTACAACAGAGTTGGAGAAAACAACGGGGGAAAGGTTGCACTCGCCTTCGTGTAGACGTCTATCTGCACGATTTGCCTCGTACTTCTTGAGATTGAGATGTAAGCGGTGATGGGTAGTGAATGAGCTAGACATGTGCTGGACTGTGGCTGCATCTGCGCCACAGATCCATGTCGAGATGGTCCAAAGGGAGAAAGCCCGGTGACGGAGACACAATGCGGCACGGAAGAAACGAGCTGCACCGATCACGATGGACGACGCATTTGTACGGCGCGCGGCCCAGGCCCAGTACCTTGCAACAGCTGGCCCTTTACCCAAAACATCCCATTTATGCAGCCCCCTTTCGTTGCATCTTTTTCTAGATTGAGCCTCCCCTTGGGCTCTCGTTTTGTTCTAGAATTTCTATTTTAAATATTGGAGCATTTAGATTTCATGTTCTCTTCTTATTTTTCACCAACTTTGTTAATTCTCCCTGCCGCTCTTCTATTTCTTGTTCTTGTAACTTTTATGTTTGAATCCCATTAATATCACGGCACATTAATTGCACTCGGTAATCTAGCTCTAGCCTTTACGGAACATTTCAAGCCGATCAGTGGCATCGGGAGCCGCCATTGCCATTGGTTGCTTTAATCTATGATTTTTTCCTTCCCGTCTTTTTTTTTTTTTTTTTTTTTTTTTTATTTTCTTCCATTATGTTTTCTATATCGTCCCATCATCACCGGCGCCGGCACTGCCAATTCGAGATCACGTCCAGGCAGTTCTGACCCGATATCCGGGCATGTCTTCATAAATAATCATCAGCAGTGGCGTCCGTCATCTTGTCTTCCTTCCTGCCGATTACATATTGACTGGCTTCGCTCCCGGAATGGAAAGCTGCTCGAACCACCATAGTAGAATAACACAGAGAGTGAAAGACAGAGTGAACAGGCTAAACTTCACGACTTGGGCACATGCATCACATTGTGACTCTGTGCTCTTCCACATGGCCTGCAGAGAGCGTGTGTACGTCATCCGAAGCACGACAAGATGAACAGAACAAAATCGACGTTGCTTCCAATCCACTTTTTTTCTCTCGTCAACTAGTAGTAAGCTGTCGTCGACGGTCGGGGAGACTTGTCACAGTTTATTCATATTCGGAGTGTGAACTGTTCGTTACGGAGTTGTATTACGGAGAAAGTAGCCCTGTCGGAGTGGGTAGCTTACAGTGCGCATGATCTCCGTCCGCACGGTCTCAGTCCAATTCTTGCTAGGTTAGCGTCCGTGGCCCCCGTCCTGATGGTGACGAGGCTCCACAAAACTGTTCTTTCACACTGGGTTTTTTTGGCGGCCTTCTTTACAACGAACCAATGAACCAATGAACGTGAGAGGAACACCACTAACAACGTTCCATCTTGCAAGGCGTCTCCTTCTCCGATGCTTTCAAGATGCATTCTGGAACTTTCGTGGTGGCACGTCCGCAACAGACAACTCTGATGGGTCAAGGTCACATTTCCAATTGCCACGGTCTGGCTCGTAGAATCGCGAGATTCAGGGAGAGCAAAGGGCGTATTTGATTCCAGAAACGGTGTTGCGTGCCATTACATGTATTCGAAAGATTGCACTTATCAAAAGCACCGAACGTTAGTCCCAGAGTTGCCGGAACAGCTGTGTAAGCACCAGCGACGACACAAAGAGAAAAACCATGAACGAAGAAAAAAAAAAGAGGAAAATAAAATAAAATAAAACAAAAAGACAAAAGAGGCAACACTACACAACAGATGACCGGTGACATTTCTTGTGGAGAGGACGCATCAAAGCGAAACAGCAGCGTAACGAGGCATGGCATGGGGCAGAAGAACGCCGCACGGCGTAACCGCCCGAGGCCTGCGTGTAAGTGCTCCAAACAGGTGACATGTGTGAGCACGAAAGCGACAGGCATCGGGGAGGGGCGTGTGTCCGTGTAAGTGCAGGATGGCCGGTCATTGGAGAAAAAGTTGGATAGCGCTGGTGACCATGTCGTAATGGAGCGTTCGGACAGAACCAGTAACTGCCAAAGCAAGGGCGAAACGGTAGGACGCCAGTCAAGAAACCGGTGACGACGGAGTACGGAGGCTGGGAGGCTAGGTACGAGAGAGCTTTAAAAAAATAGTGTAACTTTCGCCACGAGAGGAAGGGGCGAGTGGCCGATCGGGCGGGTGACCGAGTAGAAACCATCACTTGTCCGGCGCCTTCCTCGTGGTCTGATGCGCTTTGCACCTTCCTACACCCAACGTGCCCTTTGTTCACCATCATCCACATCTTGCGGAGACCTGGGGAGAAGGAACGACCGGCGGTAACACTGGGTCCTTTGGTGCTGTCATAGTGCCACTTGCCATTTTTTTTTTTTCGATATGTTCTCTTTTTGTTGTATCATAATGGTTCTTCTGGAAGGTACGGAGTGACGCGTTACCTGCTACTCCAGTCGGTCTTTCCCTTATCTTCACTGCCTTTTCTCCCTCCCTTTCGTTCTCCTCTCCTTCTATCTTCTCCTCCTTTCTTCTTTCCCTTTCTCTTATTTTTGTTCTTTCTTGTTATCTTGTTCTCTTGTTCTCTTGTTTGTATTATTTAGATACCCAAAAGCCAATAGACTTCCATTATCTCTCCTTTGCTTGTGATCATCTCTCTTGAACCAGTTTATCATCTCCCATCACCAACGTCATCGAGGATCAAGCTTATCCATTTTACCAGGCTGCCACTCTTTTAACCAGCTCCCACTCCCATTCGAACACGCTCAAACCCACCCACCCACACACAGCCCGTCAATATGCGTCTCATCATCCGCGACGACGAGGACCAGGCCAGCGGCTTCGTGGCCAACTACATCGTCGACCGCATCCGCACATTTGCCCCCACGGCCGAGCACCCCTTTGTCCTCGGTCTGCCCACTGGCAGCAGCCCTCTCAATGTCTATGCCCGTCTTGTTGAGGCGTACAAGCAGCACCGCGTCTCGTTTGCCCATGTCATCACCTTCAACATGGACGAGTACGTCGGTCTCTCCCGTGACCACCCCGAGAGCTATCACACCTTCATGTGGACCAACTTCTTCAGCCACGTCGACATTCGCCCGGAGAACGTGCACCTGCTGAACGGCAACGCTCCGGACCTCGAGGCCGAGTGCGCCAGGTACGAACAGACCATCCGCGACTGCGGCGGCATCGACCTGTTCTTGGCCGGCATAGGCGAGGATGGTCACATTGCCTTCAACGAGCCCGGCTCCAGCCTGGTCAGCCGCACACGCGTCAAGACGCTGGCCTACGACACCATCCGGGTCAACAGCCGCTTCTTCGGCGGTGACGTCGATGCCGTTCCGCGGTGTGCGCTGACCGTCGGCGTGCAGACGGTGCTGGACGCCCGTGAGGTGGTGGCGATTGTGCTGGGCCCCCGCAAGGCGCTGGCGCTGCAAAAGTGCATCGAGGAGGGCATCAACCATATGTGGACGCTCTCGAGCCTGCAGCTCCACCCGCACCCCATGGTGGTCTGCGACGAGGACGCCACGCTTGAGCTGCGCGTCAAGACGGTCAAATATTTCAAGTCGATTGAGCAGGTGGCGCGGACGCAGGGCTTTGAGCAGGCTCTGCCGACGCGCCTGCGGGTGCGGCCCGATGCTCAGTCGGACGTCAACGGCACCATGAACATCAACACGTCCGTGCCCAGCGTGGCGACTGCCTCGGGCACCACCACCCCGCTTGTTATCCCCTCGCCTATCAAGCCGACGCCGAGCTTTATCCTGGTGCATGGCGCACCCGACACGCCGGATGCCTCGCCCACGATGTCCTCTAAGATTGGCCTGAACGCGGCGGCGGCAGCCGCCAACGCCACGCCTGGCGGTGGCGACGTCGATTCGGACTTGGACCTGGTGCCCGACCGGATGGGCGACCGCATCCCGGTGCCTAAGGGTGCAACCGCTGCTGGCAGCGGCAGCCTGGGCGTGGTCCCCGTTTACCGCCGTCGTCTGACCCCGACGCCGGAGCAGCAGCAGCAAAAGAGCTTCGGCCGTGTCAGCGCATAAGCGGCTGCCGCGTATAGATTGTCTCGCTAGGTCTTTTAAGTGTTCTTTTGTTCGGTGGTTTTCTGGAGTTTTTGCACTTTCGTCGCCTTCTTCATTAGCATCGGCACACTACCGCCGCTTACCATTGACTGCTGTTTCTGGTTATTAAAATGCGTTACTTTACTTTCACCATGCGTCTTGCTTGCATGAGTCTTCTATTCAGTTTTGTTCTTTTTATTTCTACTCTGCTAAGATTGCATACATTGCCTTGTCTTTTCTGTCTTGACGATTGGCAAAAAAAAATAAAAATAAAAATAAAACTGCAAGGAACAAAACCAAAACGAAGACGTTTTACGAACAATCTCTTTCACGATAGTAGAGGAAAATATGCCTCTTATATTAACACCGATCTCCTCGTTTCGCGCGACAAGCTCTCCGATGGGATTGACCATTGCCAACCCGCATTGGGAGGATCCTGGGCTGGGTGTGTCTCCATTCCATACTTCCGCTTCCGGTTAATGATCTTGGACCACTCAAAGTCGATGCACATGAGCCGCTGCAGCGGAGCATTCCATAACAAGTTTGGCCCGCGCTCGTCCCCGTGCTCCACGCCGAGCTGCCGCAACCGGACCCAAGCGTTGTATTCCAACGAGCCAATATTATCCGGCAAAGGCCCGGCCGTTTTTGAACCGATCGGCTCGCCAGCATAGGATATCACCATCATGTGGGAGACGTGCGCGCCTACCGACGTTCGGTATACATCGACTAAGTGTATGACGCCCAGGCACACGGGCACCAACGTCCCTTGTTGCTCTTGAAGGTGGTCGTAGATCGCCGTCTCCTGCTCGAGCCGCGGGGCGTGTACACGTTGCACGCCCTTGGCCACCACGCAGTAACCATACCCTTGAAGCGTAAGACGAAACAGCATACCGATGGCGCCAAACTTGCCATACTTGTCGAGCGCATCGCAGTTCTCGTCCAGGTTGTCCGCCAGCTGCTCCCGTAACCGATTACAAAACTGCACTGCAGTGAGTGTGTGGCAGCCGTCCTTGGTGGGATGTAGTTGAACGTTAGGACAGTCGCGGTCGAGGGGGCCTCCGTCACGCAGGCCGAGGACGCAGGCCTGGCTACAGTAAGGTAGCGGTTTGTGTTGACGAGTCGTATTGTCTGTTTTGTTTATGTTTGTACTCTTTGACCGTGTCATGTGTTGCTTCGTTGTTAGTACTGTGGGTACTTGTGAAGACCGGGGGGGGCGAAACTCTTGATCGTCGTTGTCATCGTTATCCTTCCGTCGACTTTGTGGTTTTGTATCGTCTTTACACGTTTGCTGGTTCGGACGAGGCGTGAGTTGCGGGGCATCCTGTGGTTTTCTTACCTCCTCCTCTTCGCTACTTTCGTCTAAAAGGTGCATCTCGTCGTACGGGTAAGGCCACCGTTTCAACATGTGCACCGCCTCCTTCTTCCACCTCTGGCTGAGAACCGGTTCGGCCAGCGCAAGCAAGGCCATTGTGGACACCATCGCCACTGCAGAATGTCGAACGTGGTCCGCGGCACCCCCCGATGTGACTTCGTCCCGCGGCAGGGCAAGATGGTAGTACAATGTGCGCACGTCCGCCGCATCCAGGTACAACAGGATCAACGCTTCACCAGAGGCCACGTACGAATAACACAGCCCGAACTCAACCATATAGTGAAAGGCTTGGGCGATCACGCGTGCCGTGGCCTTCTCAGCTTTCCTACGGGCTTCTAGGTGCTTGTCGCCCTGGAATATTTTGTTTGACCTCTGCTCGCGGATCGCGGTAGTAAACAAGCCCTGTGGCTCGCGAACGGCGTCAGAAAGAGCCAGCTTGAGCGTGGATCCGCGTAGTTTATGCGCCGCCTTGTATTCCACGACAAAAACAGGCACGATGCTCCCGTCGCTGTTGACGCGCATAAACCACTGATCTGGGTGGAATTTGCGAACGGGTGACGATTTGCGCTTTACCGGTGGCGGCCCGTCGCCGGTCGACCGCCCGCGGGCTTCTGCGTCCCTAGACTGTGCCTCTAACATAGCAGGCATATAAGCCGGTGTCGTGTCACTGTTCTGGCTCTCGTCGCTGTTTTGCGGCTCGTCTAAGAGGATCCCGTGTGGTGCGTTGGAAAAGTAGACGCGAATGGGAAGAGCGCTGTTGTCGTTACCCTCACTGACTTTACCATCGTCGTATTGGCTGGTATCGTTGGTTGAAGACAGTGCGGCCTCACACTCTTTAAGATACTGAACTAGAACTCGTCGAGCACAGCTTTCGACGAGGGTAAAGTGAAGCATGCGTACGTCGTTTTCGTCAGCTAACGGTTCCTCCATAGCGAGGATGTCGTTCATGGTTTGGAACCCGACGACGGCCGGGAAAACATGTTTGTCTTTAAACAAGGAGTCTAATCGGGTTTGGCAGCGGTCGTGCAAGGATGGAAAGTCGGCCCATGGCTTCAAGCAAAGAGGGTAGTATTTAGAGTCGACGTTGGTAAAGACACCCGTAGCAGATAAAGCCGGGTCTTCTTGTATGACTAGGTGTTCGTATAGGTTGTTGTGGCAAAGAGACAAGAACGTGTGGAAGTCGGTTAACGCCACGGCTTTCTCGGCTTTTTCGCGTTCTCGTTGTTCGGCAAGGGCGCGGGCTTCTTGTTGTTGGGCGCGGGCTTCTGCCGCTTCGCGTTGTCGTTGTTCAGCGAGGGCGCGGGCTTCTTGTTGTCGAGCGCGGGCTTCCGCCGCTTCACGTTGTTGTTGTTCGTCGCGGGCGCGGGCTTCTTGCTGTTGGGCGCGGGCTTCTTGCTGTTGGGCGCGGGCTTCTTGCTGTTGGGCGCGGGCTTCTGCTTCCTCGGTGCGACGGCGCTGCTCCTCCAGCTCCTTTTTTAACTGTTCGATTGTCTCCATGGTTGTAAAACGAAGTGTGTTGCGAGGAATACACAGGGGCTGGTTGGACGCCGGTTGAGGACAATTGAACGGATGATATGTTGTATACTGTGGGATAATGTGTATGGCATTCTATAGGAATAGTAGGCATCTATCAGGGGCCAACACGTGACCTGCTAGGCTGATGGACCCTACATAGTCGGATTCTGTCACATGATCCAGATTATGGGACGTCCTCCTCTCGAGCTCCCTCACGCTATTCTGTCGCTCTCCCGCTGTCCACCCAGCTGGTCTACTCGCCGGCTCAGCCACTGATTTACAGCGACGCTGCAGTACCAAAACGGCTCCTTCCTTACCATCGGGAAGTATCTCGTCCTAGGTTGCCGCAGTTTCCTTCTGAACGTCGTACGCTCCTGCCTCACATTCTGTCATTATCTTTGTTGTCCTCCTTCTCCTTCCAATCTGTCGCCATCGCCACATTCTGGTGGTATCTCCCCTTTTCCTGGACTCGTTTCTTCCTCTTCACATCTCGGATTTCCATCTTCCTGACGAGCCAGTTCGCCCATATCGCCCGCGATCCTCGGTGCTTCACTTTCTACCACACTTTGCTGCCGAACCCTTGCCCGCTGTCTGCTCCTTTTTACCTTTTGTTCCATATCCAGCCACCCAAAACCCTCGCATCGCGACTTCGTCATCTCGTCGTCTTTCTCGCTTTCTGTATGTTTTGGCTTCACTGTAAGCCTACTGCCCCCCTTACTCGTGCTTCCCGTTCATCTCCTCCCTCCCCACCATCCAGACCTCTGTTTCTCCACTTTTATCTGCTACCATCTAACGCCTTCGCACATCCGTCGCTAGCTCCAGCCTTCTCCCTCTCTCTCACATCCCCATCTCCTCATTTCAGCTGTTTTCTCAGTCTTTCGTTCCCCTTCTCGCTTCCCCTTTTCCTCCTCTCCCTCCAGACTCTGCTTCTCCTCCTCCAATATGCAACGCGCCAACAACGCCGATGCTGCCGTCCATTTCGCTCTTTCGATGACTTTGTCACCTTGTCCTTTTCGTCATTGACTGCCGGTAAAATCTGAGCGTCCAAGCTGCCGGAGACCTCTTCGACCTCGACTCTTACCTCTGGTTGCACCTCCCTCCTTCTTGTTTTTACTTGTGCGATTTCCTGTACTGTACATACCAGCGAAGCGATTAAAAAACGAAAAGAAAACACGTCAAAGTTCGGAACACGCCTCTAGGCGAACCTCCAGCGTGCGCATCACTGCGACTTATCTCCTCCATACGAACACCGTGGCCATCACACGACGCGACTCCCAACGATACCCAACACGAGACAAAGATCAATCACGATACCCTGAAATTCGAGCCACGCATCCCCGACAATACACACTCACGACACTCACCCATCCATCATGGTGTCCGACGAGACCTACGACATCTGCCTCCCAATCCTCCAGGACGCCTCTCTCGAGGAAGAGGACAAGATCGACCGCCTCGAGTCCCTTTTAAAGAAGGCCACGACCCTCCAGGGCCAATCCCTCGAAAACGCAGTATTAGATGCTGTCTGGCGATATCGCGAGGGCGGCGGGACTGCCACATCGCCGCCGCCCATCCGCCAGACCATTCTGCGCCGGCCCTCGCCCGCCTCTTGGCGCGGCTCCAACACCCCACTTTCCGGCTCGCCGCGTCTCGGGGTGAGCCCCCTCGTGCCCCCAGGCTTCGTCCCGGCATCCATCCAAGGCGCTTCCTTCCCGCCGTCGTTTACTCGCAACAACAAATCCACCGCCGCCTCACCCTTCGGCTCTCCCCGACCCTCACCCCGTCTCGGTTTTGCGACCCCTGCCATCCCCCACAGCCCTAGCCTCAACGCCTACGAGTTTGCCAGCGATCACACACCTGCCGCTGAAATCTTTGGCGACGCTCAGCAGACAGACAATGTCGACTGGCTGGTCAGCGATGATGCCGTCAGTGTTACCTCGTCACTGGGAGGTGGCAGCGGTACCGGTTTTGGCGGCGGTCCTGGAAGCTATACGGGCAGCGGCTTTGCCTCCGGAACGGCAACGCCTTCTTCCTCGAGTGGTCTCAACGCGGCCGCGCCCGAGTTCTCCTTGTCATCCCTGTCCTCGCAGCAGGTGGACATGACGCCCTACGATATGCTTCGCTCTATCTTGGGTCCGTCGCGCACCGACGACGAGATCGACGCCGCCCTGGCCATGCACGGCTACGATCTTGGCGCGACCATTACGGCGATTATGGAGCAGCAGCAGCAGCAGCAGCAGCAGCAGCAGCAAAAGCTGCAAGAGCCGCAAGAACCGCAACAGCCGCAAGATGCCGCCTCATTTTCTCTGTCGGCCCTGGGATCGAGCGGCGCGCCATTCCCGCCCGCGCCGACCTCCATTGCATCGTCCATGGACGATTCTTCGGGCGGCGTGCTCATTGGCAAGTCCATGACCCCTGACGCGCGCCCGAGCACACCCGCCGACCAGAAGTCTGGCATCTTATGCAAGTTCTTCTTGTCGACGGGCCAGTGTCTTCGCGCCGACTGCCGTTTCAGCCATGATCTGAGCAACCACATCTGCAAATACTGGGTTGCTGGTAACTGCCTCGCTGGTAATACCTGCGTCTTCTCTCATGACCCGGCACATCTCATTACCCGCCTAAACGTGGACGGCACTAGCACGCCGCCATCGCAGCCCAGCGTCCACGACTATAGCGCGTTCCCCGTCCTCCAGCCGCAGCCTTCCACGCCCGAGCATCTGTCCCTCTTCGCGGCCTCGGGATCGTATCCTGCTGTCGGCCTCACGCCGCCCCCAGGTTTCAAGCTACCCAGCTTTAGCGGTGCAGGCGGCTTAGGCGACGGAATCTCGCGACCCCGGTCGCGCCCCAGCAGCCGGCACCAGATGCATCGCCAACATGAAGGCGGACACCACGGTCACAACGGTAACAATAGCAACAATAACAGCAGCAGCAACCAAGCGGCGCCTTCCATCGACGACACCGAAGCGTTCCCGACGCTTGGGTCGGCCGTGTCCTCTGCCCGAGCCGTGAGTGGCAAGAAACACCACGGCAAACGTGGCGGTCAAGGCCACAAAGACGGCGCCACCATTGGCTCGGGTGCAAGCGCACCATTTACACCGAGCTCGCTCGCGGACATTGTTAAGATGTCACCCTCACCGACGCCCGAAGCCTCATTGCCACGACCCGCGACCATTCGCAAGCTAGGCCGCAACGGCAGCATGGCCAATATGCGCAACGGCGAGACCAGTGCGGCCGCTCAGGCGATCCCGACGCCCAAGCACATCCCCTGGCTCGAGACGGGCGACAGGGCCAACAAAGCCTATCTCAAAGCGCGCCAGGAAGCCATTAAGCACGGTGGATTACGCAACAAGTTTTTGCAGAGGTGGGTTTTTTTTTTTCTTTTTTTTCTTCCTTCTCCCCTACTACTCGTTGGATCTTTACTAACACACTGTAGCGCCGCACAAGCATGGAACCGCAACGACGCGCGCGCTGCCAAAGCACTGAGCCTGCGCGGCCAGAGCGAGAATGACTTGATGCGCAAAGCACACCGCGAGGCCGCCCGCGAGCTCTACGAGGAGCGCAACCGGTTCAACACGCCGTCGTCGGAAATCTACGTGGATCTGCACGGCCTGCACCCCGAAGAAGCCGTCGAGTACCTGGAGCGCGTGCTGCTCGACAATGGCAGCGAGACCAAGCCCGTCTATGCCATTACGGGCACGGGCCACCACAGCAAGAACGGCAAAGACAAGGTCGGCAAGGCCGTGCGCAACTTTCTCAACGAGTGGCGCTACGCGTATCGCGAGTTCTCAGTGCCCAGCGACCGCAACAACATGGGCGGCATCCTGGGCATTGATGCGCGCAGCTGGGACAAGTCGCTGGGGGCCCGGCCGACGGCGCCGCCATCCAAGGTGTCGACGAGCACGGCCGTCGTAGGAAATGTCGACATCTTGTCTCAAGGCGTCGAGATTGGCGACGGCAAAGTGAAGCTGCTGGTGCGGGACTCGTCGGTCGCAACCAAGGAGGTACCGAAAGGGGGCAAAGCTGTGCGGTAGGCGAAGGGCGTAGTCAGCTAAACGTGGCGCAGGATATGAGAGCATATGTGATAAACGGGGATATCTTGATATCTTGATATTGGTGGCCGTCTTGTTACGATTCTAGATAGGATTTTGAAGAGGCCCCTGGGGACAGAAGCTGACGCCATAATGAATACGAAAATTTACATTAAACAGATGGAAGCCCTGTGTCTGCAAAGCCCAAGTCGATTTTTACTAATCATTTCTATTTTTAAAAAAGACTAGTGCATCATCCCGTAATCACTCCCAGTTTGCTACTGTCCACGGGCTCATCATTGTCACCGCCCCGCCGAGGAAGTGTCTAACCGTCCTTTTCAGTAGCACCATCGCAGCAACCACTATCACGACCACCGCCGCCACCTTACCATTTATTCTACAACGCGCAGTACAGTAGCTACCTTTTCGGTACGAGATACCCTAGTCTTCAATGCAACAAGTTAGTCGTGAAAAGTGCAGAATGGTGGTGTGCGCTTATATAAGTCTCAGACTCGAGTGCATGGTACGTTCGTACTTAAATTATTCTCGGAGCCAATTCCTGCAACGACAAGTAACCGGTCAAGAACCGGGCAATTGGCTTAGGTGGTATAGCGCCCGCTTAGCATGAGCAACATCGCTATGTCAACCTGCGGGAGGTCCAGGGTTCGAGTCCCTGATTGTCCAAATTTTTTGTCTTTTTTTTACGTCACTTGAAACACTGCAAATCCATATGCTTCATTTTGCATTTACAACTCTAGGTTAAAACACTCGACTTATAAACTCTAGCAAACCGTCTCTTGCGGGAGGGGCAATAAAAGCTGCTATCGCGGCCTGTTAAGAGAAAACGTACGAGACGAATGACAACAAGAGGAAGGACAGTAAGAGTGGTGGTGCCTGACGTACTGAGGCAGGAATATGCTATACCTGCGAGCTCTGAAAATACTAGGTCTCTTGGTTTTGTATACCTTTGGTTGTGGAAACCGGGCAGCCGATGGGAGCACCTTTGTCACGATGCTTGCTTCGTTATACTCAGTGCGTTGTCCGTTTCGTCTTGCTATTAATATATGAGTCCAACAACAGTGCACCTGGATCGCGTCGGTGTGCAATGTTGCTTCCTGTTTCCTAAGTCCATAACAAAATACAAAGCAACAATGAGCCTATAACCTTTTCTAATTGTAGCATTGTAGGAACTTTTTTTTAAAAAAAAAAAAAAAGAAAAGAAAAAAAGAAAAGAAAAGAAAAGAAAAAAGAAAGAAAAAAAAATACAAAGAAAATGAAAAGAAAATAAAAATGAACATAAATCGACTTGACAACCCAGCAGAAATATATGTAAAATGAAAATGTAAATAAATCTGTTTCGCTGACAACTAGCCAGCATGTGGCTGAGAAAGGCGAATAATAATAATAATAATAATAATAATAATAATAATAATAATAATAATAATAATAATAATAATAATAATAATAATAATAATAATAATAATAATAATAATAATAATAATAATAATAATATCAAACTGACAATGGTCTCGCAACAACTCTCTTGATTAAACCATGCCTAATATCGTTGGCCGTCTACACACACTTTAACCATCGAGGGATATTGCCAGGCCGGCCGCCGCCCCCAGACGGCACTGGAAATTGAGATACATTGATAGTGGTACGTCGAGAGGCTTGCTTTATCACTCAATGGCGAGAGGAGCATGGCACACTGTCATGTTGCCCCTATGAACACCGAGACATCATCCGATTGTCAAGATGACAAAGGCAGCCAATCTGGTCTGGGTACTCGCCTTGCTGCTCTTCACAGTGGCAGCAGCATCGCCACGCCTCAACCCCAAAGACATTGTCGTCGACGCCGACCTCGACTATGGCAGCTTTCGCGGCGCCTACTCGGACGAGTACAACATCACCTACTGGACGACGGTGCCCTTTGCGGCACCGCCTGTGGGCCGGAACCGCTTTCGGGCGCCGCAGCCGCTGCCACCGCTCCGTTCGTCGGCCTCTCCTGCGCTGCACAACGCCAGCCGGCCGTTTCCCATGTGCCCGCAGCGCGAGGCCAGCGGCGACGAGGACTGTCTGTATCTGGGCGTGTACGGCCGGCCATGGACCACGGCCGAACGGCGTGACCACCGGCTGCGGCCGGTGGTCGTTGTCTTTTTCGGCGGCGGGTTCATTCGAGGGTCGGCCGCGCTGGGTTTACCGCCTGCAGCGTATCCTGTGCTCAACGTGTCGGAGGCGAACAATGTGTTGTTTGTGTATCCCAACTACCGGACCAATGTGTTTGGCTTTTTGGCCGGCCGCGACGTCGGCGCCGACGCGGGCTCCGACACCAATGCGGGCTTGCTCGACCAGCAGGCGGCGCTGCGCTGGGTGCAGCGGTACATCCATGTGTTTGGCGGCGATGCGGGCAGCGTGAGCATCTGGGGCCAGAGCGCCGGCGGCGGCAGCGTCCTGGCGCAGGTGGTGGCCTCGCGACGCTCGTCGTCCGCCTCCAGCGGCGATGACACGGCACCGCCGCTGTTCCACCGCGCCATGGCCAGCAGCCCGTACTGGCCCAAGACATACCGGTACGACGCGCCAGAGCCGCAGGCGCTCTACGACGACCTCGTGCGGCGCGTGGGGTGCGAGGATGACAAGAATGACAAGAGTGCACGTGCTGGTAGCGACACACTTGCCTGCCTCAAAGCCGTGGACGTCCAGGCACTCCGCACGGCCAGCCTCGCCATCACGGCCGACCGCGACGCCACGGCGACATCGTCGTATGCGTGGGCGCCGGTCCTGGACGACACGTTTTTGCGGCAGCCCTTGTCGTTGCTGACGAGTACGCGGCTGCAGGGCGGGCGTGGCGCCAGCGCCAGCGCCAGCACCCTGCGCGCTGGCTTTGCCACATACAACACGCACGAAGGCGAGAATTTCGTGCCGACCTGGCTGTTCCCGAAACGCGCCGCAAATGCTACGGCGGACGACGACGAGCGCCAGTTCCACACGTCGCTGCTGCGATACCTGCCGGACCTGAACGCAGACGACATGGCCCAGGTCGGCCGACTGTATCCGTTGACTGGCGATGTCGAGGACGGCGGCGGTGCGGACCGGGCCTACTCGGATGGCAACCCCTTTGGCCGCGCCGGCCTCGTATATCGTGATGTCACTCTGGCGTGTCCGGCGCACTGGATGACGACGTTGGCCGCAACAAGCTGGCTCGCCGAGTACTCCATATCTCCGGCCAAACACGCCAGCGACACGTACTGGTGGAACACCGTCGACAAGGCCCAGAAGACAGACCCATTGCACTACAACGGCTACGCCGGCGCTCTGGCCTCGTTCTTTGCGACAGGCGATCCGAATGCAAACAAGTTGACAGCCTCGTCTGTTCCTGGACTGCCCGATACAACAGCAGGCGAGGAATGGGCCATCACAGCCGACGGCTTTGCTACGTGGAGCCTTGCGCAACTGCAGACGCGATGCGACTTTTGGCTAAGCATCGCGCCACGGATATCTATCTGAAGGGATCTCGCATGCCAGGAAAACAATGTCGTATTTATATTAGATATCTCTCTCAACACAGGCAACAATGTCGGCAAAGATCCAATGCCCGCAAACGCGACAAACATCTATATCACAAGAAAATAAATCTTCGCTTCGCAACATGGTCGCCGTCTAACTGGACAGCAAAACCAAAGACAGCCAAAGCAGCTCTAGCAGCACCCTCTAGTCTATCGTGTCGTCCCGCAGACGAAACAGCTGCGTCAGGACCTCGTCCGTCCGTGCCCGGATCGCGTTGTGGTACAGCCCGTTCGTCTCGTACACCTTGATGTTGCGAATCTTGCCGGCCGTCTCCTTGGCTATGCCGTAGTCCACATACAGGTCGTCGATAAAGGTGGCCGCGTACACGGGCACCCGGTTCATCTTCAGCTGGTCCTCGTCGTACAGCTCCTCCCAGTCGTCGTACGCCGCCACCAGCTCCGCCGCCTCCTTCATCTCCATGAGCTCGGGGTATGTGTCGAACATGAACGGGTAGATCATCTCGCTGCTCAGCAGGATCGAGCTGCCAATCTGCTGCCTCTCCGGCGCCACCACGTCATCCGCGAGCCAGCTGAACTGCGGGAACTCGTGCTTCGTCTCCTCGTCGCCCTGGGACACGAGGTCTGTTCCGGCGCCCACGCCCACGCGCTGCGCCGCCCACCGCGACGACACGCCCTTCTTGAAACAGTAGATGGGCTCGTGCAGGACCGCATAGAGCGGCATCACGTCCAGTGGGAAGAACTGCTCCACCTGCACCAGGGTCGGGCGCGTCAGGACGCCCACGCGCTCAATGTCGTGCCGCATCCGCAGCAGCAGCGTGTGCGTCGCGTCCACGCCGCCGTGGAACCCAAACATGTACCCAAACGTCAGCACCCGCTTGAACGTCAGGAAGCCGCCGCTCGGCAGCGGCAGACGGTGGTCGGGCTGGCTGTACAGGTGCTGCGAGATGCGCTGCAGTGCGTCTGCGTCCTCGGGGAACTTGCCAAAGTACGCCCGGTTGCGTTCCACCGCCTTGCGGTACGTCGCCCGGTACACGTCGTCGGCCGTCTTGCCCAGCGGCGCCATGCCGCCCGTCATAAACACCTCGCGCAGGCCGTCGCTGTAGAACGACAGGTACGTCAGGCTCACAAACCCGCCAAATGACTGGCCCAGAAGCGACCACCGCTTTTTCGACGCCGGCTGGTCCTCTGTCAGGCACTTGCGCACCGCCTCCAGGTCCCGCACAATGCTGTCTGCCCGGAACTTGCGCAGGTACGCCGCCTGCGCGTCCGGGCCGCCTCGCCGCTTCAGTGTTTCGGCACAGATCGCCGAGCTCATGCCCGTGCCGCGGTAGTCGAGGAACAGCAGCTGGTACCCGCGCGAGAGCATCGTCCGCGTGAACGCATAGTCCTGCGGCTCTCGGTTGCCCGAGCCGGGTCCACCCTCGAGGTACACCAGCCATGGTTTGGTAAACAAGTCCCGGAGCTCCTGCAGGCTGTCCTTGTACACCTTGGGCGTCTTGTTGCTGATCGCCGTGCCCACCCCGCCGTTGCTCGTGCTGCCGCCTTCGCTGAACGGAAATGTCGGCACTATCGGCTTCTCGTAGCGAAACGCGGCCCGCGCAAACAGCCGGAGCTTCTCGCCGTGGGGGTCGCGGTAGTCGAGTGGTACGTCAAAGTAGAGCTCCGCCACCAAGAGCTGGGCTGCAAAACCGTGCGTTAGTTATGTATGGCATTGACCTCAGCTGAGACTGAGAGACTGAGAGACTGAGAGATTGAGACACAGAACGACAAAGACGCACAAGGTAGGCGGTGGAGAAGGCTGCTGACGAGCACTGCTGGTCCGGGTTGGATTGCCTGCCGCAGCAGTCGAGACGTCCCCACCATTGACATCGCGGCGTCCGCTTCGGCGCTTGGGTCCATCCCCAGCGGTTTGCTGTGGCTCGTTGGACTTGTCTCCGTCGCCTGAGGTCAAAGCAAAGTGAGGACGGGGACCTGAGGCTTGACGAAACCAGTTTTGGCCGAGGTTGCGTGACTGGATTTGGGATTAGGTTGGGTCGCGGTTGATCGAGTGGACAAGGATGAACGGCGCCGCCCGTTCGGATCTGGACCCGATATTATGTACGGGCGAAAGTATCGAGTTCAGCAAGGAGCAAATAATGCAACGGTGTTTCTGGAGCTCTGCTGAGCCATGCAGAGATTCAGAGATCCGAGGCTATTGGCAGCTTAGTTAGTGTGTGTGTGTTGGGCCACAACTGGCTGCTTTGGCCCAGTTAGCTCGATTCAACGCGATATCGGCGGTAGGTGGGCCTGCGCTCGTGATCCAGCCTGGGCGGTAGACGAGCAGACAAGGATGGCAAACCTGGCAGCAAAGGAGTTGTGTACTGCGTACGAAAATGGGTCTGACTACGATGCTCCTATTTATTTATTTTGCAGCTTTGCTCCTGCCTTTTTATTACAGATTTTGCGGCCGACTGGATCTCCCAAACTGGAAGGTGTTGGTGAGGGGAAGGTACAATGGATGAAGGCTTGAACCGCCACTCTTTTTCCCTCTATCTGGCAGGCAATCTGGGAGCAGTACTTGGACCGACGCCAAGCGATAGCCGGCTACTTGGACGTCTTGACGGAATGGATGCGATCCTTGCGATAAGATAAGCCAATTTACTTCATTCAGCGCTGTTCTGGGAGGAGCATTCGGCTGGTGGAACGCCTTTGGAATGTCCCCGTGACAGCTATCAAGGTAGGCCTGAAAAGTGCCTGAAGAGGCCTGAAGAGGCCTGAAGAGGCCTGAAGAGAGGCCATTAACACACCTCATTACCCCGTGTGAACAGACATTATTAATTGGCTTTGGGGGCCTTGGCTGGTCTTCTGCCCTTTCCGATTACGCTTGCCTTGCGAGCCTTTCCCGTGCCTGCCCTTTCTGTTGTCCGTCATCTCCTCACCACATCAACTCGTCATCTCGCCATTTCCCCCATCTCCTTCGCTCCTCCCCCCTCTTTTACGCTTCACCCTCTGTTCCTTCCATTTCGTCGCGGTTCAAACGCGGCTGCGTTATCTAATCGGCCCATCCACGCTTCACCCTTCTTTTTTGCGCACCAACTCATTTCGGCATCTCCACCTTAACGCAGAAATTTTCACTGTTTCTACCGTCTCCATTATCGTCCCGCCGACCTTCTTCGACCAAACCTTCTCTCTTTCCAGTACGATTGACGGCACCTGCCAATGGGATGAGCCGTCAAGGCGACACCCAGACTCTGGTCGAGTCGTTCTGCGCCCTCGCAGATGAGGTGCAGAATCTGATTGATCGCAAGACCATTCTCGAGCACAAGCTGCGGTTTGCCGCCGAGCAGGTGAGTCCCTTTGTTGTGTTTCCCACTCTGTACAACACGTGTGGCACCGGCGGCAATGTGTCTCCCTGTTTCTTCCATGATGAGAAGTTATTAGCTCTAGATCTTGAACCGCTTCGGCGGTCACGATAGACAACTTTACCACTTTCTGAACGAAACATATCTCCACCCTCTTCTGCAACACACACCCTGCATCCTCTCTACCCTTGCCTCCCACATGCAAGCTAACAGGCTGCAGTACCAACAGCTCGCCGACAAGTATGCCCCGACTGCCCCCGAGGTGTCCGAGACCCTTGCGAACCTGCAAATCCCGCGCGACGACCACAAACCTCCCATTCCCAGTTCCTATGTCCCGCTGCCCAAGCGCGGACAGCAGGCCGGCTGCAGCCAGCACCAGATTGCTCTGTTGATCCGGGACGGCCGGCGTGCTGCCCAGCAACTGACTGAACGTTCGCGCACCACCGACGGAAGCGTCGTCGGCGGCGGGCACGGCCACAGTGGCGGTGGCGGCGGCGGCTCGAGCAAAGAAGCTTCGTCGGGCACGGCCATTACGACCATGTCGATCATGATGGAGCAGGATTTTACGGTGGAGGGCAAAAAAGGCGTCCTCGACTGCCCCTTTTCGGCCATCAAGCGGCGGCAACAGCTGCTGCGGCAGCAACAGCAGCTCGAGCAGGAGAACCAGCAGCTGCACATCACCGGCGGTGGCAGCAGTGCGCAGGCTGGCGGCCTCGATGTGGATCTCGATCACAACGATCACGACGATGCCGATACGGCCGACATTGCGGCGGCAGCGGGCCCGCCTGGTACCCAGTCTGCCCACGGAGGCGGCGCCGCCAGCGGCGAAGCGTCCAGCCCTCCGGTCGAGGATCCAATCTGTGCCGCGCTGGCCGACGAGAGTGCATCCCAGCACGGGGAAACATCGAACGGCGGCGCTCCGCGGTGCCCGATCCGTTTTCTCGACCAGCACTCGCCGGAAGAGGTTGCGCACTACGTGGAGACGCACAAGCACCAGCTGCCGCGCAGCCACGCCATCTGTCTGAAGCGCTACAACAAGAACGAGGAGCAGATTCGCAAGATGGACGCCAAGTATGGCAATCTTGTCAACATGATTTCGGGTCTCGGCCAGTTTCACCAGCCGATGCTGGCTTCGGCGGAGCCGGGTCCTGCTGGTGCCGAGGGCGGTACTCTCAGCGGTGGTGCCGTTCTGGGTGTCGACGAGCGTGACGAGGGCGAAGTGGTCGACCGCGCCAAGCTCCATAAAGACTCCCACGAACGCGTCAAGACGTGGGCGAACGGCGTGTCTGCCAGCAGCGAAGACGCCGAAGACGACGACTTTGGCAACAGCGGTGACCGTCATGACCACGACGACGGCCAAAGCGCCAACGCCCGAGGTCGGCGTCGCAGTACGGCATATAGTGGTGGCCGCGAATCCAGTGGCAGCGGTGGCGACAACACGGAACCGGAGAGGGAGAGTCACTTTGACCGGCCGCTCAAGGAGGTGCGTCTCGGCGAATCACCGAGCCGGCCGTGGGGTATTGCCGTTCCGGTCTCGTCGATGCCATTGGATGCAGCCGCACAGCCACCGCTGTCGCCGCCGGCGGCCCCTGTTCGTATGCCGAGTCCTGTTCGTGCGCCTCCGACAAACCGTGCACCTCCTGTCTCACCCAGCAAAGCCCAGCCAGCACGCAAGTGCCCGTTTGACCACAGCAAGTTTGGCCTGGGGATCTCACCACCGCCCGGCCATGTTCCTGTGGAGCCTGACGAGAGGGAGGCAGATGAGGCGGTCAAGACACCGGTTGAGACGACGCCCCGTGTCAATGATAAACCCGATAAGACGGTCCAGACCGATCGACCATTCTCGCCGATGAAGCCTCCGCAAGCCACTCCGCAGACCTTCACCCAACCTGCGTTTGTCAACCTTCCACCGCAGACGGCAGCCCAGGGCAACACCGACGGAAAGAACACGGCTGGCCCCGTCCCGCAGATGCTCTTCACTGGCCCGGTGTTCATTGGATACCCGATGGAGCAAGCGGCGCAGTTCTTGCAAATGTACCACAACCCTCAGGGACAGGGCCAGGGCCAGGGACGGTAGATGGTGTGTACCCGTCACGAACCCTACTGTCCTCTGCCACGAACCCTACTGTCCACTTGTTTCTCTCTATACAACCTTCCATCCTATTTTGTAATGTTTTTTCCCCATGATTCATGTGCAACGATACCTGCTCGTTTGGAAGCTTTCCCCTTTTCTTTTCTTTCTTTTTTGTCATGTCTCTTAGCGTTGGCGTCTTCGTTTTTGTTGGCTATGTCTACATTATTAATTTCGGCGCATCTGCTTTATTAAAGGAGTTGATGACCATGCTGCGGCATCGAGTCTTGGTTTTATATTTTAGTTTTAGAGGTTTCATCACCATGCTTGCCCGAGCAGCCTCGTTACTCAAATTGTCTGATACAATATTATTCAAGGGGGCAAAGCCAGATGGCCTTGGCTCCTATCTCCCATAAAATTATGGCTTCTTTCTGGCGTGCATGAAAAACGAAGTGAATGACAGAAACAATGAATTTTTGTTTCTGTTTCTTGTCTATTGTATATGCGCGTGCCTGACGTAAATTATACAGAGAAAAGCACCAAAGGATGCGAGCAATCGTCGACCCAAGACAAAACGCCGAAATACAAAGAGCAAAACAAGGAAAGAAATAGATACGAATATGGCGATGACGGAAACCCAGCAAAAGGCATGCAAAAGAAGAATGGTAGGGATAGGGGATAGCCATGGATTACACAACAAACACTCGTCCCCGGCACGGCACTACTACCGCTTCCCCGCCGACGGTCGCTCACCGATTTCGCCGTCGCTCTCGTCGTGGTAGGACGGGGTTCGGCTGTGGCCGCCGGGCACGGTGCTGCCGGCGTCATGGTCGTCGCCGCCGTCGCCGTCGCCGTCGGCAAAGTGGTCGGCGGCCCAGAGGGAAATGTCGTCGTCGTCCATGAGGGCGGCAACGTCGGCGTCTTCGGGGTCCATGAGCGGTGCGTTGTCGTCGTAGTCAAAGCTGTCGGCGCTGCCGCTGCCGGTGTCGGCGTAGACGCCCGCGGCGCGGCGCGAAGCAGCAGCACCACCGACACGGCCCTCTTCGGCCAGTCCCTCCTCCGCGGCAATCTCGGCGGCGCGGGCCATGGTGCGGCGGAAGATAAAGAGGCCGACGCCGACGCCAATCAGGCCAAAGACGGCCATGCTGATGTAGTTGAAGGCCTTGGCGCCGGCGGACATGCTGTCGCCGTCCTCGGCCAGTTTGGCGAGCCGGCTGCCGATGAAGACGTGGACCAGCAGCTTGGGGCTCGCAATGGCCGTGCTGATGGCAAAGTTGAGCGGGGTGATGCTGGGGATGGTGGCCAAGAAGCCGTTGCTCAGGCTGTAGGGCAGCGGGCAGAAGCGGACCGCGGCCAGCACCCAGATGCCGTCGCGGCGCAGGACCTGGCTGAGGGCGACAAAGCGGTGGTTGGTGCCGACGAGACGGTCGACGTAGCCGCTGAGCACGGTGCGGCTGGCAACAAAGGCGGCGAGGCTGCCGATGACATTGGCGGAGGCGGCAATGGGCCAGCCCCCGGGGAAGCCATACACCAGACCGGCGAGGGTGCAGGCGGTGCTGTAGCCGATGATGGGCGGGAAGCCCGTGATGAACACGAGCAGCCACACCAGGACCCAGCCGCCGGTCAGGTCGTGCCAGCCCTTGGCAATGGGGCCCAGAGCGGAAAAGATGCGGTGGCTGTAGATGAGCATGAGAATGCCCAGAGCAAGGCTGACGGCGCCAAAGGCCACGAACAAGATGCGGTGCAGGGTGGAGAGGCGGATGTAAAAGGCGAGAGCGTGGTTGGCCGAGGCGTTGGCCCAGCGCCAGAGCGAGGCGGCGGTGGACGACGCCGTGGCGATGGCACCGCGGATGCCGGCGGGGCCACGTCGCCGGCGCGCTCCTGCACTTCTAGAAAAGGAGGCGCGGCCGGTGTTTCTCCGGCTGCTTCTGCCATCGCCGCCACCACCGCCACCACCACTACCAAAGGAGTTGCGGCCGCTCGACCGCGAGGCGTTGCTGCGGTGCGAGTTGGCACGGTTGATGGAGAAGTGCGAGTGCTGCGGGCTGCTGTGGCCCGTGCTGCCGCCGGTATTGTCGGGACGAAGGGCCCATGCCGGCTGCGGCGAGGGCGAGGTCGAGGCCGACCTGGGGGAGCCGGAGGCCTTGATGTTCATGCTGGCGGGGACGCGGGGGGACGGTGAGCGGGAGCCGTTGGGAGAGGGGGCCAGCGGGACGGCGGCGGCAGCAGAGACCGGCGCGTGGTAGTCGGCCATGACGAGGAAATGGGAGACGGAGGTGCGGGCCGAAACAGGGAGGAGAGTCGAAACAAAAAGGGAAAAGTCGAGTGAAGCTTTCCGGACGAGCCGGGATACCCTCTTGAGGTATGTGGAGATGCGTGGTTGGCGCAGAGGAGCGCCGAAACGAGGGGGGGGAGCGCGACAGTGAAAAGGAGGGCTCACTGTCCGAGACAAAAAGCATCAATTCGCCATGTGAAGCGGTCGGGACGAAGGAGAGCGGTTCGTTTATCGACGCAAACGACAGAAGTAAAAAAAAGTCGAGAGGAGGAGAATTCGTCAATGTTCGCTCCTGCCGCAGACGTGTTTCTCTAGTGTCAGACAGACAGCCAGGGCGGCTGAGCAAGGGAAGGATCGAAGGAAGGGGCACAAGGAAAGTGCATGTCAGCAAGAGCCAATACCACCCAACAGCGCGGCTACTACGGGCGCCGGGGCACGTTTTTAGGGACGCTACTTTAGAGCTCCAATGGCAAACAGGAGCCAACGTGCATCGAGGGTACGAAACAACGCGAAATGTGAAATGCGACGTGCTGCTGGTGTTTTTGTTCTTCTGGGCTTGTCAGTAGGCAGTCGTCGTCACAGTAATTACATTTCGGATTGGTAGAAAGTCCCACGCAGAGAACCATCCTTGAGAGGCTCTTCTGACTTGGGGTCTTTAATATGGCTTCGGAGAGAGTAGATCGATTCTTCCTTTCGTTCACTGCCGAGTCAGATCAAAGTTCAGGCGCGGTGCAGGTGGTCGCAGTACGGATTGGACATGAGAAAATACAAAACTGTCAGCCACCTCACATATATAAAGACCCGAGAAAGGGGTAAGCGCAAACATTGCATGCTAAGATAGAAAGTACTCTGTTTACGCGGCTTTCTCCTTCTTTTTCATCTTTCTATTTCTTAATTCGACCAGCTTGTACGCCGCTTCTTGAAAGAGCTGAGGAGGCTGCCGCACATAAAAACTGGCAGTTAGAGCCAGTTACTGGCCGGCTTCAACGCCGCCTTGCTGCCAGTCCCGTAGAGCTGTTCGAAGGATGCCTTTCGTCTTTCGTCCTCCAAAAAGGACAAGCTTATGGTTTAACCGACCAGGCCATAAAGAGCGGCACGAGATTTTGGTGTGTGGGCCGAGTCGTGGTGAGCTCGACGCGTTACTCTGAAATACGGGCATTTGGCTATTAACCTGGTGCAGAGTACTTAAGTTCTTTTTGATTGCTGCTTTCCAATGACTAATAACCGGTCTGGAAACGGGCAATTGGCTTAGGTGGTATAGCGCCCGCTTAGCATGAGCAAAATCGCTATGTCAACCTGCGGGAGGTCCAGGGTTCGAGTCCCTGATTGTCCAATTTTTTTTTGTCTTTTTCTTTCTTTTTTTAAACTGCTCCGAAGGCAAAGCTTGGCTGCGCTCGTGGCGATGCACAAAGACCGAATAGCTGAAATAACGAAACGAATCTGACATATTTGTGCTCGATGTGAGTATGTTCTCGACAGTTAAAACTGCTGTACCTGGAATTTTTGAATACATCCTGTCAGTTGTGACGTTTTGTACACTGATATAGCACGAGGAACAATCTAAAATATACCGCAACTCCCTTTGTCGACCTCCCGAGCAAGTCATCCACCCGTCAACAAATCCACAATTGTAGCTGGTGGGCTGTCCGGCATTGTTACAATGCCTTTGACGACAATCCACTTCTACTAGCCCAAACGCCACTATCTACTTTTCAGGCGCTGTCTTCTTATCGGTAGACAACCCGAGTTAACTCCTCCGCACTTTTAGTCACAATCACCAATCTCGGACTTCCACATTCTTCTTTAACAAAACTATTTACACCTTACCTCACAATGGCCACTCTGTCCGACAAGGAGGCGTTTGAGCTTGCGTACGAGGAGGCCAAGAAGGGCTTTGAGGAGGGTGGCGTGCCGGTAAGCCTCCAAACTGTATCATCGGAGATGGCCGACAGTCCTTGAACAGCGCCAGCTCCTCCTCACGCTCTGATTTCTTTCTGGTTTTCTGTCCACCTGCGGACCTACTGACATACTGACAACTGTAGATTGGCGCCGCCCTCGTCTCGGCCGACGGCAAGCTCATGGGCCGCGGCCGCAACCTGCGCGTCCAGAGCGGCTCGGCCATTCACCACGGCGAGACGTCGGCGCTCTTCAACAGCGGTCGCCGGCCCGCCGGTGACTACAAGGGTCCGTTGTCCCTGCTTCCCTCCTTTTTGTCTTTTTTTCCCACTCGTCTCGGTACTGACATCCCCCTTCCCCTGCCCCCCCTCTCCCACAGGCAGCACCATGTACACCTCGCTGTCGCCCTGCGACATGTGCACCGGCGCGTGCCTGCTGTACGGCGTGGGCCGTGTCGTCATTGGCGAGAACCGGACCTTTTTGGGCGGCGAGGCGTACCTCAAGCAGCGCGGCGTCGAGGTGGTCGTGCTGGACGACCCGCGGTGCAAGGCGCTGATGGATGCCTTCATCGAGAAGAGCCCGGATCTGTGGAACGAGGACATTGGCGTCGAGGAGCACACCCGCGTCAAGGCCGGCACCATTGAGGCATAAGGGGGGCCATAGGACACGGGCGATAAGATTGGATAGGATGGATGCGGAGGTGGTTCCAGGTACATAGGACAACGTACTCAGAAATAGACTACCTGTATTGTCCGACTTGGCCAGTGAGGGTCTACATTTGTAACGTTTTAAATTTAGTTTCTTAACTTCTTGCTTTCTCAAAAGAACACGCCTCTCCTAAAGCGCGCAAAGCAGATAAACCCCAATGACCGAGGTGAACGCAAAGAACCACTGGCTATTCCCTGTATTCCCTGTATTCCCTGTTTGTCCCATTTTCTGTGCCCCTTGCACCGGATCACTTCCTGCCAGATTCCGGGAAATGGTATACGAAAATTGCAATAACAAATCAATGCTCAGACAATCAAAAAAGTATCTCAAAAGAGAGAAGAGAAAAATAGGAAAAGAAGAAAAGAGGAAAACATAATGTACGCCAGAAAACCCAAGCCAAATGAAACCAAACAAAGGCAAAAAAAGATAAAAGTACATCAAATTAAACAATCGTCAGAGGCCGTCAGGGTCTGCGACGACAAACGGTCCTTACGAAAGCAAGTTGCGCAGAGACGGGTTGGAGCTTGCCGAACTGCCGTTGCGCGGCTCACTGGGCCGCGGCGGCGGCGGCGCGGCATTGTTCGCTGGACCGCGAAGCGTAAAGTCCTCGCGCGTCACATTGTTTGTGTTGAGTCCGGCGTTCGTAAACGACGCATTCGACGAAGCCGATCGCTGCGGGTGCAGCATTTGCGCAAATGGATGGTGCGGACTTGTGCTTTGCATATGCGGCGAATGCTGTGACGATCCGTGTGGCGATCCGTGCGACGTTCCATGTGACGACCCGTGTGACGTTCCGTACGGCGCATGTCCGCCGTAGCTGTGGCCGTACGGGTCCCGGCTGTTGCGCTCGTGCGCCAGCGGCGGTGGCGGACCGCCTAGGCTACGCCGGGGCGGCGATGGTGGGCGGCCATTCATCACGCTCTGGCCCATGTACCCGCCACCACTGCTCCCACTGTTCTGCATGCCGCTGAGCGGCGGCGGACGCAGGTGGTTGTGCGTGAAGCTGTTGCTCGTGCTTGCGCTGTGCAGCGGTTCACGACGTGACGGCGGCGGCGGAGGCGGTGGCGCTTGCGACGATGTAGGCGGACGACGCCAGTCGGAATATGACGACGAGGAATACGGGTGGACAGGCGCAGGCGGGGCCTGCTGTGGGACAGACGACCGAGGGGGAACAGACATCGAGTGTGGCGAGTGGTGCTGCTGCATGTGCGGAGCCGAATGCATCGCATGGGGAGACGGAGTGCCTCGTGATGAGCCCGGCCGAATGGACGTGAGTGGTGGCGGCGCCTGTTGTGGGAGCGGCGGGGGCGGCGGCGGAGCAGCACCGGACGAGCCCATGTTGGAGGACCAGTACCGCGGTGCCATGTCGGGCGGTGACCGAGACGAGCCAAGACCAGTAGGCGGGCCGCCACTGCTTGACGGGGGGTGCGTCGAGGCCGGCAGCTGCTGTGCGTGCGAGTACGGCGACCGCTGTGGGGGATCTGGGCGTGCGTGGTCGACAGGATGCAGGATATTGTGATGGTGCGACGACGGCGCGCGAGGAGGCAACTGCGACGGTGTCTGCGGCTGCGACAGCGACTGCGAAGGTGGCGGGAGGGGCTGCTGATGCGCTGGCAACAGAGGCGGCGCCTGGTGCAGTTGCGACTGCGACGGTGACGGTCGCGATAGGTCGGACTCGGGCGGGTACCGTGGCGCCAGCCGTTGCATGTCGTCCGAATACGGCTCTTCTTCTCTCTTAACGACAGTCGAGCGGTGCTCCGTCTCGCGCGATTGGCTTGGAGTGCCCGTCAGGCTGTGCGCGATGTGGCCCTGGCTGCTGCCACTGCGATGGTGGTGGTGCTGGGTGTGGGGTGAAGCCTGGGCGTTCGGCCGGCCGCCATGAGGGTGGTTGGTGAACTCCGTAACCAGGCCGCGAGCAAGCTCGTGTTCCTGGGCGCGCTCCTGTTCCCGGTGGACGTGCTCGAGGCCGTGCACGGCCCGATCGTGCATCTCGCGGTCGTGGCTGTGGGGCGAAGGCTTGCGGCCTGTCTTCTTGCACTTGTGGCACTGGTAGTTGCGCTGGGCAACAAACTTTTGCGCCTCCTCGCCCATTTTGCCGTAGAACCCGTTGGCAAGTTCACGCTCTTGCGTCTTGTCGATGGCATGCCACTTGGGGCTGACGTCGCTGCCGCACGTGAGGCAGACCTTGTTGTCCTTGACGGCTTTCTTGGCCCCCACGGCCGTCGCCGCCGAGAGCTTGCTGCCGAAGTCGCCGTTGAGATACACCGAGCCCTGGCGGCTGTTGCTGCCGTTGCTCTGAGGCGCCGTGTTCTGGTCGGGGGACGATCCTCTGCCTGCAGCCGAGTTCGCACCGGCCACCAGCGAGCCCGACATCTTGGAGGCGATCGAGAGGAGGTTAGCCTTGCGAGCGCAGCCGGTCAGGGCGAGGTCGGCCTGCTTGTAGTTCTCGACGTAAAACTGAAGACCCGACATGTCCGAGCCATCAATCTTCTCGTACGGCAGGTACGCCGAGCTCTTCAGCGGGATGTGGTCGCGGCACCAAATCGCCGGTACCAGCAGACCGTTGACGCCGTTTAGGGTGACAATGTTGGCCTGGTCGCGGCGCGAGCCCTTGACGGGGACGAGGTCGAAGCCAAAGATATAGCCGGCTTGGTGCGCGCACTGCACATGGAACTGCGCACGGCACTGGTTGCACGACACGCACGCGCCAGTGGACTTGGTCTTGCAGATTTTGCATTGCTCGTCGTACCGGGCCCGCGGGACGGAGGCAACGCCCTCAGCCGGTTCGAGAGCGCGGGCCCTGCCAAACTTGATCTCCGGTGTCCACACGGCGCAGGTGACGTGGATCCAGTTGTTGTCGGCCGTCCGCTTGAGCGCCTCTCGCGGGTTGACGGGCTTGTTGAGCTCCTCTTGGCGCTTTCTGTAGCACTCGTCGGCTTTCTTGGCCTGTTCACGATCGATGCGGTCCCGTTCGCGACCTTGTGCGTCGGATCTCTTGCTGTGCGAGGACGACGTCTGTGCGCCGGCGGCAGGCTTGCTGTGCTCGACCGGGCAAAGGACGCAGTTGTAGTTGATGGACATGTGAGGGTTGCGGTCGTTGGTGCACATGTCGCAAAGCCACTTGTGCGGGTTGCGGTTGTCGAGAACGCCATAGCAGCTCCGGTGCACCGTCAGGCGGCAGTCGCGGCACACCACGCGCTGGTCCTCATTCGCCAGATTTGTCTTGAGACAGACAGCACAGGGGAGCTTCTTCGGCTCGGGAAGAAGTTCGGCCACCGTACGCGAGTAAGCGTTGGATGCGGAGCGTCCTCCCCCTGCAGCGGGCGTCGACCCGTTGGAGCGTCCGCCGCCTGAAGCACGTTCTGCGGTGGCAGACCGGTCCCGTTCGGCGGCCGCCCGCTCGGCGTTGGTCCGTTCGCGATCGCGCCGTCTGTTGTTGGACGACGATGCTGGGTATGTCGAGCTCGATGCGGAGTCTGACGCGTTGTAGTCGGCGTCCTTGTCAGCAGCGCTGCCGTTCTGGCCCTTGAGTCGCTTGCGTGGAGGTTCCGTGGACTGGTGGAGGGCGCTGAAGTTGGCTTCGGTAAGGCGGATCATCTCCTCAGCTGCGGCGATTTCTTTCATAAGTTCGTCGTCCAGCTTGCGCTTCACGAGACGGCCGCCCGCGTTGGTGACCTTGGCGGTGAGGGCCTCCACATCCTCCCATTGCACCGCATACCGGCGCCAGAGCTCGGAGCAGCGACGGCACAGCGCTGCTACGTACTGCTGAGTGTTCTGGTTCTGGCTCCGCTCGCGGTTGGAACTGCGACCACTGCCTCCACCGAGCGACTCGGCGAGGACACCGGTGGGCACAGCAGCAGGTGCGCGGCGCCACTGCCGGGACGTCTTTGTGCTACAGAACTTGCACTGGAACTGGCGTTTGAGAGCGTCGGCCTTGTCGGTATCAAAGGCAGAGTCGTCAACGTCATCGGCCACGTCGTCCTGAATCTTATTCGCGGCGGCGGTCTCGGCCTTCTTGGCCTCCTTTGCCTCCTTCTTGCCTTTGCGGCTGGCATTGTTGCCCCAGATGATCTTGCCACGCTCGCTCTTCTTCCAGGCGTAGTAGTAGCGCACAATGTCACCGTAAAATACTGTCTTGACGTGGCGCGTAACGAGGTGGAGCTCCGAGCCGAATTTGGTAACGGCGTCCTCAAACCGCTTGTACTCGGCGGCGTTGAGGATGGGCTCCCTAAACTCATCTGGCTTCTTACGGTCAAGCTCCTTTAGCGCCTTGTCTGTGTTGAAGTTGTTGTGAAACAGCAGATCCGCAGCCACGTCGTGCAGGTTGGTCGACCGCGGAGGTACGCCGAGCTTTGCAGCTTTTGCGACGGCCTTGTCCATAAACTCGTCGATTTCCTCGTCGGAAATGTCGGGTGTCTTCTTCGTCTTGGCGTCCTTCGTCTCAGGCGGGTCAATGTCCATCTTGGAGTCGGCGGAGTCTGCGTCGGCGTCGGCGGCGCCGGCAGCCGGCTTCTCAGCGGGGGGAACACATGGCGGCGCGTTGGGCGACTTGTACAGTAGGTACGCCGTGTTGCGCTCGTCGTCGTCGTCGTAGTCCTGCCCACGCTCAATGTAGCCGGCGGGTGTGTCCTGGATCCACTTCGGGCGGCTCTCGCGCTCTCGTTCGTATGCGGCCAGCGCTTCCTTGTTCTGCCGAGCCTCACGGCGGGTGGCCTTCTTGATGTCGGGCGGCATCACATACTCGACCGGCCGGCCCGGCCATGGCAAGACGACAGCCTGGTGCCGGGGGCCGACACGGGTCGCAGCGCGCGGATAAATGCGATCGTCGTAGTCCAGCGCGTCCTCGACCTTGCAGTGAATGCCGAGGTACCGGTACGGCCAGAGACTGGCCTGGTACTGCTGTTCGGCTGTCGCTGGCGGGTGCGCATCTTCGTCCTGATCGGGACTGGTGCGGCCGGTGTCTGCACCAGCACCGTCTTCGTCGTCGTCATCGAGCAGCTCGTCGTCGTCCGCGGCGGCTGCGGTGGCAGCGCCGGTGACGGCGCCGGTCGCATCGGGGGTGCGGCCGTCAATGACATTCGGCGTGTGGCGTGCCTCCAAGAGGCGTTCCTGGGCACGACTGCATGCAGCACAGGACCATGCGAAGCCACGGGAGGGCTTCTTCAGTAGAGGAGGGCGTACACAGCTCATGTGGTAGGTCTTTGCGCAAACAGCACAGTCGACGGAGTTGTTGCTAAAAGTGGGTCCCGTTAGCGCCTCGTTCGCGTCACGTAGTGGTCTAGCCATATCGGGAAATAGGCGTGGGGCGCCTGCATAAAACAGCCGATAAAACAGCAAAACAATTAAAAAGGTAAAAAGACGGGCGAGGAAAAATATGGGAGCCCAATGGGAGAGGGCCCCCATTGGAAAGGGCATGGCCAAGGCAAAGACGGCCAAGGGGAAAGGAGAGCGAAACGTCAGGAATGGGGGGCCGGGGAGGACTGATGCATAAGGCCGCGGGCGTAACAACACAATAACTGCAGAGGGAAAAATGACCAAGGACAAAAAAAGAAGGCAAAAAAAAAGAAACGACTGAGGCGCATTTTGGCTTTGTTTTTATCTTACCTTGCACAAAAGCCACTGCAACGCTTGCACTGCTTTGCAGCAGCAGTGAGATCCTTGCCACGTCCCTGCTCGATTAAAATGTAGCGCCAGCGCTCGTGGAGCACCTTTTTGACGCGATCCGGCACGTTGACGATTTGGAACGTCGGGATGACTTCGTAGTTTTTCTGGATGTAGCGGTCGTAGAGCTTATCGAACCAGAAGCAGTTGGGCTCTTTGCGGTACAAATCCAGGCTGTCGATTTCGGCCTTGTGCTTGATAGTACATTTGCCGCGCAGCGCAGTCAATGGCGAAATGTCGGAGTGCATGGTGGCGAAAACGGAGCGAGTGTCCTGCGCTTTCCGGCCAATGTCCCTGGGTCGGTAATACCAGTTGACGCGCACCGCATCGACAGGGAGAGACGTGTTGTTCTTGGGATGCAGAAATTCCATCACACGGCCCAGATAGTAGGGCTCACCAGGTGGTTCGCATACCAGGTATACGTGGTCTGGCAGGTTGAGACCGTTAGAAATGTTGTTGGGCGACAAAACAACGACGAGGGGAAAAGTACGCGAAAAATCTTACCATTCACATTCAGCACAGAGCCGTCGTCGGCCACGAGCTGACCAGCCTTGGTCGGCTTGGCACCGTGCTTTTCAAATGTCATCAGATTCGTGTTGCCGTAGCCATTTGTGCCATCGGCGTGCGATGCGGACGATGCGGCGGCGGCGGCGGCAGCGGCGGCGGCAGCAGCGCCATTCTTCTTGAGTGAAATGTTGAGGAGCGGCGTGGACGAGCCGTGCGCGGTGCCACTACCGCTGCCGCTGCTGGGGCTGGCCTTGTCGCTGGAACTGGAACCGGCGGCTGCCTTGCGCTTCCGCGGGTTGGACGACGATTGTGATTGACTGCTGGTACCGTTGGTGGATGCGACCGACGAGGCGTGATGGTGGTCTCTGTCCTTGTGCTGCGAATGCGCGGACGACGAGGACTTGCCGTGGCTGGTGCTGTTCTGGTGGTTGCTGCTGCTGGCGGCGCCGCTGTCAGACGCGGTTGCGGAAGACGAAGGCAACGGCTTGCGTAACCGTTCGCGTTCGCGTTCGCGTTCGCGCTCGGAACTGCCATTGCTGTGGCCATTCGTTGGGCGAAGGGGCTCTCTGTCCAGGAGCGAGGCAGACGACGACGCGCCGACAGCTGCTGAGCCGGAGGATCCTGCGTTGGCGGACTTGCGTGACGACGAGGACGACGATTCGGACTTCTTGGCGGGTTCGTCGTCGCGTCGCTCAGGGTACATTTCGAACATGTCCATGTCCTTGTCCTCAGCGTAGTTGGGGCGCGCACCGCCGGTCCGGTTCCGTGACCGCGTGCCGTAGTGCGATGCAGCGTCGCCGTTCGTCGCGGCGGTGCCGTTGGTGCTGTCGCCGTTGGTGCTGTCTCGCGATGGCCGCTTGCTTATTGACGATGTCGATGTCGCTGCTGCAGCGGCTGGTGACGACGAGCGGCGTGTGCGGTTTGCACTGCTTGGTGGTGGTGTGGGATCCGACATCTTGGGCAGCACGGAGTAGGAGGACGATGCTAAGGAGGCGGGCAGTTTGTGTGAGGTAGAGTTGGAGGAGGACGGGGGCTTTGGTGATGATGATTTGGACGACGGCAAGGTCGATCTGGCCGAACTGGTGCTGGCGGCAGCAGCTGCAGAGGTGTTTGCAGTCGCTGAGGTTGACGAGGCCTCGACACCTGCACTGCCACTACTCGGTTGTGATGATTTGGGGGGCGCCATGGCTGATGGGTGTTGGCGATGACGCCTAAAACGGATGTTGTGGTGACGGAGGTCAAAATGGGAAATGGGGTTGGCCGAAGGGGAAGAAGAGTAAAAAAGAGAAAAAATGGGGACCGGGTGGACGAGCGGCGAGCCGTCACTTCAACAATGCACAAGAGGGGGGGGACAAAAGGACGGAAGGGTGGTGACTAGCAGTGAAGGTCCATGTGCATCTCGACCGGGCACGCGAGAGAGCAAGGTCAAGGGTCAATAAAGACGGAGGGAGGGCGAAAAAAGAGAGTAAGACGATATGCCGACCACGGGAGGGAGAACGAAAGACAACGAAAAGGTAAGAAGCCGACAAACTAGCAGAAATACGGCGTTGCGGGCGGAAAATGCATCACGCTGGAATCTGCATGACGTGGACAGTCGTTGGCGAGAGAGAGAGAGAGAGAGAGATGGGTGATCACGCCAAGACGGTGGTTGAGAGTAATCCGCGGTGTTGTGTTGATGGGAGAAGCGGATGGGGGAAAGGGAGATGGGAGAAGAGTACAAAGTGGAAAGAAGAGTGGAGGGAAGAAGGAACAAAACGAAATTAACTGGACAAGTTTGTTCGTCGAAGAAAACGATGGGCGGGTCGAAGATCGAACGCTGAGAGAAAACAAAAGGCGTGTTGTGTGGTGAGAAGGAAAGAGGAAAGAAAGGAGAATGAGAATAAGAAATTATGAGAATAAGAAGAATAGGAAGTGGAAGGAATACAAGAGGCACGCAGCAGAAAAAAGACTAAGAAGGCCAAATGGGACCAAATAGCGACTAAGAAGGCCGTGCAGCCAACGGTTCCGGGCCAGTAAGACGGGAGTGGCAGGGCGTGGTCGAGCAGGGTAGACGACGCGAGGGAAGCGGGAAAAGGTGGCAACAGGCACGAGAAGGGCGTGTGTAAGGTGTTTTGAAAAAAAGGTGCTTTGATATGTGGCCGACGGCGGGCGAAGAGATGACAAGTGATGAGCGACCAAGACTAGCGGACGGTTGTCGAGGGGCGGGCGATGGGCGATGAACGAACGGGCGACGTCAAAAATGACAAAAGCCGGACGGACGGTCCTAGGCGTGAGGCGCGAGGCGCGAGGCGTGCGATTTGAAGTGTGGCGGCGAGGATAAGGAGAAAGAGAAAGGGCGGGCGTGGAGAAGACGTCGCGGGTTCGACGAAAGGCAAATGAAGACGTCGTGGAGGACGGTGTTGCGTCTCTGTCCTGTTCTTTTGCTATTTCCCTTTCTATTTTGCAGCTAGTTCGGGTTGCCACCCGTTTCCCTTTTCCCTCTTCCCTGGCTCCGTTGCTGTTTTGGGTTTTTTTTTGGGTTTTGGGGAGTTTATGGGTGTGGGCTTGGCACCACAAAGGATATTGTCGTGTCCAGCGAGTACGGTGTATGTCGTATGTCGTACTCTGTCGAGTAATACACACTGCCTGCAGTGATGAACGTCTATGGCTTTGGCGATTTGACCAAGTGAAGTGACTGGGGTGTTTGGAAATGGATGCAGGACGGAGGCTGGCAGCGAAGACGACCGTCGGAGATGAAACGGCAGGGCGACGATGGAAGACCAACAATCGATGGCCGGACTAGAGTGTAGGCACAAGGCAGGCTTGCTTGATGCGATGAATTGGAATGCTTCCGGGCAGGGAGACGAACACAGGGGAGGGCCGTGTTGACAGGGCGGAGTGGACGTGGGAGATGGTAAGTGGGAAGGGGAAGTGGAAGTGGGAGGTGATGTGAGGGTTGGCGATGGAAGAGTGGAATATAACGATTCTCGCACAAACAAGCAGCTACGGCATGGACAGGACAGGGAAGGGACGATGTTGTTACAGGACAGCACAAGTGCACGCACAAGGCAGGAACGACGTGCCTCCGACGTCTACGACGAAATACTACGGGAAGGTGCACACGAAAACGCAAAAATCACGAGCGACCCAACGACGACCAAGTTCGCTCCTTCTCGATTTGTAGAAAGGGGGAGAACGACAGACAGAGAACGAAAGGGCAGAGGCTGAGAGCGACGGTCGTGAAAAAAAGAGACAATGGGCGCATGCGGATGATGGGTGATATATATGGGGAAAGTGGAAATGAGAGGCCGAGACGGGTCGTGGGCCTTGGGGGGGCGCCTGGGAGTGTTTCTGGGAGTTCTGTGAGAGGGAGGGGGGGGGGGGTTGGGACCGGGACTAGAGGGGTGTGTGGATAACGGAATGCACTACGGACGACGAGGGCATGGAGTCAGGAAAGAAGGAACGGCGGGACACCGCTACTGCGACTTCGACCGAGGATATGGGGTGTGTTTGGTGTCGTTTTCGGTGACCATGGACGTGTGTCAATACACAATTCACGAAGAACAGGCAGGAAGGTCCGGGGAAGGAGGAAGCGAAACGACGGTGGTCGGAGGGAAGGAAGAATGGGCGATGCAGAAAAGGTGGACGAAATGGGAAGGAACGACACGCGCACGAGCAAGAATGAGAGAGGAGTCAAGCGAGACAGATCCGAGTGGGCATTGCGACGTACTTTTTTGTATCTTAATCTTATGCGATGGCCGTCACACCCAAACGGGCGAGCCCTCCTACGCGCAATATCCTGTGTGGAAAAGCGATGATGAATGTGCTTGTACAATATCCTGCGATGCACAGACGACAAGCGAAAATGCGACAAGACAGGCTCGAGGCAAACAAGGAAAGAAGTGCAGGCGGTCGTGTCGTTGTCGAACGATGGCTCGTCCTTTTTTGGAAGGAGCCGCAGGGGGGAAGGAGCGACATACGCAGCAGTATTGACTGCGCTGGACTTGCCCAGTCCCGGTCCCAGGCTGGCATCGGCCCTGGCTTGTGCACGCACATGCGCGCGGGCGGCGGAAAGAACGAACGACCAACGACCAAGGACAAGCGATCTGGACGGATTTGGCCCCTTCGTCCTGGGAACGGCCAAAACGGGCAGTGGACCATCAAATCTTTCCAGCAAGCAAAACATAAACGTACCGTGCGACACTACGGATCCCGTACTTTGTATTCTGTCCAACGACAGACATGGGCAGGGGGAATGGGAGCGAGGGAGGTCGATGGGATGCGCGGCACGATGGGGCAAAAGCCGCCTATTCGTGACTGTTACCAGCCGCAAGCAAAAGAGGAAAGAAGCGAGAAGACGGAGACGAAGAAAAAAGCTAAAAATTGGGACAGGTCACAGAAGGGACGCTAAAAGGATGCGCCGTCACTGCTGGGTACCGACAGGGGTCTGATTTGCAGGTCATCCCGCATAAAAGGTCAGATATACGACCTGCGGGGTACATCTGTGTCTGATTGGCGCTTTTTTAGGTGGTCCCGCAACAAACAACCTCGTCTCTTTTCTGCCCTTCTTTTCTGCCCTTTTCCCTGTCCTGTTCGAATTGTTCGCAAGCTGCACTTCAACGCCTGCGCATATCCAGGAATATCAGTTGTGGTTTTCGATTGGCCTTGGATTCATAATTCAAATTGTTTAGAACGAGTAGAGGTGTAAAACAACATCTGCCATTCTTTTGGTTGGTTCCGCCGAATCGGGAACGCTTCCAGGCCTGTTTGGCTTCATTTGCACGATCCGCGAGTGGTTTCGGGCGGTCGAAGGAGGCCGGCCAAAATAAGGCAGACTTGAAAGTGCAAAAGTAGACGCCTTGTGCACTATGCTTCGTAGGAACGCAGTCTGAATGCAATACCTGCCATCGCCGCTGAGGCCACAAGGATGACAATAATCTCCGAGCTGGAAAGAGACGCAAGGACCACACATGTTCTTCTCGAATCAGAAAGACCGATGCTTCTTTGTATTTTCACGCATTCTGTGTTGTATGTGGTGTATATGGCGCACTGAAATTGCCACGGCGTAGCTGTCGCCTCTCTGCTATCCACTTCGGGGTAATGTCATTCCAAGATGTGCATTTTGATTACTCTCGATGGAAATGTTCGCAACGCGCACCAATGACAAATTTGCTGCCTGTCCGATCACATCCACACTGTTGCGCTTGACTTTTCTCTTCGTCAGCCTCCTTCATCGCACTGCGCTGCCTGTTCGTTTTCGCTCGCCCTATCTGTTTCTGTCTACGTGGTGATATTGCCGTCGTTTGGTCGCCTGGCGCGTTAGTTCGCGTCGGGTTGGTCCCAACAGGCAGTCAGAACAAAAGAAACGGAGCAGGGTTCGAACCACTGGCATGGCTGACACGCACACAAGGACTAGGTCACAACCAGTGTGACGGCGACGGGTTTTCTGCTCTTGTTGGTGGCCTGCGTGTCCTCCACCGTTTTACGTCCATCCTGGGTGCTTTCTTTTGCGCAGGCAAGGCGCCCGCTACTCCGAATCGGTCAAGAGAATGCATGCCTCGCCGATCACTGTATGTTGTAGTCTTATATTGTATTCACTGGCATAGTCGTTTACTGCGGCATTCGGTATTTATGACAGGTATTTCGCCGTTTGACTCGATGCATTCTTATGTAAGGACAACTCACGCAGACCGACATAAATTTCAGGTGCAGCACAATGCTTCACTTGCAAAGCCATCCAAATCAATGGGGCACGATTTAATCACCGTCTTTTGATTCTGTACGAATTAGGCATTCAGGAAACATAGCCATACCCACGAGGTGGTTGTTGTGCCTACCCTACTTGCTACCCAAGCCAGGGCCCTGGAAGCCTGGGCCACCCGCCTGATGGGAGAGAAGACTGACAAGAGGGCACACTAGCTGCTTTGGTTGCAAGGAGAAGAGTGGGGTGGTCAGGAATGAAAGAATGAAAGGCGGGAAAATACCAAAAAAAATAATAAGGGAGACTGTCTGGGGTGGGTAATATCTCGTTTTTTTTTATTGGGAATGAGACAAGCCGCAGCGAGCAAAATTTTGGGGCGCTTTTTTCAACGACATGCGTATTTTGTGCGACCGCCAAAGGAAAGCAGCAAAGGAATCCAGCATCGGAGCGAACGCCAAAAATCGACGGAAATTGCCGTGATTGTTTAGAGGAACGAGCGAGATAAAACGAGTGTGAACAAAACTATATCAAAACAAAGGACCAGGGCAGGGGACGTGCGTGATGCGGCAATAACGGTGACGAGATGGTCCACGAATGCGTCGAGAGGAGAGACTACGGCATACATACAGAATGGCATAACAGAAACACAGGGAAAGACAACAATTGAAAAGCTACGAACGAACGGAGTGATAGAAAGGACGGGCAAAAGTGGTCGGTTGCGCTTTCGCCGTCGGTCGTCGTTCTTATGCAGAGAAGGAATTGTCCCAGGCACTGCAACCTGCACGCCTGTATGGCCGACACACGCACTTCTGCCCCAGGCCGATGATATAGAAAAAGCCCTCCCCTGGTATTGTCATATTCTACGTCCACGCACCTTACCACATGTCTCCATGCGTGTCCCAAAGTCACCTGCTGTGTTGTGGGTTGGGTCACGGTGAATGCGACGAATTTTGTAGATGCCTTCCAGACTTGCCGTTTTCTAGCGAGTCCCTTAAAATGGACGACGTTGGAACGGCTTCGTTCTGTTTGCAGAGGTTGCTTAGCCCTACACTTGACGAGCGCTTGACAGAACCTAAAGTCACCCGATCCCCCCTCCTCCTCGTCAATTTTACCAACACGAGGGCATCTGATCCACATTCTTGCTCAACGTATCCTACACCGGACAGGTTGTGCATGGAATACAAAGTACGCAGTACGGCATCATCTTTTCCCATACATCTGGCCGAATCTTCCCCAGGGCCACGTAGTCGAGTACGGCTCTGCAATCGATGGAGAGTTGCGAAAGCGGCGTCGTGGAAACATGGCAACTTGGAAACCAAAGTGTCGTAACTATGACGGGTCAGGAAAGGGGAGGAGAGGGTAGCGAGCAAGGGCCGATATGACCTAACCGTACCCTGACCCCCTGTTTTCATACCCAGGCTGCCAGGACGCTCTGTTTGCCCTTCCAATCGTTTCGTTCGGGTTTAAAATGCCTGCCCCTTAGCCCCTAACCCAGTCGCTTTGTCCATGGCCCTGGGATTCATGGTTGGAGGCACAACTGGGCAGCACGTCCTTTTAAACCTCGACCCTTCGTTGACTCCGCGGACAATACAAAAACGTCCGTCGAGGACCAAAACCGCAGAACGGCTGTTTGACTCGCCAAATATATTCAAGACGGAAAATGGGACACGGGTAAGGGATATTGGATTGAGCAGGACAAAAAAAAAGAACAAAAAAGAACCAAAAAAGGCGAGACAGAAGAGACGCTGTTTCAAAACTCGGTCGGATCTGCCTTGCTCAAGGTGTGTGCCAAGAGCGTCGGAGAGGAAAAGGGGAAAAGGGAAGGAACCGCGCGGGAAAGCTTCGACCGTCATTCGACCGTCCAGCACGCCTACAACGATCGTTCCGTCTCCCATTTGCAGGAGAAGCAGCTGCAGCCGCTCGTCTATTTCTCGTCTTCATGCACTTGTTCTCTTCTCCTGGGGTACACCAAAGAGACGACACCTACAAAACAACCATTTCGGTCAACATGTTGCTTGTGGTTCTGGCCTGAACCAAGCGTTGGGACTAAGGCCAACTGGGCCGATCAGTTCGTCAACGTCTGCGTGGTTCAGGTCTTCCGTCGGGGCCACTATGCGCCAAACTGGGAAATGCACGTCAAGCCTCTGGCCTGGCCTTTGTTTTTTACAGGTTAGCTGTGGATTATACTGCAACGACCTCTCGGTCTTCATCCAGAGACGACAATATGTGTACGGAAGAAGGCAAGCAAAGGGGAAATCATGATAAGCGGAATCTACTACAATGCGTATTTTTTTTATTTTTTTTAATTTTTATTTTATTTTTATTTTTATTTTTTGAAATATGATCAAAATGAAATCTTTCCGGTGCATGGGAAGAGGCCGTGCGATGTCGTGTGCTGCCGCGTGGCAGGACAACGTGCCAAGTAAGCCACCAAATCGCGACCAGAACGAAGCCCAAATCCCGGCAAGGACAACTGGCGAAGCAAGACAAGGACGCAAGATCACTTGGTTTTTTTATACTCCCAAGTCAATTAACTCCCATGGAGGAGCAAACTGTACAAAGCTTTGTATTTCCGTATCCTACAACCGACCATGATCGCATCATGGGCAGTAAGATGAGGCCTGCTTATGTGAGCTTGAAAAGCCGCGCGAACGAGCCAACAGGCGAAGGCAAACAACCACATAGTGAGATGCCCGTGGCCCCATCACGGACCATATGATACGAAAGACGTTCAGAGGAAAGAGGCTCAGTGAGAGAGGCTCAGTGAGAGAGGCCCAGAGGGTAGCAAAGCTAGAGTACGCACAAAATACAGATACCGACCCAAAGCCCCGAACGTCCATCGTCAGTGGCGAAAATGGAAAATAAATGTGGAATTATCAAGTGCCGTTTTTGGTCGAGTCCTGTAGTCCATCGGCGGATGCGGGCACCAAAATACGATCAGACGACGACCACCGCCCGGCCACCTCCGGAGAAAGTATGCAGCAGGTCGGAAGCTGAGATACCCAGGATCAACGTTTGTGTCGATGCGCCCAACCTGGAGAAAGGAGGCCACCGGACGTGGGAAGGTTTGTGAGGCTCGATGTGGTTTGGTACAAAACGCCACCAAAGCCAGCGACAAAAGACAGGCGTCGCTGAAAGGGCCACTCGATCTATGATTTGCAGAGCGGCGCATATGGCCGCATATGTCTGACTTCAGCACGCAGCAATACTGGCGAATGTACAGAATAGCAGACAGCCTTTGCCTCTGATCTACGGTCCTTTTGACTCTGTAGCCAAGAGGAGCCTTGCGTCCTTTTCGTCCTTTTTCCTTTTCGTGTCTTGGGAAAACGGCGTCCCGCTTTGGAGGGAGGTGACTGTATGCCTTTTCTTTTTCCCACCCTCCACCCTGTCCCGAGACGTCGTAAAACGAACCATGCCAGGATCAGCAAAAGTACATATAGTGTATATGTTGTGCCGTGTAGTATGCTTACACTACTTTATAGCTACTTATCCAGGCTGCAGATTTTTCTGCGTTTAATTGGATCGAGTGGAAAAAAGAAAAGGAACGAGCCGGATGCACCTTGCCCTCTTCCCCCCATGACTTGCGACATCCGTCACTTTCCACCCCCTCCATTCTTTTCATTCGCCCCCTGCCTTGGACGTTGGTTATGTTGGCCTGGCACGCTCACAACGACCTCGCTGTACAAATGTACAGCGTATCCGTATATCCCATCGATTTGCATATACAGAATATGGTCGTATTCCTATTTTCAGCGCTTGTTAAGCGTCGCACTCGAATCTGTCTCCCAACTTGTCCTCATCAGATATGTCCCTTTCATGCCATTTATATGCCGGTAGTGCGGGCAGGTTCCCTGTTTACTGGCTGTTGATCAGTCAATATAAGGTACCAACATGTCATGGCTGGGGACGACACAGTATTTTATTGCCTCTCTTTGCCTATATTGCCAGCCCAATGCAGTTTTTGACAGACTGCGAAAACACACAACAATATACAAGGACATCAATAGGCAGAGTACACAGTATGTCGCAAAAATTGGAAATCGCGATGAGGACACACAATTAACCTGTCAAACGTGCGGGAAATACGAGAGACGACAAAACACGAGAAAGAACTCCTCCACAGCCATGGAAACGGCCTGGTTTGCAAAGGTTGAAATGTCTTGACGCCTCTACAGCCGGATCCCTGTTGCCAGCATATCTTGCAGTGGCCGAACCGATATCCGCCTGTCGTGGGCCTGGCCAGCGACACAGCGATCAAGACCCGTCGCCTGCCAGCGACACTGCAGGTATTGATTCTGCCCAGTGCTCTTCTCAGATTCTTTCTGTTTCTTTCCCTTTCCTGTCCCGTCCAGTTTCGCGTTTCTTGTTTTCGCTTTCCTCTGCTCAGGCTGAAACATGGAGCGAACGCCCGCACATTATGCAGGGAGGGCAAAAGGGAAAGGGAAAACATAGAAAGGGAAAACAAATGTGAAAGTGCATCATGCATCGTTGGTGACAAAAAGACGCGAATGTAAAAACATGGCCTCACTGCGCAAAGTAATCCAACAGTTGAAATTGAAACCGGGAAATCAAAGACTCATCTGCCGTTCGACAAGAGGTGAGGTCAAAATCCGCTAATCTGGAAGGAACATGGCTGTGCGACAAGTTTCCGCCTCCCTTTTTGCATCCCTTTGTACTTTCCTCCTCTGTCGTATTCCCGACGTACCCACACGTGATTTGGCGTGGCGGTGGGGTATGGGGCCAGACGACCAGGCACCAAAGGTTGCTGCAGCGCACCTTCCCGCTTGCACCAAGCACCCCTGTACCAATAGAGAAAGACGCGACACGGAAAGCGCGACCGGCCCTCCTCCCTGCACGACAGCACGCAATGCATCGAATGGCGTAGATCTGAACTGTTCGCGATTGTTTACAAGAATCGAAACAAACCTGGCATTTCGAGCCGTCCCATCAAGACAAGGGACTTTGCTACTGCGTTGTTTTGGTTGCAGCCTGCCTCGATTGACCAGGTTTGCCTCATATCGTGTTTTCTTCTCTTTCTTCTTTTTGTAACACAACGCCCCGTCAGCGCTTTGCCATAGTTTGTTGTGTTCCATCTCGCTTGTCGTCCTCCGCTGCCGCTCTGCTCAGCCATGCTTGGCCGGCTCCATGGCGGGCAACCATTACGGCGTATGGCACCAGACGTCCGAACAGGCTGTTCGCCGGCAGCAGACGTCCTCCTACGGGACGACATTTACGACCGCGTCGGCCACGACGACCTTTGCCGCTGGAATCAAGCGCCGCCGAAATGACGAGATCAACAGCAGCCATGCCAGCGACTCAGGTACGGTGAACCACCCTGGCTCCGTGGCCATGCCACCACCACCACCTGCACTACGTGGGCCTCTGCAACCGCCCGGCCAATCCCCATCGGCCAAGAAGCAACCGCCCGTGATGTCGCTCCCGATGATGCCATCGCGCCTGACCGCCGGTACCGTTGTTGATGCCGTTGATGCCGTTGATGCCAGCACAGAGTCGCCCTCTGCAAAGCCGACACGGACACCCACGCCGGCACCGTCCTGGCTGCTCCACGGCACGACCGAGTACTCACAACGGCGCGTGCTGCGTGCCACGCCGTCGGCCGCACAGGATCCGATGCTGTCGCTCTCCCACGCTTGCTACGGCCTGCCTCCCCAAGTCGTCGCCAATTTGGCCGGCATGGGCATCCGCTCCGTCTACCCATGGCAAAAGCAGTGTCTGCTCGGGGGCAGCGATGGTGGGAGGGAAGGCCGGGGTGAGCTGCTGGACGGAACACGCAGCCTGGTCTATGCAGCGCCAACGGGTGGCGGCAAGTCGCTCGTGGCCGATGTCCTCATGCTGCGCCGCGTCTTGACCTCTGTTGACGGCGAAACAACGCCGCCCATGTCGATTGGCCCGCTGGGGCGAGGCCCGGGGCGAGGCCCGGGGCGAGCCAATCGGCCCAAGGCGTTACTCGTTCTTCCATTTGTTGCATTGGTGCAGGAAAAGGTACGATGGCTGCGGCGGGTGGTCCAGGGCGTCTCCTTTCAAGGCGACAGCCTGCGCGTTGTCGGCTTCTTTGGCGGCGCAAAGATCCGTGCGCTCTGGGCCGACTTTGACATTGGCGTCGCGACCATCGAAAAGGCCAACGCTCTCATCAACACAGCCATCGACGACTGCACCATCGGCGACCTCAAGGTTGTTGTGCTTGACGAACTGCACATGATCGACGACGCTCACCGCGGATACCTGCTCGAGCTGCTGGCGACGAAGCTGCTGTGTCTGGAGCACAGTGTCCAGATTGTCGGCATGAGCGCGACGTTGAATGTAAGCCCCGGCACAGGCCCAGTCCAATCCATGATGTTCAAAGTAGCCGCTTCTGACTCTCTTTTTCATAGAACATCGAGCTGCTTGCCCAGTGGCTTGGGGCCTTCTCGTACCAGACCAAATACCGGCCTGTCCCGATTGAAGAGCATCTCGTGTACGACGGATGCATCTACTCGGCCGAGGCTACTCTGGCCCAGACAGCCGATGGAAATGGCAGCTTCAGCGCATCACAGGAAATCAAAGACATCAAGCTTCCTTTGACAGCCCCACTGCGGAGGATCCTTCCTGCCGAGCACAAATCCCTGAACGATCCCGTCACCAACGCGGTAGTTGCCCTCGCAAACGAAACGGCCCGCGCTGGCTATGGAGCGCTCATTTTTGCCAGCAGCCGCGCTGCCTCCGAGTCTGACGCCCTGCTGATCAGCCGCGTTCTGCCGGCCACACTAGAGGAGCTGGGACCGGATGTGTGGGGGGCCCGCCTCGACCTTCTCGGCGAGCTGCAGGCCGTAATGGCCGGCGGCGGCGTCGACACCAACCTCAGCCAGACGATTCTTGCGGGTGTCGGTTTCCACCACGCTGGCATGACCACGGAGGAGCGTGACCTCGTGGCCCATGCCTACGATATGGGTGTGCTGAAGGTTATTGTTGCAACATGCGGCCTCGCCGCCGGCATCAACCTCCCGGCGCGCCGCGTCATCCTGCACAATGCCCGCATGGGCCGGGAGCTCGTCGGGCCGGCCATGCTCCGGCAGATGCGGGGCCGTGCTGGACGCAAGGGCAAAGACGAGCTCGGCGAGACATATCTGTGCTGTCGAAGCGCCGACGTGGACGACGTAGTCGATCTCATGCAGGCTGAGCTGCCACACGTGTCGAGCTGTCTCGCGGGAGACGACGCCGACGCCGACGAGCCGGCGAATAAGAAGCTGAAGAAGGACGAACCAGGGCCGGCCCACACAATGGCAAACAAGAGGCGGCTGCAGCGGGCGCTCCTGGAGGTAATTGCTGTACGGTTGGCTACGAGCCGTGAGTCCCTCGCGTCGTACGTGCGCAAGACTCTGCTCTTCCGTGCTTTAATGAGTGAGTCGGGCGGGTGTAGGGAAAGCAGCAGCGAGGACGACCCAGACCTGCCGGCCAGTCTTGAGGCGGACGTCGCGTCCAGCCTGGCGGCTCTGCAAGCCACTGGCTTTGTCGAGATGGACGAGTTTGACAACTTCCAGCCCAGTCGCCTTGGCAAGGCAGTCGTGGCCTCGGCGCTCGATCCGGCCGACGCCGTCTTCATCCACGGCGAGCTCCAACGCGCCCTCCAGGCGTTCGTCCTCGACGGCGAGATGCACGTTCTGTACACCTTTACGCCCGTGCACGACGCTGGGAGCGGCAGCATCGATTGGCGGCGGTTCTGGACCGAGATGGAAGGGCTCGACGAGAGCGGGCTGCGGGTGCTGCGGTTCTTGGGCCTCAAGCCGAGCGTGATCAGCAAGATGCAGCACGGTGGCACGCTCAAGGAGACGACAGCCGCGGACAAGGCGACGGCGCGCATCTACCGGCGGTTCTACCTGGCGCTGCAGCTGCGCGATCTCTGCAACGAGATGCCAGTGCATCGCGTGGCGCAAAAGTACAACACGCCGCGTGGTGCGGTGCAGACGTTGGCACAGACCTGTGAAGGGTTTGCCGCCGGCATGATCAAGTTTTGCGAGCACATGGGATGGGGGTAAGTCAAACATTCTCCTCCCCCTTTTTGTGCGTACTTCTAACGAAACAGTGCCATGTCTTCTGTGCTGGAACACTTTGTCGACCGACTCAAAGCGGGCGCCAAAGCGGACCTGCTGGCCCTGGCTCGCATTGCCTTTGTTAAGAGCCGGACAGCGTAGGTAGACCCCCTATGTCCTATGTTTATGATTCTCCACGCAGGCTTGAAACTGACCAGCAGACGCGTCTTTTGGGAGAACGGGTTCAAGACCGTGGCAGCGGTGGCCAATGCAGACCCGCAGGACTTGCTGCCCGTACTCTTGCAGGCACAGGCGAGTAAAGCGCGGCTCGGCGGTGACCGTAACGAAGTCAAGTTCAAGGAGAAGCTGCTTGAGAAGGCACATATCATCACCGAGTCAGCCAACCGAATATGGCGTATGTTTTTTTTTTTTTTTGGTCGCCAATCACCACTCCCTACCATCTGACCATGCGTGCTAACCAGTACAGAACTCGAAATGCAGAGAGACCTTGATGAGGAATAAAGAGACACCTGTACCGTGTTACGAAATTACGATTGACGACAAAAATCGAGTGTAGACATCATAAATTCAGACCTGTTGGAAAGAGTCAAACACGCCAGAAATTAGAGGAGAGAATAGACTAATACTCATCCCTTGGGAGTTCTTCATAGGTTGCCATCATACATACGTTAGACATCACTTATACCGTCTTCCATCCTCCTCCAGCACTTAATATCCGGGCGACGCAAACACAGAATAGTCCAGTTCATCGCCGCGCATGCTGTGCCACCACCGGCAGTTGCGCCACATATCGTCGTCCCAGCCGCCGACCAGGAACCAGTACTTTTTCAGGAACCACACCTGCGGCTCCCAGCTGCGCATGTCCCACGGGAGACACGCCCGCATGTCCCGTGCCGAGCCACTGTCTCGCTTCGCCTGCGACGACAAGCCTGCGCCGTCGTTGCCCGTCTGCGAGCCCCAGCACACCAGCCCCTCGGCCACGTTCATGTCGTAGCAGAGCTCGTCCTCGTCCAAGAGGCACGGGGTCTCGTTGCGGCTGCTGCCCGGTGGCGTGTCCACGCCGTCGGCGTTGTTGTTGGCGGCCACCGCGGCCGCCACCTCCTCGGCCGCCTCCATCTCGGCCAGCAGCGCCAGCGCGCGCGCCCGGAACCCGCGGAACGGGATGACGTCCAGGTACGGATGGTGGGCTACGAGAATCTGCGCGTCGACCGGCTGAAGGTCGCGCGGCGGGGTCTTTCCGGCGCGGGCTAGGTTCTGGCGCACGGCCGTGACGACCGCGGTAATGCGGTTCGCGCCCTGCAGCACGACGGCGCGCGCCTCGTCGGCCTGGAGGGCAAAGGGGCTCTGCGGCTCCAGCTCCTCGTCGTAGCAGGCGGCTTCGTCAAACAAGGCGTCCGGATTCACGAGGCCGCAGGCGAGGCAGTTTTGCCAGACGGCGGCTCGGAAGCCCATGCGGCGGCACTGTAGGTTCATGTACATGACCGGGACGGGGAAATAGGACCCGGCCACGGGATCCGCGCCAAAGCTGGTTCCATAGATGCCGCTGGGTGGCGGTTGATTGTAGATGGTGCCGGTCAAGCCGTTGGGCCTGTCGTAGCCGCTGAGGGTCAACGTGGCATAGCTGGTGGCGTCTGTTGTCGAGGTGCCAGAAAACGGCGAAGACGATGACGACGAAAAGGATGGGCCCGCCGCTGGGCCCCCGCCCGCTGGGCCCGCAAAGCGGCCGTTGTTCCAGCGGGCGACAACCTGGCGGAAGCGATCCTCGCGCCGCGAGATGAAAGCCGTCTTCTTTGGTGCGTCCCTGCCCGTACCGCTGCCACTCGTGTTGCTTGTCCCGTCGTTGCTGCCGTCGCTGTCGTCGTCGGCGTTCTCGACCTCTTCCACGCGCTCGTCATCGCCGTCACCCAGCTCTGCCGTGCCGTCGCCGCCGTCCGCTCCTTCGCCCTCGCCGCCGCTGCCGCCACCGCCCTCTCCGTCCAAAAGAGCCTGCAAAATGAGCCGTTTCTGGTGCGGAGAGAGCGTCTGGACGTACTGTAACATGGCGCGAACCACAGGCCGGTTTTTCTTGCGTGTCTTCCGCGACGGCTCGCCTGCTACTGCTGCGGGCGAGGCGATGGCGGATGGCAAGACGTTTGGTGGCAGCGCGGATGTTGACGACGTGGCTGTGGCCTCCGAGGGCGGTGCGAGTGTCTGGGAGAGGGGGCGCGGCGAGGGGCGGGAGGGGAGTGTTGTTGTGCTGGGCCTTATGGTCGGCTGGGGCAGCGGCATGGCGGCGCCAGCAAACGAGGTAGGCTGCGGCCCCGATGCGAAGGTACCGTGTAAGTTCTGGTAGCTCTGGGCGGCATAATATGACGTGGACCAGTCGGGCCGCGAGAGCAAGTTTGAGAATACGCCGTTGCCGTGTTGCTGGTGGCTGTCGGTGCCGGTCATAAACTGGTCGACGTCCACGCCCGGGTCAAAAGTCTCGTCAAGGTCGTCCACCTCGAGCACCGTTGAGCCGCTCGACGGTGGTTGTGAGCGGGCTTTTGGCGTTGCTGAGGCAGGTGCGGCAGCAGCAGCAGCAGCAGCAGCAGCAGCGATATCCGCCGGCGTAAATGCCGAAAAGGAGGAAGACGTCACGCCGTTGTTTGGTGTCGCATTCGTGAGGAAGGGCGTAAAGCTGTTCTGGTCACTAGAGAAGGGGATGAGCCACGGCTGGAGCATAGGCAAATCAAGAAGAGACTCAGATGTGGTGGCAGAGGATGTGGAGAGCGTGGGCACGGTGGCTTTTGTAGATCGAGATGCAGATGTAGACGTGGACGAAGACGAAGACGATGGAGTAGCGGAGCTTTTGGCGCGGGGTGAGTTTGCCGCGATCGCCGCTGGCAGATTAGAGGCAGCCCAAGCCGCAAAGTCGTCCGAGGGCTGCGCTTCCTGTGCAGCGGCCGTTGCGTCTATGGAGGCTGCTGCGGTGTCTGAAGTTGCTGCCGTCTCTGGCGGCAACATGTTCGAGGAGATCAAGCCAGATATGATGGGCTGGAAGTCGGGCAAGATGCCCGTCAACTCGTCCAGGCTATCGGCCAGCGAGGGCGCTGTACCGTCCGTGTAGGGTCCAAACGCAGGTTGCACAGTAGTATGTGCAGGTGCAGGTGCGGGCACTGGCGTCGATGCGGCAGCGGCCGCCTCGGTTGCGCCGTCGCTGGCTGATGGATCGTAGAGGATCTGCTGCAGCAGAGCCAGCTTGTGCTTCCGTTTTTCCCCTACGGCTGGCGTCAGCAATACATGCCAGCATATCCCACCCGCGCTGGGACTGCATGGGACGACACTGTGCGCGTCAGGGAGGGTGCTTACGATAGTTCCGCGAGGCAATGCGGTTCTGCTCCTTGCGGTGTTCGCTGTTGGCGCCATTGGGCGTCTTTGTTTTGGACGCCTTCACCGGCTTGTTGGCGGCAGACGCAGCCCCCCGGGTGCCTTTGGTCTTGCCCGAGGCGGGGCCGGTGCGACCAGCGGACCGCACACCGGACTCCGGTTCGGACAGTGACGCAGACAAGGCGTGTGGCGCATTGCCAGCAGCCGGCAGTGAACTGCTGTCCATGAGGGAAGCCATGGCTGGAGCCGGCGAGGGGATGCTGGTGTGCTGGTGTCCTGGCGTGGGCGTGCGAAGCGTGGCTTTCAATGCGGCAGAATGGACAGCACGACATACAAATATCGGAGGCTGGGAAGGCGACCGCTGGCGCCTGGTCGGTGTGCTTGGTGATGGAGAGGAGGATGCGTTTATCGCGAGCGTCGTCGATGATGCGGCTGTGGGCGAGGTAGAAAAGTGGGGCAAGGCGCGGCGTCAGCACAGAGGCCTAGAAGGCAGGAGCAATGGACAAGCCGCAAATCCAATTAAGAAGGCAAGCCACACGCCGATATACAAAGGAGCAGTTGGGTGGTGGCAGAATATCATAACGTCAGGAACAGCTTCCACGTCAATTGCGCTCGACTTTTGCGGCCGATGCTTTGGTGGCTGTTGCAAGGCTGAGTGGAACATGGAACGGTGTTAGCTACTGGGTGCTGGCGTCAGCAAATCCACGCCGATGGCAGGCGTTTAGTTTGGTAAAATTTACTGCGACGTAATTACGGAGTTCTCTGATCTGTTATCTGTCTGTATACCAATGGCAAAGAACACAACAGTACAAACACATTTTCCTGATGAAGGATATCTTTACTGCCGGGTAGTAGGCACCAGCTTCGATCACGTACTTGTAACGTAAAATGCATTTTTGATTATATGCTCGCTTCATAATGTTGTCGCGACAACGCACAAAAGGATATGCTTTTCGCACGTGTATGTCCTATATCCTACACCACAGCGTGCCAAGACAGAAAAGAAGAGGTATCGTACAAGCCCATGTCCAAAATGTACAGAGAAAGGGAAAGCCAAAAGGGGAGGAGACGTGACATGGGAAACGCAGCAGCAGGACGACGTCCGTGACCGCTATGCCACCACGGCAACACCCATTGACTTGGCCTGGTAGATGATCGAACGGCACAGGCTCTCCAGCGAGAGCCCCGACAGCCGCTGCTCGCTCTGCTTGATCTTGGCAATCTCGTAGACGTGCTTGAGGCTGACGGTGCCGACTGTCTCTTTGCCCGGGTTCTGCGCGCCGCGGCGCTTGCCGCCCTTGCCCTCGGGCACCTCGGCGGTGTTGAGCAGCAGCCACGAGGTCTGCGGCGTGCGCACGTCAAAGTAGAATGTGCGGTCAGGACGGACGATGACGCGAACGGGCATGGGCGTGCCGGGCGTCAGGTGTGCGGTGCGCGCGTTGAACTCCTAAAGACAAGGGGTGTGTTGGCAAGTGGTCCCGCGAGAAAAGAGGAGGCTGCAGCACCAAAAGAGCAGCCAGAAGTAGAGCGCACCTTGCAAAAGTCCATGGACTTGATACCCTTGCTGCCGAGCGCAGGGCCGACCGGAGGACTGGGGGTGGCCTGGCCGGCGCCGACAATCAGCTTGATCATCTGGTCCACAGGACCGGCCGCGCGTTTTGACATGGTTGCAGCGTGTATGGAGTACGATTCGAACTCGATAGACGGTACGGCGCTGTCGCCAGAGGGGTTGTCGTCGCTGTCGTAGACCTGCTGGGGAGGTATTGTCTGCCACGAAATCTCGAAAACGAGAATCCGAGCAGAGAAAAGCCGTACCCACCGAAACTAACTGGTCACGTGCCAAAAATTTACGACACCGCAGACAAAGTAGGAAAAATAAAGTAATACAGCAACCGAATAAGATCAAACTACTCCGTAAAGAGAAGAAAATGGGGACATGAGAGAAGTCTATTTCGATGTAATGTACAAAATAGAAAAGAGAACCCATGGCGTCGACCGCGAATCGAACCTGGGCCTGAAGAGGTCACAACGGATCGTATGACCAGTCACGTGATGTTATTACCGACGCTTAGAAGGATATTTGATTAGATGTTGGTCGAGTTCTTACATCTTATGGTGCGTCTCCTTGAACTACAGTCATCGCACTGCCTGGTCCAACAATGAGTCAGTCTGAATAGCATACAACAGCTAATCGAAATTCCGTGACCGAATGAGAAGTAAAACTACAACATAGAACAACGATGAATTGACCGGATTGCCAAATGCAGTCTGACCGTCGACTTCGGCGTGGATGCGGGGTGAAATACAGAAGGTCAAAGCCACTGGAGCATGGCGCCTGCAGCAGGGATAGGCGTCGTATTACACCGCAAAGCAGGGGCCATAAGACGTGCGCCGAATGGATTAATCACAGTTCACAGTGACGCCCGCCACCTCTCCCTTGCCAGCCACATTATGCCCGCTCCAGGCAAGCACGATCGGGCCTGGAGGGGTAACCGTTAGCCGTTATTGTCTTCTGGCAGCACAAGCCTGCCCCACCAGAGCAGTGCCTTCACAAAGGCACAGGCAGTGGAAAGAGCAACAGGCCTAAACGAACGACGTAGAAAGTGCCACTCCACAAGAGTCCACCAGACCGTGACGTCCCGCGACCTTATTTGCTCCTTCCTCAGTGATCCGTTGTGATTTATGGACCTGGAAGGCGCTATCCCAAAAACTCACTCTGTCTGGTTCTTGCCTTTGTAGAACAGAAAAAGGGCCTGACTGAGCCTTTCCTCCTTTTCGCTCCTGCCCAGTATTACCAACGACGGCGTGGGTGATCCCCTCTCCCTGGCAAGACGAAATAGTATCAGCATTTGCAGCGTTTGCAGCTTTGCAACTTTTGGCGGTGAAGAAACGTCCCCTCCAAAAAAACTGCCAGACCAACCAGGCCATCCATTTTCTTGTCTCGCCATACTTTGTACAAACTGCTGTGGTCCCGACCGCCATCCCTTCCTTCGCCGCATCCTCTTGTCCAGAGACCGGCCTCAATCGATATCACGGCGGCATCGATTCCAGCTATCGCTATCCCTAACTAAACAATCCGCATTTAACCCTCGCAACCTCCATATCCTTACAGACCGCCCAACATGTTCAAGTGGGCTCAGCAAACGTTCGTTGCCCTCTCCCCTTGCCCGTTCTCTGACCAGCTGTCTGTCCAGCAGCCTGTCCTCGGAAGCTAACATCGGCCGCTGGCCTGCAGACTCGCCCATGTGGCCGGCACCCAAGAGCCCGACTACGGACCGTCCGCCATCCGGTCCGTGGCCGAGGAGGCCAAGGAGACGCCCTACACCGAGACCACCTCCGACGACCTGAAGTGGACTGCCATGGAGTCGACCTGTGTTGAGACACAGGTGTTCTACATCACCTCGGACAGCGGTCCGGCCATCTTTGTCCAGGTCATTTACAACAACGTTGCGTATGCTTGCCCCCCCGACATTGACTCGCTTTTTCTTCTTCTCCCTCCCCCGTTGCATGAATCCTAACATTGCCATTCGTCCTCCAGCGGCATCCGCACCACGTGCCAGTTCAACACCAAGATCTTTTACGTCAACGACGCCAACAAAGAGACCCTCTGGAGCTCCACGCCCCTCGCACAGCCCGAGTTCAGCGAGGACATGAAGTCCTTCTACGCCACCGACTGCGCCGTCGAGCTGTCCGAGGACGGCACCTCGTACTCCATCAAGTCCCACAACGACGACCGCGCCGTCGTCAACCTCGTCATCAAGCGCACCACCCCCGGCTTCCAGGCCGGCACAACCGGCAAGACGCTGTTTGGCACCGACCTGACAAACCCCTGGGGCTCCATGCGCCATGTCTTCTGGCCCCGCTGCGTCGCCTCCGGCACCATCACCACCAAGGAGGACGGGCCCATTGACTTTGCCGGCGGCCGCGCCCTCTTCGTCCACGCCCTGCAGGGCATGAAGCCCCACCATCTCGCTGCGCGCTGGAACTTTGCCAACTTCCAGGGCCCCGAGCACTCGGCCGTTCTCATGCAGTTCACCACCCCGCCGTCGTATGCCTCCACCGTCGTCACCGTGGGCTGCATTGCGCGCGACGGCGAGATTCTCTTTGCCGGGTCCGACGCGACCGCCACCCACGTGGCGACCAAGGAAGACTCCGAGAACGACTGGCCCGAGCCGACCCAGGTCAAGTACACCTGGTCCGGCACCGCCAAGGACGGCAGCCAGGTCGAGGCTGTGCTCGAGGGCGGCCTCGAGGAGCGCCTGGACCGGATAGACGTCATGGCCGAGGTGCCCGGCATCGTCAAGAAGATCGCCGGCAGCGTCGCCGGCACCAAGCCCTTCATCTACCAGTACTACCCGCGCCAGACCAAGCTGGCGCTCAAGATCAAGAAGGGCGACGCGCCCGAGGTGTCTGAGCCGGGGTTGCTGTTCGCCGAAGCCACGTTCATCTCGTAGACTGTCCGGGTCCGGCTGGCGCCTCTCGTTTTGTCTTCTTGTCTTTTGTCGCATTTCCTTGTTTCGCGTTTTAATTAAAGTCATGCCATGTCCCCTCGTCTTCTTTGTGGTCGGATGCCTCATCTTCCAGTTATTTTCGTACTATTTTTCTGATTTTTTTCCCGTCCTGTGTCATTTATTCCTTGCCCGTTGCAGACGTTTTACCCCAATCATCAAATTCTCATCTGTTCCTCTTCTTTCTTTACTGGCTTGTGCCCCTGTCGCTGTACGCTCGACAGGCTCTCCGACGTTGGCAATGATCAAGTACGCGCATCCATGTACAACGCGGCACGCACACGGCAGGACGCACCCGTTACCACATCATCTACCATCTGCCACTCGACACAGACCACACTTGTTACACAGTTCATTGACATCTTTGCATATATATTACCGCATGGGGCACGTACACAATGTTGTACGTACCAGAGAATAGGGAGGGAAAGGGTACGCCTTGTTTCGTTTGTGCTACATGTAGGCTACTTTACTTGTATGACATCTTCCCGGACGACGCTGTCGGGACAAAGCTGCATATAATGCTAATACTTGAAAGGGATAATTAAGGGGAACAGGCTGGCGATAGATGGTAGCTGACTCTCTTAATGCAGAAATATACTTTGGTTATGCAGATTGAACACAAGTGTCCTTATAATACTTGGTGACGACCGAGTAGGAACAAGGCAATGCGCAGGATAACTAAAACCTTTCAAACAACTATTCGAGTAAATACTTGAGCGAATAGCTATTGAAACTATGCATATGACATGAAAATTCATAAAAAATATAAATATAAAATGTAGGGGTATCTGAGGTATTAAAATAAAAAAAAATATATAGTAAAAAAATGCTGTTTTGGATCGTGGAGAGGTTAAATAAACGAAAGGGAAAGAAAACGATAGGGGGCGCAGTGGCGTAACAGCCATCGTATCTGGGCACACTCATATAGTGGCTCGTTCGTGTCACCTCCTTTTTTTTGGGATGGTAGGGTTTGGATTTTCTTTCGGATCGGAGCTTTTTCGGCATTCGGCTGCTAACCGGCGGATGTCGACTCGTCTTCCATCGTTCACAGCTTCTTGGGAGGGACCGGGTTGGCCAGAGCCCTTTCCAGCGCACCCACAGCCCATTGCTCAACCTTACGGAAAGGACCATTGAACATCTCGGGAACAACCATGACACTGTTTGCGTGCGCCTCCGCAAAGACGACATTGGCATCCTTGCCGCAACGCTCGCGTGTCACCTGAATGGCCTCTTGGAGAAGATCACCGCCAATGCCGCGCCGACGATAGCGAAGACGGGTTGTCCAGGCACGAATGACGCCGTGGCCGCCCTTGAGGTGGCTGTCGCTGGCGGCTTGTGAGGCTTTGTTGTTGTTCTTCTTGCGCGATGTAGTGGGTGGTGGTGCTGCGGCTGACGTGCTCAAACCCTGCTCGTCCGCCGCAGGCGGAACTAGCCGGAGTACCAATGCGCCAATCATCTCCTCGCCATACCGGGCACCGATAACGGTGTCCTCCTCTGCGCCCGGCTCGACCTTGCCATCGTCGTTCTTCGGCACGATCCAGTCCCACTTCAGGCTCTCGGCCATCGGGATGTACTGCGCGCTGAAATAGCGAATACTCAGGAGGTAGGTCATGACAACACCCGACAAGAGCGTCATGGTCATGCCCAGATCAGGCCGCGGATTCAGCTTGTAGGCAATACCGAGGCCGGCGGCAAGGCCGGCAAGACTAAGCGGGTGAAAAACCATGCTGCGCGACGAAGTCTGGCGCTGCTGCGCAATGCTGTCGGCGACAAGCTGCAGCGCATCGACCTTGTCTGCGCGGCTGGTCATAACGCCCAGAGTCAGCGGGGGGATATCGTCCAGGTTCACTGCTGCGCCGCTCGGCGCTGACTTGGCCGTGGTCGTGGCTGTGGTTGCACTGCTGCCCTTGTTCCCCTGGGTGACTGGACCCAGCACCGGGGTGTTGGCGTTGGAGGACATCTCGGAATGTGGGAGGACGAGGTTTGCCCGCAGAAATGAGAAGAACGCTGGCCGGCTGTTAGAGTTTATGGTTTTTAGGATGAAGTTGGATAAAATGAGTTTTTCGGTACGCAATGTTGCGACGTAGAAACGAAAGCTGCGAAAAGAAGACCAAAGGCCCTTTTTATTCTGTTTCGCTAGCGAAAAAAAGAAGAAGAAAAAATATCGGCGTCCCAGTTTACTGACCGAGGTAAGTACGGTGTTTGTATGTTGTACACGGGATGGCAGCTATTTCAATGTATCCCAGTCTGGTCTCGACCTTTACACCATTGACTGAAAGGTTCCAGATCCAGGCGGAGCACACAAAGGGGACGGGAGGACACGCGACAGAAGCGCGAGGAACGACAGGGAAGGCGGGAAAAGAGCAAATGAAAACCCAGAAAGGGGGAATGAAGAGCGCAAAGATATGAAAAAAAGCGTGACAGGTAAAAAAAGAACGACTTACCAGCACTTGTCTTGAAGGCCGGTACGGCATTGATCCTGTCGACCAGCGTGTTGGGTTGACAGGCTCTCAGATCAACCTCCATGACGGCCGCCATGTGGTGCGACGCGTCCATTTCATTGGACGAGAGGCCGAAAGCTAGATTCGCTGGGCGATGAACGACAGAGAGCATGGCGGGAGGCGATAAAAGACAACGGGGCAAGCAATAAAATAACAGAAGAGAAAAAGAATGGCCCAGAAAATACAAGTAGACGGGGTGCCCACTATCTATATTTCGTTCGAGATGTTGCAAACGACGACGAAACAAAAAGGTGTAAACTCTCTCCTCTTTATTTTCGACCAGGAACACTCGTCGTTCCCTGTTCGTTCTTGGCGGCTGTCTCCTTTCGTTTGGATCCAAAAGGATTAAGGGCAGCTGGGCGTTTTGCTGAAAGGGCTAGACCCGGCCAGTCCAAACCAGACGCTTTGCAGGATGAGAGGGGGGAGTGGTTTAGGGGGTGATTGGATTGGCGAGGCGTGTTGGAGAGGGGGTCTGAAGAGCCTTGTTTCTCGGCAGGGAAGACGACTTGAACGCAATGCGGCGCTTGTGTAAAAACGGACAGACGGGACACTCAACACGACCAACAAGGAAAAGTCGACAGACCTCCGCAACAGCCAGAGAAGCTCAGACGGGCCCGCGTGGCCAGGATCGTTGGAAGATGGAGGCGTCAACGAGAAACAGTCGAGGGACGAAGCGACAGGGGAACGAGGGAACTAGTGGCCGCAGTTGGCAGCCGACTGCATGTTTCGTGAATTAGAAAGGGAGGAAGGGAAGAGGGGAAGAGGGAGGAACTGGGAATGTCGACAAAGGGATGGGAGAAGGCTGGCGAGGAGACGATGCTGGAGATGATTCAAGAAAAGATGGCAAAGGCGGAGGAGAACAAAGACTTGGGAAAGGGACGAGCAACGACGATATATGGCATTGGGAACGGGATTTTGAAGAAGGAACGACTTGAAGGAGCGAGATTGCGCAAGTTGCACCTTCCGTCAATCAGAAGTGAAGATCAAAACGGGCAACTACGACGTGGAACGGGCAAGGACAGGGGAACACACAAGATATCCGGCCGCTTGGGACTTGGAAGGCGCGATGGTATGATATGCACTCAGGTTGGATTAGGCGGAAGGAACGACCACCCTCCCACACACACACAAAGGTCGCCAGGATGGGTCGGTGGTTGTCAGTCGTTTCTCGTCCAGCTGTTGCCTCTTCCCCCCATCATCACTCTCGAGCGTGTATCGACATAGACAAAACACGACGAGTACACAGACAAGTTGCTCCAGAGAACAAAGCTGGGGAAACGCACACGTAACGGCCTGCCTCGAAAACAAAACAAGACATGACGGCGACAGGATCCAACAAAAAATCGAAATACAAGGGCCCAGCAAAAACACTGTAAAAGATTCCATCCCCCCATACGAAAGCGCAGAGAAGAAACGCCGGAAAACATGCTACAACAAGGTCCAACCCTTGTCTGTTCCGCTATTTTGCAACGGAACTGTTGTGTAAGATGGTGTCCCTTTCGTGCCTCCCTTGCATACAAAGTAGCTCAAAAAGTAAAAAAAAGGAAAGGTAGTTGATAGCGTCAACAAGTGGAGCACAGAAAGATACAGGAAAGGCTGCAGAACGCTGCAAATAGAGGCACCGCGACGAGTCAACCACGTTGGGGCACACGCAGACAAGCAGTTTGGCGACGCTAGCCAGAAGGACGACCCGCACGGCCTACCAACCCCAGTCTAGGGTCCAATAACGCACGGAGCTATCCAATACTTGGGTGGACTAGGGTGCCGAAAGCGTGGTTTTATTTTGGGGCGACGATGATTTTGGGCACATTGCTCTGGGCAAAGAGGAGGAAGCACTTCGGGTGGTGGTGTGGAGAAGACTGTCAACAAACGAGCTCTGCAGACAGCAGCGAGTGCTAATGGAGATGGCAACGCCGCATGGTGCATGAGCAGAATTTTTCTGGTGTGGGGGAAGTGAACTGAAGTCCAAGGCCACAGAAGATGCAGATGGTGAGGAATGTAGCCAAGAGAGCCCGAGATACGAGTCTCATTTTCCATCACAATGGCATCGTGAGATATGGGCGCTGGATAAGTGGCCTGTCTCGCCGCTTTCTGCGTCGTTTTTTGTGGCAACTTTTGAGTTGGCCGTATCCTGTCTCGTTGCTTCTCAAGTGGTGCGGCAGTGCGAACAGGGACTGAGAAGGTAGAGGACCATTAGCTGGTGTATACGGAATACTCAGTACGACATAATTCTAGGGTTCCAGGGTGGCTTCGTCTCTTCTGCCAATGAGCGCTTGAAATGAGTGAGAAGCTGATGGTCTGGTGGTTGGCTGTCTTGGCGATGTGACGCTGCGAATTGCGACAGATTTCCCTTTTTTTTTTTTTTTTTACCCAGGTCAGTTGGCGCACAAGCTGATATCGTAGACAAATGCCTCGAATCCAGTCATCGTCTCACGGCCAAGACAACTTGAGCTCGTGTATCGTTCCGAGCTGTACCGGTTCTTGATAGATATATACACAGTATGTCGAATTCGCCCGGCGATGGCCGGTTTGCTGGGGCCCGCCAGGTACGGACCGCGAATGAGGTTTCGTTGCTTTCCGTTCATTCTTCTTTTCTCCTGTTGTCTCTCATTCTCCTCTCGGGTCTCTTTTTCTACATGTCTGTGGGTGTGAGGCCGGTCCCATAACCCATGAGCCCGAATCGTCTCATGCCATACTTTGCGACGCATCAGAACAAGGACAGAAAGGAATTGAAGACATGGAAACCGAGACATCAAGACAAAAATCCTCCGGCACATCGACAGCCAAAGAATGACTGGAAAGGATGGCTGTACAGACCGACGACATGCTCCACTCGCGATGCGCCGCACTGAACCCGTTGCCCTCACCGCCGGTCGAATGGGCCCGATGGGGATCCTCACCGTCGACGGGTGCTGGCCTCGCCTGGTCTACCGAGCTGTTTCGGGAATGGCCTTGTTGCGTTGACGCCGGTCAAATGCGCGGCGATACAGATGTTCACGCATGCCACATAACGGCTGCATCCTCTGTGCAGAGTGTTGTAACTCCATCCTTATCCGGAAAGTGCGCTTGCACAGCTGTCCCATTGGCATGCATCTCACGTGCGACCCGAGCGGAACCGTCGCGGGAAGGCGCGGCCGGCAACGGATCAACAGAGGTGCCTTGGCCATCAGTTTATGCATCAAAAACATACGTCCTCAGAAATGCATCTACCCGAGCGGAGTTCTATTTCTTCCGATCCGTCCGTCCTTGACAGGTTCGAGTCCTACCACCGACTGATCCGTCGCCTACGGAGTATGACAACATAAGATACTTGATCTCGTATTTCTGTGTTTCAGCTGCGATGTCCGCAGACATCTTCCTGTTGCAGAACGGAATCCGCCTTACTCCGTGGGGTGATCGCGTGCCCGTTTTCTGATTGGCTGGCTGTCTTAAGGCAGACTTCCTCACGCCTGAGGCTACCGCTACCGCCTCCCACTCTGCCACCGCTCTGCCACCCAGTCCTCACCATTCGCACCGCCTCCCCCTGCCGTCCAGTTGCTTTGGCTCGCCAAATCCGGCCAGTCTCATTCTTTCGAACGCCCATTCCCAGGCTGTCCATGCTCGGCAACCCATTGGCCTCCTGAGAGATCCCGGCAGTGCCCAGTGAACCAGACAAACTGACCCGACAGGGCTCAGAGAGGCAGCCAATAATACTTACCGTGCTGACATTGCCTGCTTTCCCCGACGCTGTGCAAAGCTCCTGCCGTCAACAGTGTTCTGTTCTGACTTGCTGGCCGCTATTCAGCCAATGACAATTGGGAGAAAACACTGACGCCCCTCTTTTTTCCTCCTCTCCCTCGCACTTTCCCCCAACTGATCCACCACGCGAAAGTCCTACGAAGTCCTGATCCAGAAACGGCTTTGCGCCTGGTTTGTGCACCGTTCCCGCCGTGACTCCATCGTCCTTTCCTTTGTTTCTGCCTCGTTTCCCTCCTTCCCCCCGTAGCGACCGCGTTTCGGACGTTCAATGTGTCTGTTTCCCTCGTAGGACAATCCGACAACTCGAGCCATTCTAGGCCCTGTCGTGGACACAGCACGTCTTTTTCTCCGGGCTTCGCCTGCACCATTCTTCTCTTTGTTGTCCTGCCCTCGTCTACTTCCCCCAGTCATCTCGTCTCGTTCATTGCCACATCTTGTTAGTGCCCACGAGACGGTTTTCGACAAATGCAATGAGACGAGGATTGACCAGTGGCAGATAACAAACGACAACGGAAGGCACGACTTGGCTCTTTCCTAGCATTTGGCCAATACAAAGACTGTTCCTGCCAAAAGAAGAAGGAAGGAAACGTTATCACTTAATCGCATCATCACCGCCTCTTCCTCCCTTAACGCTTCATCTCTTATCCATCCCTCCCTTCTCGACATATCGCCACAACCATCTCCGTAGCATCTCTTGACATCCCTTTTCGCCACCTCAGGA